AATCGGCTAATTGATCCTGTTTTTCCCATTGTAGCTGATAATTATCGTCCTTATCTGGTGACAGAAGTTGATGGGTGTACCGATTATATAAACGCTGTATATCTTCCAGTAAGTATTGTTACATGATTTTTATGGTAATTAATTTTGTTTAATTCTGGTGTCATATGAAACGGCAGCTGTAACCCTTGCCCAATCGTGATTAAAACTTCAAAGCAAATATACATATTATCTGCTACAATATTACATAGATTAAAATAAGTATTAAATTTTATAATTTGTAGAGTTATACATGGAAGCGAGCCTTCATATTAACACATACCCCATTGAATAATACACATGCTGATTTCTGGAGATTAATAGTTGATGTTCGTGTACCAATTATTGTAGATATTGACCCAGTAAGATCAGATGTTACGGTAAGAAGATTCATAAATTTGTAACGTTGATGAGTCTAGCACTTAATTAATTATGCCATTGATAAATCCCATTATAGTTATTATTTCTTCTGTGGCAAAATTGACTACAGATATTTTTGGGGGCTACTCTGGCTTTTTAGAAATCCGGAATATCGCTTTAAGAATTGTCAAAGGTAACATCAGTGGGGCTGACAAGAAACAGACATTATATCCATTCAATTCTATCACATTCTGATAATTTATATCACCAGAATAGAACTATCTCACAACGTGATTCGCTATTCCAATGACGTACAAGTAGCTTGGAATTTGCTGCGCGTTGATGCATAGGTTTGAACGACCAAGGAAAGTCCACTTAACACTGCGTCATTTTAGGACTAAGATATTATATGGTTTATTTCAATTCTGTTTCAGAACTCTAATCCTTATCTTCCCAGTCTTTCAACTACTAAGCAGTTTGGTCCTTTGCTTGTAACTTGTAGTGAAGAAAATGTCCATCTAGAAGTTGACCATTATACCATAAACAAATATACCATTAAACACACCAGTGATGTAAGTATAGTTTTAACTAAGCGAATAAATTGTACACGGCTAAATTTATTTACGTGCAAACTTGTATAATAAAGACATCAAAATTATTATTACTATGGCAAATAAATAAGAAGGCGGTCTGAAATCAACAAAATGTAAATTAAAAGCTCGGGTTGAATAGATTCATTTGAATAATTTTTAACGTACGTAATTTGCGTTTTTCGGAAATATATAAAAAAAAAATTTCGGCTGAAATGTACCAGAGCTGATTATTTGAAAACATTATCAAAATATCAATCGGATTTACGTGAACTATTTGTCACATATTTCAGAACGAATTTAAGCACGATGTAAAGTTATATAAGTGTAATTTCTGGACCGACGAAACACTTGTTCCCGAATCAGCATCACCAATATTTCATGTCTTAGAAGATATTCACAATTCTTATCCTGGGTTAAATTATACACCTTTACTTGTACATTGTCAGTAAGTATATTTCTTATATTTTGTATCGGGCTCTAAATAATTTTTGTTTAATATAATTCCGTTTTAAAACTACAAACTGTTCTTAAAAGTCATAATTTAAAAATGTTATTACTTCAGAAATGGCGTTGATAAAAGTGGTTTATTCATCGTGTTGGCGGGAATTATAGAAAGACTTACTAAAGAACAGAATGTGAGTGTGGTACAGGTTATTGAACAATTCAGACGAGCACGACCACAAATTATTACATGTTATGTAAGTATTAGAGTTACCTTTCTTTCTTCTTATCGAGGGTGAGATCGAAGGCAGGTGTGCCATAAGAAACTTGCCTGGCGGGCCAGGCGTGTTTGAAAGGATAGTTCGGCATAAGGTGGGAACAGGTACGCCAGGTAGAAAAAAAACGTTGCCACTATTCCTTTAATTACAGGTGCTATCGTGCGCTTGTAATACAGTGCCAAATGGACTATTCACGTCCGTTTGGTCTAATCCAGAGGCAAAGTTGCCGTCTTGGTAAGTTGAATCAGTAGCCTTCAATGATTAAATGAAATGGAGGTTTAATATCCCACTGTTCTGCACCAACTGGGCTAATGAACAGGGGGCTTCAAGAAGAAGGTACAGGGAACGGTTGCACAAAATATGTTGGTTTATTGCAAGTCAGTTGTGGGCGTGTCTGGTAAACATACAGACTAAATACGTCAATGCGAAATATTCATATATCATATAGCAGTGAGTATATGTGTCAACAGGCTAAGCTATCGCAAACTTGGCCGATCTCACACCGGAAGAAACGACATAGAATGTCATACCCACTTATATTGTAATGATATTTACCATCCTATTTCATTATTTTGGGTCGACAGCACAATTACACTTAACTTTAATTTCAGGAACAGTTCCGTTTTTGCTTTGACGCCATTGGAGAATATTTAGACCACTTCTCAGATTATGCTAATTCTTGCTGAATGTCAAAGAAGGAAGATAACCACACTGTGTTCCTTATTACGTTGCTAGCATTATAATGCAATAACAGTAATATTAATGTTAAAGATGTCAATACCATTCATCATTTTGATAAACAATATTATCGCAGTTTAAGCATTTTAGTGTGCGACATATTTTATTACATCATAACGCTTATATAATTATATTCACACAATTTCAGTTTGCATTTATTAAATTATTAGCTATAGAAATTGGCGCCAAATCTCCATGTCGTTATTAGTAAGTGCAGGAGGGCCGCACCAGACATTACTAAAACCCACATGTCCAACCTGCGGACAAAACATTGCAAATAATAAACAAAAACATATAAATCAAATTAAGTCAATTTATCCGGGATCTAGCCGTAAGCGCCCACTGTGCTGTACAGTCCCGGGACTAGTAACATAGCCTTCATTCACAATGAATGCAAACTAACTGCATGGACGAAATAGTGTGTTAGTGTTAAGTGAATTGTATACTTTTCATTTTGAGAGGAACACTTAATAACAAGATAGAGTCGTGTATTTTTTTAAAAATGTATTACAATGTATATTACTGACTATCTGTTAAGAGTCTGATACTTTGTTTATAAAGAGTATATAACTATTTATTGTCATGTTTACTTTCTTTATCCTGATAACATAATCTCAAAATATTATGAAAAAAACATTAGAGATAATCTCTGCATGTCACTTGGTAAACGATACTAATCGGTTTATTTCTCATACCCTGAAACCGGACTTATTAATAATAGCGACATATTGTACTTCTAAACTGTTGAACATTTAAACGCCTTCGTTATTTGGTAATATGAATTTGCTTTTCTTTTCTTTTTGGGGGGGGGGGGGGGGTGAGTAATTTAAATTTGGATATAACAGGTTTTTGTATCTTTTTTTTTAAATTTATGTATTATTATATAGTTGTATATACCCATATTTAGCTCTAACCGATTTTTGTATTTGTGTTTTTTAATTTGTATTTTATATTATAGTCTATTTATTGTATAACCATATTTAAATATACAAAATGTTACTTGCTCTAAAATTACATCTCCCTCTAGTTCGTCTCATGTCATTGCTACTTATGACTCTTGATAAAATCGGATGAAATTTCAAGTCCTATTGACATAATTATGATATACATGACGATGTGTGAAAAGGAAATGGAAAGATACTTAATTTAAATAAAAATGCCAGAAATCGACCGTTATTCATTGGCCCTATATAATAAAAGTCGTCAAGCAACGACAAGAGAGTTTTTAGTCAATAGCCCTAGAAATATTGCTAAAAGGGACCGACAAAGGAAAGATATGTTGTAGATTATGCATATTCTATGTAGCCTATCATATCCACAATTTGAATAATTTCATGTAAAATGGAAACATTTGTGGATAATTAATTTTTTTTTACAAAACTGTGTATTACCGATTGATTCAACATGGCAATTCCATAATACGAACATTTTCTATTTTGAAATATCTTTATTAATATTTATCTAAACGTAATTATTTTTGGATATGTCAAGTAACATAATATCAGTATGTTTATTGTGTGTTGATCTATGTTTGTGATTGTATCATACTCATTGGTGAACGAGGATGGTTTGAGGTGACAGACATGGCCTATGGGCTCATACAACCAGCATGTCTTATAATAATGTTCATTTAATATTGAACTAAAAACTAATAAATTTTGATGAGTTACATGACATATCTCATACCAAACTTAGGCTGTTTGTCTACAGTTAGCTACGCTTGAGAACAGACACTTAGCTAGTTGACCGACGATTTTAGTAGAACATTTTAAGTATACTTCGAGAATTTTGTTAAGTATTTATTCTGCTTTCATTTAATAAATTTGAAAAAGTTTACTTAGTCTTTGTGTGTATGACGGATGTTAAACGCATTACAAAACAGTATACTAATTTTTGGATATGTCGGCCATATAAAAGAGAGAGAGAGAGAAATGGGGTTTAACGTCCACTCGACACAAACTAGGTCATTTCGGGACTAACATATGCTTTAACATTATTTCAACAATTGCGCGTAAGGGTCTTTAGCAGTGGGAGGAAACCGGAGGACCCGGAGAAAACCCACGAGGTGGCCATATAAAAGCTATTACAACCGCTATTACGATATATAAGAAAAATGTCGGTTTGTTCTGGGATAGCGAATTACTTCCTTGGTGTTGAATAATCGCGTCCGCTACAGAGAGGTGGTATCGAAATATATACGCGATTATTCAACACCAAGGAAGTAATCCGCTATCCCAGAACAAACCGACATTTTTCTTATTTATTGTAATAGCGGTTGTATTACTTTCATTGTATTACACATCCTTGTAAATAACACCAAGTTCGCCATTAAATTGGTAAAAATGAGATCCAACGCAATAGAATGATGCTATTCCACATTGACGGAATAAGTATGTTGCTGACGCACATATGAAGGGATCCGTGGTATATATCTTTATGCAATGGAGTGGTAGGGACAATTTGAGTTCAAGGTGCCCCGGAAACCTCAAGAAACCAACAGTCAAAGTGAAACACAACACTAAACATACAGCATCTATTTAATTGTTTACGCAAACCAAACAAAAGAAATTACATATTTATATTTTACAAAAAGCTTGCATTGAGCGTTTTGGGGAATAGTTCTACGTCATGGTCCAGCAACCCTGATACACAGCATTGTACTTCTTTAACCTGTACCGACACGTGACATATTGCCAGGAAATGCATGATAAGACATATTCAAAATAATAGAAAACAATAAATAACGAGACAACAATACTTAAAACTTAGCATAAAATTTAGGAAGAGGGTCAGCCAAAAGAAGTCACTGACTTCGGTGTCAGAACAACAGCCATTGACGTCACACTCACATACGTTCGGTCAATACCGCCTTCTACCAGAGATACTGCTCAAATTAAATGTGTGTAGTTTTTGTATTACTGGTACTTGAAGTTTGTGACGTTTCTGGCAATTTTCTTCCGCTTAGACCAAGCCACAGGTTAAGTACACGTCGGTTAGCCATATAAGACAGAAATATAAAAATGCCTTGACCATAATTCAATATGGTGGATAAAACTTGCAAAGTTTGTTGAAAAATAACGTGTGACAGAATATCCAGTGTCCAAGTCAACCCTGTAAGGGTAGATAACTTAATGTATACAATCACGTGGTGGCGATCTTTGCCTGTTTGCCTGGCGATTTTTGAAGCTTTGGAGATTGACCAAATTGTAAATGACAGAAGAGCCAGATTACAAACAATAATCAATGATAGTGGTAAGACCATGGCTAATCCCACTAAAAATGGTGTTGATAAATAACATATATCGCCACCATAACCAAGAGTACCGGATGTGGCCTTGGACGTTACCATTACGACGACAACGATCATTACCGGAACTCCATTTGCATAAAGAGCATGTTTTATCATTCTTCGGTTATGCGCATTTGTATTTGTCGAAAGAAGGCTCGATGAGCGAAAAACAGTAAACATATGATAGGAGCAAATGTTCATCCAAAATACAACACACAACCAGATATAGTGGATAGCCACTCCAATAACTACACACGCTGTAGTATTGTTTTTCGTTAGAAGGGATCCACTCAACTGTAAGAGTTGTGCCAGAAACAGAGATACAACCAGCGCCATGTTGTTTTTTGCGGGTAAACTTCTGAGAACCGGGAATGTGCAATATGTTATAAAGGTTAGCAAGAGAGAGACTAAAGAAAATGTCATAAATGTAATCCGTACAATGACCAAAATTCTTTGAAAATAACTTGGACTAGCAAGAGTCATGGTCTGCAGGACTTCCATGTTAAATTTCTCTTTAAGTGTATGCAGACAGATTCTTGTGAAATTATTGGCATCAATGTCATAATCCCCATCTTTGATAATTAGACTAGTGTTTAATAAAACTTTTGTATCGTTGCCCCCAGGTTCGAATTCGTCTTGATAATGACGTATATGAGGACAAATATATTGTTCAGTTAACTCAATAATTGAATCCGTTGACATATCCATCTTTTGTGTAAGGTTGTGCTCGCAACAATCTGCAGTTACATCATTAGATATGACGCGATAAAGGTTTTCCCAGTTTTGGTATTGGTTGAGAACAGTTGATCTTACTTGTTTACCAAACTTCCAATTACTTTTTATATACGAGAACATTTTGAATGCAGTTTTCAAATGGGAGTGACAAAAAACGTTCAAATATATGTTACCGGTAGAATTGGGTTCGTCTGCAATTCCAATGAACGCAATGTATCTCGTTATCATAAGTTGTCGTAAATCATTTTCAACGTTAACCACCAGTTCTTGTAAATTCGTCGATTCAGTGTTATTATTCACTTCCATTACAAGATAAACAATCGTCTCATGATCTTCATCTACAGGAACACACGTCTCATTTTCTAATTTTAATCCATCCGAACATTTTATTTCCTTACAAACCTTCTGAAATAAAAAATAGACGTTTAGCACCAAACAGACTTTTCTCAACCCCAAAATGAGAAAATAGCTCCACTTAGACTACACATTACAAACACGATTCCGACACGAAGTAGTCCTACTTTACCATCTGGAAAGCTATGTCAATAAATATAACACTATTTATAGATACAAATATTTCAACAGTGGCTGACGCAGGATTTGGGGTAAGGAGGTCCTCCTCTGAGAAATTTTGAAAAATCGGGGTGTCAGTGGTGATATGTGGCGCAGCTGGTTCCAAATAAAATTGCATTCCAAATACAGAAGTCTCAAATTTACTTTTTTTTCACAATAAGCACATTTTGCATGCTGTTATTTAGGGGGCTCCAGTACGTAGGACCCCTACCCTGATCCACCACTGCAATTGAGATCAAGCGGTAGAGGTCTCACAATTTTGGTGTGAATAATTGAGTCCACGAGACTTTCGTTCTCCGGAGATACCACCATCCCATTTTTTGCGAAAAGCTTGTGCTAGCAAGAGAAGCAACAAACCCTATCGTGACCCTCCGTTCTTGGGTAAAGCCCCATTTTCGGACAACCGTGTGAACGGGATAACGGCTACTTTTTTTTAACAGATTGTTTTTGGTATGAAGTATTGATGAGGTCATTAAAGGACAAATTTTATGATTGTGTTTTCTATTTATTTTTTGTGGAGCATTTAGGTCATGAGATGACGAACCCTGTCGATTTTAGCATTGTAGCGTTCTGTGACCTTCCGTTGGGGTTACGACCTCTTTTTCGAAAACATCGTAAACTCGACAGAGGATACGTTTTATAACATATTCTTTTTCAAATTTAGTGTGAAGTATTGGGGCTGAGATCCTCTTTTTTTTCAACCGGAGAATGAACCATAAAACCCTTTAAAGAATTGTCCTTACCTGAAACGGGTGATAAAATACTGATGAAGCGTTGCAATATTTATTATTAGAGTCTTCCGGTAGGGCTACCCACGTCTTCTGAACATACCTGGTTATGCTTATTAGGTCGCCGACGGGAAAAGGCTGACCACCCATGTTTGCTTTTATTGTGAAACCATTACATAGGTAACAAAATATATTTTGGAAAAGAATACTTTCCACAGTTGAATGAATGGGGTTATAATGGTACATGCATTCGTCTGCTAAAGCCGAATTGTATTCGGTCCAGATGCCTGAAACATTACATTCCTTAACCATGTGCTCAGTTAGACTATTATCGCATTGTCTGAGCTTCAAATCCGTATTGCTAAGGCTAGATGGCACTTCATATATCATTGACCGCTGACAGTTAAATATCTCCTTTACGTCGTCCTTTAAGGTACCAGGTATAAATTCAAAACCTGAATAATCAACATTCAGTGGCCATTCTTCAAAATCAGTTTCGTTATTGCAAACGGCACAGTGTTGATTAATGTACGATATACCACGCAATGATGTCACTGGCAACGATCTGCACCCAGTTTGCAACGCATTGCAGAACTCTCGCACAGTTTCGTTTGTATAATTCTCGAGGCATTGCCGCTTCAATAAAATAGTCTTGTCCATCTTAACGCTTTCTATTTGGTCTATACACTGGAATGGAGACGACGTAAGAGGTGGTCTCTTTTTATCCAAAAAGCAACAATCACCATAAATATTACATTCATCGTCACAGAAACAATCAACGCATTTAAAACCATAAGCATGGACAAGGTCTATATCTGGCAAATATGTAACATTACTAAGACCGATACACTCGGGATTGCATATAAGTAACTGAATTTTAGGATAATATTCAATTATTGCCTCCAATGGCCATTCTGGGAGTGGAATACTCAGATAGAATAATGCTTCAGGGGATATAAAAGAATTGTTTTCTAGTTTCTGCATCAGGTCTTGGAGTGATTCTGGGATTGCATACGACTCTGTATAATAATAATAATCTTGTGTGCCATTTTCTTGCATAGAGGTATTTGTTACTTGGTGTTGATTGACATCTGATGAAACTGTTAATCCAAGTATTGCAGAGAGAAGAATAGTTAACACACTACTTGTAAGTTGCATGGTGATAGGCTCGTTGACAACCATTCTATATAAAATAAAAGGGTAATCGTATGGATTAGGGGCGTGGCCAGTCTGAAGTTAGAGGGGGAGGGGAAAGCAAATTGTAGATAAATCTTAAACCCAGAATACGATTTTGGTCAGAATCCTACAGAACCGATCCCAAAATAATAATAACCTACTATCTGTAATCAAGAAAAGCGAAATATCCCGCCTTTTAAGGTGTAACATGGAACATTCGTTTTCTGAAAAATGTGCATTTGGGTGTGTATGTGGGGGTGGGGTGGATGGCGCTGTATCATAAAGTCTGTCGTTGAATGGTTTCGATTCCCCAATGTACGTGACAAGGAGTAGAGTCGCCTGTCCAACCTCGTGGTTTTTTCTTCGGGTCCTCCGGTTTCCTCCCACTGCTAAAGACCCTTACGCGAATGCGAATTATTGAAATAAAAATTGAACCATATGTTAGTCCCGAAATGACCTAGTTTGTGTTGAGTGGACGTTAATCCATTTTTCTCTCTCATGTTTGGGTGTATTCGCTTAGTGTTCCTGAAACAACGACCGCGAGTTTTACAACATCTAAGATGTACAGAGTTCAAGCGAGATCAAGTCCTCTATTGAAGATGAGCTAACTATACACAGAGAGCCTAATAAGTTTAGTATGAATGTATTGTAGTTGCTGAAAATATTGCATGGACTCTGAGAATGTACAGAGCTAGGGCATGGTAATATACTGTCACACTCATTTCCGTGCAATATTTTCATTGCCTACAGTTCTTCAAGATAATACTGATTTGAGGACCCGACTTTCTTGAACAGATTTGTGTCCAAACTTACTTAAACGTTTTTTTTTTCTTGTGTTAAAATAAAACATCTGATCCTTTACCAGGTAACAGACAAGTATTCTATACTCCTAAAATGTATGTTTAGACGCCTAGATTGTGATCCTAACTGGTTCAGAAGCTGACATATTGGTACATCGAGGATATTTAAAAAGAAAATTTAGGTTTAGACACAAAGATTGAGATCATAAGTGTTTAGAAGCGGAGATTTTGATAGGGTTTTACATAGCGGATTTTTTAAAATATAGATGATGTCCTCCATAATGTTTTCTAGATAATGTTTTCTAGATAATTGTATTCATTGGCCCTGAAAATGTGGTTTAGAAGCTGTGATACAGGTTGGACGATCACAGATGACTACGATACTATATTTAGTGGAAGCGGTGCCTATCAAAAATGATAATCTACGGTAGTAAGTATTTGTGGAACATTTGGCGCTTAATGTATCCCTAAGCTGCCTGACTACATCTACTTTTATTCATTAAGAAGTCATGTTATGCAACAGTACCTTAACACCATACAAAATGAATGTCTTGGGAGAACAGACGCCATACCAATTTCGCTAGAATTCAAAAAGTGGATTTATTGCAGAAATATTTTGTTCTTTGCAACAAGCTGGCATTTTTTAATATAAACATTTCTTTATGGGTACCGTGACAAATATATATCTATTTTTTTTTACAAAAAAACAGAATTGATTCTGAATAAGATCGGTCCTTAAACATTCCAAAATATTGCTTTATTCGCTGTATTAGTGACGGGAGACCAACATGAGACAAAATACAATTTATATTAAGAAACGTTTGCACCGTCCAATTTTGGAGAGAGAAAAAATGTAGTAGAGACACTTTTGTGTATTCTAAGAGTACTAATAGTAAAACAATTCATAATTTTAGAAAGAAACAAAGTTACCTTGATAAAGAATGAATCCAAAATTCAGATCTGTTTATAGCTTCTACGAACTATGTTGAATGGCTAAAGTTGGTAATGACTTATTGTGCTAGTAGGTCTGTTAATATAATAATTCTCATGACATATTTGTGCAATAACAAATAAAACGAAATGGACTCCGAAAGTGTGCTTTACTAATTAATCTGGGAATTATGAATGAAATGTCACCATGCTCAAAATTATTGTTTTATTGATTAATATTTGATAAGTTGTAGCCGTGTTTGGATAGGGATAAATGTCGTCAAACCATTATTATGATTGATGGGCCTTTAATATCGTTAGCAATGCAATTGGATGAACTTTAACGTTTCGTTGACATACGCTCGTAGTATCTCAGTCATTTTCAGATAAACTGTTGTGATATTCAGTAGTCGGTAAACAATATTTCAGCTTAACGGGACAGTACAATCGGGGATGTTGAAATCAAAAGGACAGATCAGTTCGTTAGTAATATATTGGCCTTTTTAAACTGGTTTTCTATTTATTCAGCATTTGTGCAAATTTCTTTCCTTTAAGTAAGGCCCACGAGGCTAAACTTTACCCCATGTTTTTCAGGGTATTGTTTCACAAATAGGATGAAAGTATAGTTTAAGAAGATTTTGGCGAGATTTAAGTTTTTTGTGAAACAGGGCCCAGGGGCCTATGCCATGTACCCAAACCAAATATCAGTTTCTACGACCACTTAGGCCCATAGTCTCATTTCTGGAACAAACAGATGGTGACATATATTCTTTGAATAAATTAACCTCATTACAAAGATGTACTCTCCAGGAGGGTTGGGTGGCCGAATGGTTAGTCAACTGGCGTGGTTTCGAATCCATGGTTGTACGTGACAAGGAGTAGGGTCGCCTGTCCAACCTCGTGGGTTTTCTCCGGGTCCTCCGGTTTCCTCCCACTGCTAAAGACCCCTACGCGCATGCGAATTAATGAAATAAAATTAAACCATATGTTAGTCCCGAAATGACCTAGTTTGTGTCGAGTGGACGTTAAACCCCATTTCTCCCTCTCTGTACTCTCCAGCAATACGTGAACTCTACATTTTGTACTTTTTCTCATGAAAATTCTACAGGTTTTTGCTAAATTATTTATTCTAAAATTAATAGGACGTGGTATCTATAGAACATGTTTATTACCAAAAAAGTTTTAAAAAATAGTTGTCAGTGTCATTTTCTGGAATTACCAATAATTGTTTTCCTTGGGTCAAATATAACCCAATGAGCCTAAATGATACTAAATGAGTGCTCATCACTGATAATAAAATGATGCTATGAAAAACAAAAATCTTTTAGGTTGTAATGGTGGTATAATAAGATGGGGGGGGGGGGAGATGGCAAGTCATTTTCTTCAGGGGGGTGGGGGGCGGGCAGTGCCTTTTGCCAACGGCTGGCTCCATGTGTGGCTTGATAGCTACTGGAGGTCCTGGCATCGATCCTGGTGTTTGCCAAAGACATTTATCGGGACTTTGTAACGTAGTTTGCCCCCATCGGCCGAGAAAATGTCAGTTGTGGAGGCTGGAAGGCCTAGTGTACACCACCTAGACCCTTCGGATGGCAAGATAAAACCGAGGTCATGCGTGTACACGACGACAGGCCGCAGCTTTCCCTGTAAAATATACACGATAGCACGCCACGCGGCGTAACGTCATCTCTATAAGCCCCGATGGAGCAGACAAGTAGCGTTGGGACCCATTTTCATTTAAACATCTTACCATTCGCCGATTATATTTTGTTTTCAGTTAATTATAACGGCTAGGTTGCTTACTGCATGACAGAATATGAAATTATAATTGGTGAATTTCAATGACTTATATTACACAATAAATACTCAATGTTCTTACGTAGCTTGAGGTCCCATCTTAGTCTTAAATTTACGTCGTTGTATTATAAATGATAAGATTGTCACAAGATAAATTTGTGTATAAGCTAAAAACACCATTTGCCGTCATTTTTGCAATTGTTTTCCCCGTCCTGATATTACAATATATCATTTATTGAAACTCTGAGCTCCTGGTTTTATACTTTTCATTTCTGGGCATCACCCTAACGGGGCCCGTAGCCACGTGGTTGCTATGGGATGGCTCGAAAAAAAAAATCGAATTAGCCCCCCCCCCCCCAAATATTTCGCCGACAATAATGATTTTTTAGGAGTGTTCAAATTGGTAGACGACCCGTCCCGTAGGCTCGTAGCATGGTCCACCGAGGCCTGACTGTCATCATCACCTCCTGATCCTCTTGTCTTGATACCATACCTGCGTTGTACATAACTACTGTGAGGCGTGTTGGTCTACTGTTACTGAACATGTGTACTCGCTCATCACACTCACGTACTCGCGGCTCCTCTCTTCTCGCGTAGTCCCACCCAATCTAATTAAAATATAGATCTATATTTCGTTTCGTTTTTTATACTTTCGATGACCTACACTACATATACAAAGACAAGTAAAATCGAAATTTTGAACTATAAAAACGAAACGAAATTGGATCTGTGTTTTAATCAGATTGAGTCCCACCGACCTAGCATTCGACTCGTGTCCAGTGTTGACATTTGCTCTGGCAGAACTGGCAGAATATTTTCGAATGTTTTGAGATTGAGAATTCGATAGCGACGAAGACAAGACGATGGATGTATTTGTGATTAGAAAGAGACCATCGTCTTCTGATGACCTGACTACATCGTCTACCACACTGGCACCAGGATTAGCAGCACCTCATTCCAACGATTCACCGCCTGATGTCCAGTCCAAGACGAAAGCGGCTTGTCCATCTGATCTTGGCGGTGATGTGCCAGCCCAGCCCCGTGTAGTGAACCCACCGAAAACTACGTTTGGGAAACAGACTCGTTCATTTCAAAGTAAGTGGTACACCGATCGTTCTTGGCTCGAATATTCGGTCCAAAAAGACGCGTGTTTCTGTTTTCCGTGCCGGAAAGGAGTCGAAGAAGGAAATTTAAAAAAAATCAGCCATAAAACCCTGCCCGAAGCACTTCAATTTGAGGCCCAGGAATGCACTCAGATGTGAGGAGAGAGCACCAAATTTTCAAAATTGTCAAGGGAGAACTACCAGACCCCGCGCCCCTTTCTCACGCTTTCGGCGCTTCGCGGTGGCCGCACATCCTCAGCCCCTCCAAAAAATTCCATAGCCCCACCAAATTTTACGAGGTGGCTACGGGCCCGATCCTTATAACCATATTTTGTTCTTTTTTGTGACCTACAACTTATGTGCTTCAGGTTCCCTCCTTTAAAAAAAACCCAATGCCACCTATGTGTCGGGTAAAATCTTTTGATGGGCCGCTGTTTAATCCGTTTGAATTGAAACCAGGATATGATCTGCAGTTTATAGTTTGGTTTGGTTTTCTTAAGAAATGTTAAACAATCAATTTCAGTATATTTTAGCCTGGATTCAGCGGTGAAAAAAATATTATCCGAAAAATTCATATAACGACCAGAATTATAAAACAAAGGAACACGAATTTGAAGAAAAAAATCTGATTTTTATCAGTTGAAAGTTAGATGTGTCATTTAATTATAGAGGCACAATAATGACCCCCGTACATCGTAACCTGGTTTAAATGTGAAATATTAGACATCAGAAAAATTCAAATAACGACCAGTGGCTTTAAGTAAAATTATGCAAAAATGGAACACGAATTAGAAAAAAAATCTGAAATATATCAATCAGTTTACGGTTATCTGTATCATTTACTTATAGGGGCACAATTAGATACCTTTAATAATGACGACGGAAGACGATTTTTCCGACTGTAGTTTCTCTCACCTTACTTGAACAATTTAGATTTTGAAATGGCTTGTAATTGTGTCATGTCTGTAGTTTTGTCTTGTGTATTTGTTTGTGTGTGGTGCGGTCCCACGTGCTTACTGTTAACCCAGTGAAGATTACACGAGGCGTTAATCGTCGACTATTTCATTTCTCTAACCGAACCAGTAGGTACGGAGATAATTGATCAAAAGCAGGCCGTCATCGACAAAATGCAGATTAGACAATGTGTAATTTACTAAGTGATCATATTACTCATATTAATTTGTAATGTGATTCCCTTTGGCAAGGATTCTATCTTCGTTCCATGATCAGTTTACATGTATCTTATAAATATTGATATTAAATTATCTTCGTGTATTTTTGCAAATATCAGCCTGCCCAAAGACGAAATACCATTTACAGTGTCATGTTATGCCGTTTGATGTGTATGGAATTGCGTGTGTGAAAAATTGAACAATCACTTAAATACACAATTTAACCTTTTAATGTTCAATCCTCGTTGGTAAAAAAAAATAAAAAAAAAATATACATAAGTCTTTGCGAAAACAAAAGGATGCCTTCGTTTTCTACATTTTATTCTTTAGTCAACTTTCGTGTACATAAAAGTTTAACCGTTTCGCCGGTCTTATACTATGCAATCATTTTGTATCGGAAAAGTAGATGTATTTATTACACTATTCCACAAAAACTTGGTACTAAACAGGCGGAACTAAAAAAAATATATATTCTTTTTTTTTTACCATGAATGCCCCAATCCCCTAACATTCTGAGTAAAACAGTACAATAGGCCTTCATTAGATATCACTTATCATTTGAGAATTCACCTACATCCAAATGTTTGTTTCTTTATACTTCCAATGATTGTGGATATATTTAACTCATATATTAGAAAGATGGGTTGCAAAGCAACGAAGCATACGACCAAGCAGCCAAGTCATCCCAGCAGTCAACAAGGGTTGTCCCATATTTTTCTCTTATCCTTATGTCTGTAATGAAAAATTTATAACACACTAAAATCCGATTACGAGTAACAACCCAGTTGGCTTCCAGTCCTGCCATATGCTAACGTTTAGTATACAAAACATTTAATATGAAGGGCAATAACCCTGGTAGTAATTATTTGAAATCGCTGAAAATCAATAGGATTCCCTGCCTGATGACCTTAAACAATAAATTTAAAGGCAATCGAACATCAACAAGTAAAAGTAATCAAGGCCATTGACAGTACATATCGGAAATTGTTGAAAATCAATAGGCTTCTTTGTCTCATAACATTAAACACTGTGTATAAACATAAACGTCAAGCGGATATTATCTTTAGCCTCTAGAGCATGCACAAAATTTTTCAAAGTGATCAAAGGCCATCACTCTGTCAGTTATTATCGGAAATTGCTGAAAATCTATAGGTTTCTTCAACTCATGACCTTAAAGATTGTGGATAAATTTAAAGTCAATCGGATATTGAAATAGCCTCGGAAATATGCAACCACATTTCAATGTGGGCATATAGAAAACTGATAAACTCATCCAACCATTCAGCAAACATTTCGTGTTAAATTCACCAAGATTACAAATCACACAAAATTGACACAAATTATAAAAATTTACATGAAGGAGATTGCCCCAGTATCTCCTAGTAAACTATAGCACGCTTCATGGCCTTCGGTCAAACACAACCAGCGGCTGCCAGACAGGATACGCCCACATTTTCGTGAGATGTATAGAGAACAAGCTAAAAAGAAAGTGATTTTTCGTACAATCAGGGGCCATAATTCAGGAAGTTACTGTCCGATATGCGCAAATATCGAAAGGAACCGAGATCTTTGGGTTTTAAACTTACATTTCAAGATTCATCAAAATAGGATTAAAATTGTGACCTCTATAGGTTCCACAACCTTGATATACCATATTTTTACGTTATTTGAGAACGAAGAGCGGCCATTTTGTCTGTCAGTTTTGGGCCAATTTTCACGAAATTCAAACTCAGCCGTCCTTAGGGTGTAACGGTGATACAATAATACGTTTTTTTTTAAATCGGATAAAAATTATGACCTCTATAGGGTCCACAAGCTAAAAACGTGATTTTTCGTACAATCAGGGGCCATAATTCAGGAAGTTACGGTCCGATATGCGCGAATATCGAAAGGAACCACGATCTTTGGGTTATAATCATACATTTCAAGTTTCATTGAAATCGGATAAAAATTATGACCTGTAGACTGTTCACAAACAATTGTACACGGACGGACGGACGGACGGACAGGGGCGACTACAATATACGTCCACATGAAAATGTGGGCGTATAAAAATCAATAGACATTTGGATCAATGGACGGTACTGGTGAAAATATAAGACAACATTAAAATGTAGGTATATAAATAGATAAAGAAAATATATATTATTGCACTGTTGAATTTATTATCAATAAATAAGTTAAAATATTCCTCTATAATAAATGATAGTAATGATAGAATAACATAATAATATGTACATATTTATTTGTTCTCATATTTTTGAGATAATTTAAATAGATAAATAGATTGAGGATAGCGAATAGATCATCCTATATCAACCCAGAACAAAGTTGATTTTTCTTTATTGAGCCCTTTATTATGAACTACTGGCCAATTCAAGTAGGTTTTTTGAAACAGTGTCAAGAAGGGAGGATGACTTATATGGTAAATGGGACTATTTCCTCACAATATACCATTTTTACAGAAAAACCTCTCAGCAAATTGGTAGTAACAGCAAAATTTTTGATAGTGACGGATGAAGGAGATTTGATTGGGGGTGGGGCTCGGGTCCTCCTCAGAGAAAATTTTGAAAAAAAAAGTGATATCAGTGGTGATTAGTGGTGTGTATCGCGACCTGAATATGACATTCAATTTCATCAGCTACAACATCACTATGAAACCAACAAAAAGCTCAAATTTAGACATTTCACAGAAACAGATTAATAAATGAATGTTTTATTCTGGCATTGTTATTAAAGGGGAGCCCAGGCCACTGATTTATGATCAATTTTAAATGAGGTCAACAACAATGATAAAGTATTTATCAGACTACTAACATATAAATATAACTATAAAAGATGAAATAGACGGAATTCAAAAATAAAGGAGTGTTTTAGACTCCAGTGTTTTTAAATATGGCTGACCAGCTAGTCTTATTTGACTAGTAGTTTGTCATCTGTATAATACAATGAAAATTTCGTTTGGATTATTTTTACACTAGTTGTATATGAACCTATTTTCTATCACAACCTTGTTCTGTCAGTGACAATTCGATGTAAATGGATTATTCCACTATAAACATTTGTTTTGCTCAACTCAGAATGGGGGAGGGCGGGCGCAGTATTCAAATGGAAACCTTAGAATCTTAACTAAAAAATCCAGAGTTTTAATCCCAGGACTTTCCGTTTTATTCAAGCTTAGCTTCCACTTGTCAGATGTTGTGTCACACACAGCCATAGAAATATAATTACCATATATTTATCTCAAAAAAAGAGTAATATAATCATCATTATGTTAACATTGAGAGTACATTTCAGTTTATTATACTATGTTCATTGCAGTAATATAATTGTATAATTACTTTGTCCAATACTTAAACAAAAGCTGCCCAACAATGTAAACATTGTTAATAAAAAATATAAGAAGGGTGCCTAAAATTAAAATATAACAATAATCAGATAAGACATGATTAGATTAATTCAGGTGATGCATAAATATAACTATTTATAACAAGGTCACCTACAACTGACCATGACCTGTGACCCTACACGACCTTCAGGAATGTGAGTATGAAAGAATGTATTACAGAGTTTATAGCCTGATTGTAGTAGATATGAATTAATGACTGGTTGGAGGACATTAAAATATACTATGTGACTTGGCCATGACCTGTGTGTTGCTGCATATTCAGATTTCAACCAATCAATAGGACTGTTATAAAACAGGTCAGCTTCTTCCGTGTAATTCTCTGCTTTCTGTAGATTTGGTTCACATGTGAGGAATCTCATACTAACATTACGATGAATATAACTGAAAAAAAAAACAATGAACAATAAACAATATAATATCCAAATACATGATGTGACATTTATTTAGTAGAATGTTAATGCTAATTGTTGCTCTGTAATAAATTTAGTGCCAAATTGGCCACTGAAGTGAGACATAGAAATGCAGAGTTAAAATGCATTGTTAAAAGATATGACAATATGATGTCATTGAGAAAGCACCCAAATCATAACTTTATTTTAGATCATTTCTCTGAAGAGTTGGGGAAAATTGAAGTGTTCAAATGATAGGAAATAAAGCCTTAGATTTAGATCAGGTGATTTTGAATGTCCTCCATACCATAAAAATTAACAGAATTTTCAAATGAAAAATTAGAAAGTTACGGTAGTTCATCACATAATTCTAAGCTTTGTTAAGTGGCATTTTGTAATGGGATAGAGTCTAGGATATACTTATGGAAAACAGTTACTAATATATTTAGACAATATTTCAAAAACAGTAGCTGTTTTATGTAAGTATCTGTTATAAGACAGTTCCAGATATCGGCACAAAATAATTACCTGTAATATGGTGTGGAGTGGCATGGCATCAGAAACAAGATGTCCGTCTCTTTCTCAATACTTTCATCATATAAAAATTTCATAACTACTATTGTCCCTCGTTGATGAATTAAACTAAAATATAGAGCTGCAGGAATGTTAGTAATAATCAAAATAATTACAAAAACTTTTGCTTTGGTTAGATTTGATTTTAATTTTTGCTTCTGTTGAATTTTTATTTTTGATTCTGTTTGGTGAGTTGATGAGATGTCATGACAACTTGAAGTTTCAGAAGATAAAACGCTGGATTCTGATTGGCTCTCACTGATATCAGATCCACCTATTCCACTGCTACAACTTTCGTTAAGATTATCAACAGTTTTATCATTGTCTTCCTTCGTTTTCTTCTTTTTTTTCTGACGTCGAATGAATGGTTTCTGACACAATGATTGGAAATAAACTCCACAGTAATGCATTGAGAGTGGTAAAATTGGCAACAGAAAACGGAACTCTTTGTGTGGTAAAAAACTGCAATTAAAGGAAAGTATATCTCAATATAATAGTTTTAATTAATTGTAAAGGTAAATAACTGAACCAATTTGAAGACCAACATGATGGCAGGTACTTTAAACTTCTACTAGCTGTTTACCTAGCATTGGACAGGTAGCGCCTTTTGACATTTACATATAGGAATTTCGTGAAACTGGAAGCACTCGTAACTCTGAAACTGGAAGTGGTAGTGCGACAACACCAGACTTGAGCTGCCATAATACCCTAAATATTAGCCTCAAGGCAGCCCTAGTGTAGCCGCCAACCCTGAATAGACAAACAAACATCGACATTCACAATATAGACTGACATGAAACCAATGAGTGAGCAGAATATTGTTCTAAAGGCAACATAATTCTCGACTAACCTGTATATAAATATATTCCATATAATTAAAAGTAGAGGAACTTTATTTGATGATTTCCATGCACCCATGATAAAAGGAAATAACTGTGTTGCCATGACAACCGGGAACCCTTGAGTTATGTACCAATGCCAGGGATGTGTGCCGTATATAGCACTGTCGCCTGTTAGGACGTTAAATTGTAAGAAGTTCCACTGTACACAAGTCCATGTATTATAATAAACTCGATCTATTAAAGCTGATATACCTAGAGATAATACACTGTAAATAACAAGAACAACATCTTATAATAAATACGATCTATTAAATCTGATATACACAAGAATAATATATTATAATAAACACAATCTATTACTTCTGTATTGTCTTGTAGGATATGTTTTTCTTTGTTTATTACAAATGGCGCCAAAATCATGGAAATACACAGCATTTTCTAATGTTTATTGTGTCTTATATATTGGCTGGATATTAAGATCCATATCTTCTCTTCACTGACTGAAATGGACTGAATTTTTTTAATTTCCATTGTATTGGAAACAATATGTATTTCATAGATTACACATATCACTCACACAGATTAGAACAAAGCTTGAAAGTTTTTTTTTTAAGACCTTAACTGGGAATCAATTGAGAATTTTCATTATGAAATAGATCTTAACCAAGAACCTCACTCATACTAATGAAAACAAATTCACTTACCAAACAAGGATATAGTTTTTTAAAGTTTTATATAAATGGGATGAATTATGTTGTATATGCCAAGAACATAATAAAATCCACATAATAGCTGCCGTAGGTCGAACTATTACGGAAAGAGCTGCCATGGCTAAAAATTTCATTGATGAATTCCTGAAAAACAAAAATTTACATTTAAAAAAAAATATAAATATCAATGTTAAATTAATATGTTACTCATGTGACTACATTATTTGAAACATGCTACCAGTATGCCTACCCTTGTTTTTTGATTGTATCGGACATAATTATTAAAGAACTGAATACAGATATCTGAATCATTGAATGCAATGGGATTTTACATCCTACTTTTCTGCTCCGACTAGACAGCAATTGAATTCCAATAACCATGGTTGTTTTATGTGCATGCTAACATGTACATGGAACCACGATTTTCTGTACCAACTAAAGGACTAGATAATTTTTCCTGCACCACTTACAAGAGGAAATCGAATCCTAAACCTCCTGGTTAGTGACCTGAGTCACCATAGCTCCCATACCTAAACTACTGACAATACAATGTCAAGATCATTCAACAATGTGTTAAAGCTAATATTGCACGTTTTCTAAGAAGGAAGTCCCTTGAGAATAACAGGGCTATTATTAAACAAATAAAAAGTTCATTAACTAACCCTTTAGACGTCAATCCAGGCCAAGGAAAGTAATATAAAGCTACAGTAACTAAAACAGCTTCAGTTGAATTAGTCAGAGTTCTAGTACAGCAGTATAGAGTAAACCATGATAAAACATGACATAATAATGTCCACTGAGCTGTAGGTGTGCCACTAAGTTTACGTGATAATTTATAAAGATATAAATCACCAACAGCTGCCAATACACCCTGTAACAATCTTGGTAGTTTTATCTGAAAGGAACATAATAAATTCAAATGGAAATTTAACGCCACATATTTACATTTATCATCATTATGATCGGAAATCAATTCTATATTAAAGTACCAGAGAAGAAGAGAGAGAAATGGGGCTTAATGTCCACTTGACACAAATTTTTATGGTTTAATTTCATTTCAATAATTTGCTAGCGTGTAGGGTACAGACGAGTTACTCCTTGTCAAGTACAAGCAGGGAATCGAAACCACACCACTTGATTCAATGATTTAACTCACACATTTTTAAACCATTTGGCAACCCAACACCCTATTGAAGAAGGTATGGCCCTGCTTGATTTGTCAATACCGGCGCATACCAGCTGACCACAGTTCGGCAGTTTTTGCGCAAGGTCACTTGATTTCACCGGAAGTCGACAAAAGATCGGCTGCGGCAAACGCCGAATGCGCCTCTTTGGCGGCAGTGGCGAACATCAGCGCAAGATGGTGAACATGTCAACGAGATAAAATTCACGTTATTTAGGATTGCCATAAAACACTAATTTTAAAGCGTTAAAATTCAACCAAATGTTTTGAAGTTGAATTTGAGCTTCGTAAAACCAGAAGTTCATATGTCATTTATTTTTTCTCAGTAATATTACTAATAATAATTTTCTGCTTATTTTGCGGGCACTTTCAAGAATACTGTTTTTGATTGGAACATGTCATGTAACCTGTTTAATATTATAACATTATCCGACGCCATTTGTTTATCAGCCGGGTCACTTGATTTGCTTCGATACGGTAACCTGACCGGCGTACGCCGTAGTAGAAACTGGCTCACCTATCGACGGACAAATCAAGCAGGCCCAATGGCAAGTACAGAGAATAACTATGAAATCAATGAAACTTGGGTTTCAAGAACCCTAATAATCTACTCACCAGTAATATTCGTGTATCAAGACCTAAAACTTGTTGAATTTTAAACAAAACAGCAAAAACAAGTGGGTAGGTATAACCACGTAGACCTTCTCTCCATTCCCATGTCATGTAACCATACCTACATGTACATAAAAGAAATATACTGTGAATGTTATACATCTAAGTCAAATTTTTCATGTTGATGTATTGTAAGATTTCAAATCTTAAGGTACAGTACCTGTATTTTAAAATCTGATTACTGACTCCATATAACTAAGAAAATTAAAGACATTTCTAGGAAATTTCTAGGCATATTTTCATGTCAACTGAAGACATTTTATTACAGTATGTAATAAATTCCAACAGGCAGAGAGATTTTCATCTGCTTTACAAAAAAAGGCTAAGTTGTGCTGGCGAAACTTGTACTGTGATACATTGCACGGACTTTACTAAATAAATGCAGTCCTATTGCAGTGTGTATTATTTGTATTTTATTTTTTTGAAAATTAAATTAACATTTTGTGACACGCAAGTACACTGGCTTGCTATTGCTAGATGGTCTATATATATCTGGTACTACCGAGCTTTTGAAACATCCTACAATGGTAAAGTCTACAAATATACATTAATCTGATTTGTCATAGTGTATTTATCATTCTACACATTTATTGACTTTTGATTGCCTTTAGGGAGGAATTATACTATATATTAGTCCTGATACTTAAAAACAATTTCCATATTTGTTTGTTTACACAAATATAGCCATTATATCCTGAATAAGACCAATTAACCTGTTATTTGCCTATTATTTATGTTAGATAATTTTACTAATCATATCAGAATATAATGTATCGTAATATACCGGGTACAGTAGAATCTGTATTAAGCAGCCAATCAAGGGAATTTTCATGACTGGCCGCATAACGGGAGTGACCGCTTAATAAAATCTGAGTGTTTGTTAGTGCTGACATCAAGTAAATTTTATGCTTGGATGCATTGGAAGCAAACATCAATACTTGCGTTGGTAAATTTGGCCGTCGCTGAAACTTGCTTGGGACGAAAATTATTTGACAGAAATCTCTGATATATCTTCTGAAAACGTGTCATTTTGTACCAGCATTGATACTACTGTTAACCACCGTGATGTATTCAATATTATTTATCCATTTTTGTGAAGAAAATCCATGAATTAATTTTATTTTATCAAAAAGCACATGTCCAAAAGAAGATCGCTGAATTTGTCACCGATTTTCAGGTGGTGTAACTCTGTATGTAATATAGGAGGCGCTAAAACTTCTGTTTAGCAACAAAGTGGAAATGGAAAGAAGAATTTCTACGGGGGGAATTTATCGTGACCGCTTACAAGGAGAAGTCGCTGAATGGCAGTGGTTGCTCGTGCAGATTCTACTGTACATAATTTCCAAGAAATCCCCAAGCACAATGTAAGAAAATCTAAATTACCCAAAAGCCATGTTGTGTCCCACTTCTAAAGATTGCCAATATTCATCAGGTACAAAGTGGGTTTGTATCATCAATGCATTTACACATCTTAGAGCAAGAAGGCCAAGAAACAGTGATCTATCCTTAGACATAATCGCCTTCACTACCATAGGTCCCAAAACTTCTTCATCAAACATGTGGTTATCTGTTTCTTCTTCTATGTCACTTCCAGCTGGAGAAGATTGACAACTAGATCTTGCTCGATCCATGTCGCCTGGACTCAAGCGCAATTTACGTCTTCTTATCATAGCTTCTCCTTTTGACATAATGATCAAAGAATAATCAATCGTTATAGATTAAAACCATTTCTTATTGCATTAGATTCTGAAATAGAGATCAGTTTGAAACAAATATACAATCCAAATTGTCACTCTTTTAAACAGCTTATTTGCTGGGCTAGCAACATCAATAGCTGACGGTCTGAGGAGAGTCTGAGCTATGTCAATGTATTTTTTATCAGTGTTTAATACTGATAACCAAATGTACATTGTTCCAAACATGCTAATACTAATATTTTTTTTACCAAAAAATCCAATGCTTTCCACCTGTCAATTCTATCTTGTTATATATCTGATGCATCATTTTAGTGCTTTAGAGTCACTTGCAAACTACATTACTGTGGGCATTTAGCAGTTTAATTACAGGATTCTATAATGTCATCATTGCAACTCCATTGCCCACCAACTATCAAAATACTAAGACTACAGATAGACTATAGAGTCAGACATTTGAGGCTAACCGGAGTCGTACATGTACGTCAGTGTCAGAATATATTGTCAATTGTCATTGATTACATTACACAACTACAATTGTATTTCTGACAGGCAAGTTGGACATTTTGGACAAGCTGATTTATCTAAAGCTACCAAATTACTAGCCTCCTTCAAAATCATATCAATTAATAAAGAGTTTGTCGAGAAAAGTCTCGACTAGACCCTACTTACAGTTACACTTTTACACTTGACTTAGTCACTACTTCCACACAACATATCAATAGAATTTATTCATTTTCGATCTTAAAAGTGGAAGGTCAGAAGAAAGTTGATAGAAATACCAGTGCAACATGTCGTGTCGTGTTATTTTTCAACCTTTAGGAAGCCAGATCAATCAATAATTCACTAATAAGCGTCGAATAACAACCAACCGGAAGTAAGGACTTTGATGTTATTTTTCGATAGAAAATACACTAAGGGGGGTAATCGTTTAAAATTGATGTTGACCACAAAGGATGCGGACCACCATTAAAATTGTTGTTGTTTATTACAAATTTTATCGGCCAATGCATTCATTATACATGGTATTATGAACACGTTGATTTAATTAAGATTATCATTAAAAAAACAGTGCCAAAATTGCTGTGGTGATAAGAGAAACAGCAAATCTTTAATACAAAGTGACATTTTGTGAACATTTGTTTCAACACAGACCCAACAAAAAAAAATGGCCATGTCTCTGCTCCAAAGTTTGTATGAGGTTTCCCACTGAAACTTTTTGATACACAAACTTGGAAGTACGGTGGCATACAAAAATCACTAACTACATAACAATGGCCATGCAAAATGTAAGAATGGGAAGATAGAATTGGTAATATTTGAGAGAAAATTGCCAATATAGACAAACTACAAATAATAAGGTGGTGAAATTTAATAGTGGTGTGCTTCCACAAATTGTATCGATTGTTGTCAATGTTAAATCCCCCAGTTTGACCATATGTAGCACATTTTCAAATGTACTATGACCAAGAGGTTTCAATGCTTCTGGAACAAAAAATCCATGTAACAAAAAAACATTTAAATGACATTTAAATAACATTCTCTTGCAGCTTTCTTCAAAATGTCCCTATTATGCATCTCCCATAGTCGTACCTTGCGTATCTCAGTTTGCGTGACATTATCCCACCATGCATTTCAAGTGAAATGGTTATGTTGTCAAATCAATGAAATGAAATGGGATTTAACGAAAATTGGCATACGCCACACTGTGTGCTATGAGGGATATTTTACCCGGATAGAGGCGCTATGCCCTACTCTTATAATATCCAATTCTAACTGCCAATGGATCTTTTATGTGCACATCTCAATTTTTTATGCCATCCAAAGGACTATCCATTGTGCATTGCCAGGCCCTCTGGCAAATTCTTACCCACTGAGTCGCTGTGGCTCCCCTGGTTGAAATCAGATCAACAGTCCCGATAGGAAGACAATATAAAATGTTTAGCATACCCCATTCAGCCAATGGCTAAAAGAAAAACAACAGACAAATATCTAAGAAATTAGTTTTATTGTGTAAAGATAAAGATATCATAAGTGAGATTCTCTTACATAAAAATAGATACTGATAACAGAAATTAGAAAAACAAGCCAACAGTGAGGCTGATGTCCCCCGCCGAAATTGCAAAATAAATAGATGACACATATTAATTAATCGCACATTTATTTTTTTCACTAAGTTTCATCACTCTCTATCAGATAGAATCAAGATTATCTTGTCCCAAACCATCGACAAATGAAATCGATTAGCTCTGCTTAGCTTCAGCTCGAAATGTTAATTATTGAACTCAGTCAAGACATTCACCTAATGAACATCTACATATACATCAAGTTTAAACATTCACCTAATAGACACCTATGCCAAGTTTGAACATTCTACCTCAATTAGAAGGAGAGTTATTGTGTTCCAAAGTTTCTACCAATCAAATTGCTTATCACTCTGCTTACCCTCAGCAAAAAATGTTCATTATCGAACTTAGTTAAGGTATTCATATAATAAATCTATACACCAAGTTTCATCAATCTCACTTAATTAGAACTAAAGTTATCGTGTCCCAAAGCATCAACCAATCAAATTGCTTATCTCTGCTTACCCTAAGCGGAAAATGCTCATCTTCGAACTCCATCAAGGCATTGACCTAATCAACACATACACCAAGTTTGAACATTCTAGCTCAATTAGGAAGAGAGTTATCGTGCCCCAAAGTATCAACCAATCAAATTGCTTATCTCTGCTTACCCTAAGCGGAAAATGCTCATCTTCGAACTCCATCAAGGCATTGACCTAATAAACACATACACCAAGTTTGAACATTCTAGCTCAATTAAAAGTTATCGTGTCCCAAAGCATCAACCAATCAAATTGCTTATCTCTGCTTACCCTAAGCGGAAAATGCTCATCTTCGAACTCCATCAAGGCATTGACCTAATCAACACATACACCAAGTTTGAACATTCTAGCCCAATTAGGAAGAGAGTTATCGTGTCCCAAAGCATCAACCAATCAAATTGCTTATCTCTGCTTACCCTAAGCGGAAAATGCTCATCTTCGAACTCCATCAAGGCATTGACCTAATAAACACATACACCAAGTTTGAACATTCTAGCTCAATTAGGAAGAGAGTTATTGTGTCCCAAAAAGTGTGACGGACAGACAGACGGACAGACAGACGGACAGACAGACAGACAGACAGACAGACAGACGGACGAACCCATTTTAATAGTCCCCTGCTTTCTTCGAAAGGCGGGGGACAAAAAAACAACAACACAATTTAGGATATATGCAAGGGTAGAAATATTATAAATTGTACGAATATTTAAACATGAATAAATATCCCAATAATACAACCACCCATCAATAATACCTATTTACCATGCCTTGGCTATTTGATTTTGCACACTATTTTGATTTGTTGTTCAAAGTGGTTCCAACCGAAGATGTGCGTTAAAATAAAACATTACCCTCATTTAAGTCTGCATTTTAAAGGTGTAAAGAGATTTAAAAAAAAAACAATAACAAAGATTTTTTGTAAAGAAATTGAAAACAATTATATGATAATAATAATACAAGTTTAGATGGCAAGTTCAATAATAATTGCACTAATTCTAATAAGCAATGTGTGTAGTAAATGCATACATCATAAATGTAGAATAAAAAACACAAGCAAAGGTTTGATTCTTCAAAACTATTATAGATAGCATACAACCTAAATTGACACATAACCTGATCTAACATGAATAATTAACATTCATTACTGGAGAATAAATATATATGCAGAATGCACTGTTAAGCTGTCTTCTTGTCATGTCTGCAGGTTTGTTTTATCAGTTTTCTTTTGCATGTACATGTAGTGCAGTCCTCCTGCACTTACTATATAAGCATTGCTGAAATGTTCCAACATGTTAATCAGAAAATGCTTGTAAAGATAAACAAACCTTCAATATTTTGTTGTTTTTAAGTACATAATTTTTAAATGTAATGCTACAATACGCCTGATCTACCCTGAAAAGCACTAGAAAAATAATTGTATAAGTTAATCACTATCTACATATAGGCCTACATATATAAATATATATATTCATATGCTGCCATAAATTTAGCACTTGGTTCAACACATCAGTCTTCTTATGTTAACAAATTTGTTGGCCTACATTTTAGGGATCAGATTCCAAGACAACCATTTCATTACTAGCAAATAAATGTCAAACCAATTTGCCCAAAAAATCTGAGACAATCTGTATCATGTAATAAGGAGAAACTTTTCACAGGTAATATGCTGTCTGCTAATTCTCAAGTACCAAATGAAGAGCCCCGGGGAAGAACGATCTAAGTCACTTTTCCAACGAACCCCAGTTAATGGCACCATCTTGTAGCAAATTGTATAAGCTTTCTGCGGAACAATCAATTTCAGGTAAAAACGATTGGAGTCACATTGAACCAAGGCCCTTCTGAAATGGCCTCCCGGACAAATACAAGTCCATCATATTTATTTGACCTTAATTTGGCTGAAAAGTGAAAGTCAGTTGTTGTACTGGTAATTATGATTCATATTAAACATCATTTTGAAGTTGTAATTAAACCAACTCATTGTTCTTTTCGCGTCAAGCATTCTCGTCCAAAAGTCTATTTTGCCTTTTATGAGAAAAAACAAAAATTTGACTTAGATCGTTCTTCCCCTGGACTCTTTAAATTATTTCATGAACACAATAATTTCATGTAAATTTATTTGATTTGCTAATCTAATATCTAAGCACTAGTTACTGTTGTAAGTTTTAAATATTGTAAATATGAACTACATGTCCGTAGAAATAATACCTTTACAGAAAAAATAAAAATAAAATGACTAGCTTTCATTTCAATCTTATTAAAACATTCTAGCAGCTGTTATATAAGCTGTGCTTAATTTTTTATGATATCCACCAAATGAATGAACTGTGACCTCAGTTTCATATTCGCCTATCTGACAATCGGTAGTACCATCATATCCCATCAATAATGCTACTGTGTATGCAGCAATCTCAAACTCAGGACTTGTACCCAAAAAACAGCTACACATGGGTTTAGCCTTCTCTCCTCGCCATGTGAATTGAAGAGCTATTAAACGTGGATATTCATCATTTTTAACCTAAAAGATATGAGTTTAACATCACAGTTAACATTTACTCGACGAGTAAGAACATGGCTAGAATATCAGTCATTCTGAACGCTGTTCATAGTGCCCATAAGAGCTAATTGTGCTTTCTGTATGTCCTCTTGTTTTATTACGGTAGTCACATCAATACATGTAACTGATTTATTCAATCAATACAGATCATGCCTATGAATACATGTAGTTAAAACCAGCAGCTGCCATTCAGGATACGCCCAAATTTGCAAGAGATGGATAGAGAACAAGCTAAAAAAAAAACCATGATTTTTCGTAAAATCTGGGGCCATAATCCAAGAAGTTATGGTCTGAAATGCGCGAATATCGAAAGGGACAGAGATCTTTCATCGAATTCAGACAAAAATTATGACCTCTAGAACGTGTACACAGTTTGTGTACCAATGTCCCAGGGTTGTCTTCCCTTGCAGTCCACAATATCTCTGCTAACGGCTGATGTTGATGGTCAAGGATAAACAATACGATTTAAAACAAATAAACGATAATATATTTAATACCATTACCATATTTAAATAGAAATAGGGTCACAATTGCAAAGTAACAATTTACAAATATTACAGGGAACTCTTTCGCGCAAGATTACAGGGTTAAATGGTTGGAAATACGAACTGCACATATCGCCGTGCTAATTTTAGAATACAATACACATGGATCTCTTTACCTTTATAATGCGATCGTAAGGCCTAGTACATTTACACATGAAACATGCAAAATTAGACTGTTTTCTTTCGGAGGGGTAATAATTGATGACATTTTCCCCTAAAATTGACTAAAACTCATCAAGTGTTTATAACGCCAGGAACTTTTCTGACAGATGCCATTTTCATCATGTAGTTAATCACATGACCAATGACCTCTAGGTCAACCAGTGTAGTGTTGGAGCAGACGGCAGAGTCGAATGCTGGATAGCGAGACTTGTGTGGAGAGTGTTTGTGTACAAGGAGCATCCATTTTGTCAGACAGTTTTGGTTCGATATTCATGAAATTCAAACTCAACCATCATAGGGTGTAACTGTGATACATTTAAAGGTTTAAAGGTTTTTTAAAATCGGATAAAAATTGTGACCTCTAGAGGGTACACAAGTTAAACATGTGATTTTTCGTACAATCAGGAGCCATAATCGAGGAAGTTACAGTTTGATCTGCGCAAATATCGAAAGGAACCAAGATCTTTAGGTCATAAAAGTACATATCAAGTTTCATCAAAATCAAATAAAAATTGTGATTTTTAGAGTGTCCACATTCCACAACCTTGATATTACATACTTTTACACTATGTGCGTACAATGAGCGGCCATTTTGTCCGGCAGTTTTGGTCAGATTTTTACGAAATTCGAACTCAGTCTTTATTGATGTGTAACGGTGACATATTTAAACGTTTTTTAAAATTGAATATAAATTGTGACTTCTAGCGGATCCACAATCTAAAAATGCTATTTTTCGAAATATCAGGGGCCATATACAAGGAAGTTACGTTTGGATATGCACGATTATCGATAGGAAACAAGGTCTTTGTGATTTAAACATAAATTTAAAGTTTCATCATGCAAAATCGTGGCCTCTAGAGGGTCCACAATCTAAAAAAACAATATTGCATACAACCAAGGGCCATAATTTAGGAAATTACGATCCGATATGCGCAAAAATCGAAAAGAACCAAGATCTTTGGTTTATAAACATTAATTTCAAGTTTCATCAAAATCAGATCACAATGGTGACCTCTAGAGGGCCCACAAACTTGATATATCATATATTTAAACTATTTGCGTACGAAGGGCGGCCATTTTATCCGGCAGTTTTGGTCCGATTTTCACAAATTTGCACTCACCCGTTATTAGGTTGTAACGGTGATATATGCAAATGCTTTTTTAAATCGGCAATCTGATTAAAATACAGATCTGTATTTCGTTCCATTTTTTTATACTTTCGATGGCCGGTTGTTGCGATGGGTCGCGTCAGAGGTCATACGAGCGGCTTTTGACCCTATGACATCAGACATTTGATTACGCAATCAGCATTGATGTTACTAGTGGATTACCCACAGTTCCGTGCAAAACACGCCTAAAGCTCACCATAACAGACCGTTTCACTGGCTAATACCTCACACTGTTCAGAACACATCAATGATAACAACTCTTCCAGATCCTGGTGCAGTAAAGACAAGTAAAACGAAATTTTGAACTATAAAAATGAAACGAAATAGGATCTGTGTTTTAATCAGATTGCTAAATCGGATAATAATTGTGACCTCTAGATTTTTCATACAATCAGGGGCCATAATTCAGGAAGTTACAATCCAATATGCACGAATGTATCAACAGGAACCAAGATCTTTGGGTTAGAAACATGTAATTTTCAGTTTCATCAAAATCGGATCAAAATTGTGATCTTTAGCGGGTTCACAACCTTGATATACCATATATTTACTCTATTTGCGTACAAGGGACGGCCATTTTATCTGGCAGTTTAGGTCCGATTTTGACGAAATTTGAACTAAAGCATCGTTACGGTGTAACGGTGATATACTCGAACTCGAACCTTGTTTTAAATCAGATAAAAATTGTGATCTCTAGAGGGACTACAAGCTAAAAACGTGATTTTGCGTAAAATCAAGGGCCATAATTCAGGAAGTTACAATCCTATATGCGCAAATATCGACAGGAACCAAGATCTTTGGGTTATAAACAAGTATTTCAAGTTTCATCTAAATCCAATCAAAATTGTGGCCTCTAAAGGGTCCACAACCTTGATATACCATATATATACACTATTTACGTATGAGGGGTGGCAATTTTTTAAATCGGATAATAATTGTGACCTCGTACAATCAGGGGCCATAATTCAGGAAGTTACGATCCGATATACGCAAATATCAACAGGAACCATGATCTTTGGGTTATACACATTAAATTCAAGTTTCATCAAAATCAAATGAAAATTGTGACCTCTAGAGTGTCCATACATTAAAAACGTGATTTTTCGTACAATCAGGGGCCATAATCCATGAAGTTTTGATCCGATACAAGCCAACATTGAAAGGAACCTAGATATTTTGGAGATAAACCTATCTTTCAAGTTTCTTCAAAATCAGATAAGAATTGTGACCTGTAGAGTGTACACAAAAAAATTGTGGACGGATGTCCTGATGGACAGGGGCAACGACAACATACGTCCACATGAAAACGTGGGCATATAAAATTCATCAGACTTTGGGCTTCAGAGCGTTTTTAAGGTTTGAGTGGCAAGAACAGTAACTCTGCAAGTATTGATGTGCTAACGCACAGGCTTTATTTCTACGATAAGTTGAATTAAATCTGAATAATTCTGGCTAGTATAGTGGTTACAAGGTCAATAACCCATGTCTACAAGTATTCAATTAACTACAGTAATAATATGTCAGGGTATCTAAAAAAAAACCCTCTTGTTAAAATAAGAAACATACCGTTTCACGACGGAAGTAACCATTATAATTGATATAGCCAGCTTTCTCCTGTAGATAAAACTGTAACCAATTGTGAAGACCAATCATATCATCTCCCCTTCCTTCTCCAACAAATACATGCTCAAAACTACTGGAGTCATTTCCCCTGAAAGATACATACATGTACATGTATGTTGTGACAAAACACAGACAGAGATTGGATACAAGGCCAAATAAAAACACAATAGACATAGAGTTTTCTTCCAAGATGTCTAAGTTATGGTTCATATAGAAGATTAGGATCAGATTATCTTATTAACTTTTTAGAGACCTGGTAAGGCTCTTACGTCTTTCAGAACAATAGGATTATAAATTGTGACCATAGGCAAGATAATCTGATTAGGACCAATTTACCCCCAGAAAAGAGTTTTTCTAATAATTCAACCATTTTATTATGTATCTTCTGTTGCTTGTCTGACATATAACCTCCAATACACTAGCTGTAATCAAGTTGGGTGCTTGCCATTTGGAATAATTTCAGTCCTTCACATTTATAAAATTGTGCGGGAGCCATAAAAAGCTCCTGATACCTTGAATATATGCAGTTTAAAAGTAAACAAAAACTGAAAGTAGTTTATTAATCTTAATATTTAGGAGAGCGATTTAGCTAATTTGCAGGAGTCTTTAATGACTCCTTCGAAGGAAAGCCGACGTGCGTCAAGAGGAGCGGGAGCAAAAGCTCCCCTTAAACGTGAAGGACTGTAATTTAGCAGACTGAATAACTGCTAGTTTTATATGGATAAAACATTATTAAAGAACAAACCATTTATAACCGAACATTTCTTTACTGTATTAAATTGAGTAACATGATGTGGTAGTTTTTAACCAATTTAACACAAGACTACTTTTACACTTGTAATAGGCCCAACTTAAACAATACATGCACTTTAGAAATTGTATAAGAAATCTAAAATCTTAAATGCAAGAATTAAGTTGCGAATCCATGAATACACTGAACCGTAGGCTAACACTGAACTTTTATTTGTTTTGGCTAATTGCAGAAAGGCTGCACGCATTATTCTCTAAAATCAAACCATTCGCTCACCTGCAACCTTTTCGTCTGTACATCCTAAACCAAATATCATGAAGTTGTCTTTTAAAGTCATATTCATCACTCGATGCTTTCCCCTCGCTAACTAAATACTGATGGGCTTCCTTCATTACATCAGTTTCCATAATGGCATCTAAAAATTCATAATTTTCCTGTTTTTCTTCCCATGTTATGTTTTCTTGTTCATTACATTCCATTTCATAATTATCCAATAATTTCCTAAATGCTAAAAACAAAATTGTTGAATATTAACAATATGGATTTACTTCATTGCTTGATTATTCAAATGAAACAATTAACATATTTATAGTAACATTGATCATCATGTAAATTATTAAAAGGTCTAAGGTCAAGGATGTTCGTGCTTCAAGCTCTAGCTGGATGGTTGACTCTGGCTTGTTGTGGTTTTCAATATCAGGTATGAGCCTTCCCAACCCAGGACAGACCCCTATGTATTCCCTAAGCATAAAAGAATATCAACATCGGTGGAAGCAGTGGTTGAATACTAATAGAAGAAAAGAGTTGAGTAAATTATAGAAGATTAGATAAGGAGCTAATGTTCTCGCTATAATCGTTAAAAAATAGATAATGAAAAGGGATTATGCTGAAAATGTCAGTCAAATTACTAAACTCTGAGCCGAGATATCATCGTTTACAATAACACTGTAGCTTTGATTGTCATTGCTACTATGATAATGAACAAAGTCTTGATTATTCATTTTTGCGTTTAATCATCAACAGCCGTTGAACCACGGATCAGATTCAAATCTGTTTAAAATCATCATACTCATCAGATGGCATTGAGAGTTAATTTTGGTCTTGGTAAGTTAATTAATGTCTAATTAGTAATTTATATAACATTTAAGACCTAAAGAAAGACCTGCAATAGGCAGCTTTAGCTCTTACATAGTGCCTGTTTAACTTCTTAATCAACAAATAATAATTAATTCTATGCAACTGAGATGAAATTAGATTGATCTATGATACATGTACAATGGTGGCCGGTTCATTTATTTTATCAATCAGCTTTTCAAACATCAAGAGGCTGTAGATGACTAAGATCCCTGATATTTACCTCCATAAGTTTTTCTTCCAAATATTTTATCTTCATCCAAGTCCTGAATTAAATGTTCACGAGCAAAATCTCTAGATACATCTCTTGTAGATTTTACAAATCCTAAAATTATAAATAAATTGTACCTACATGTATAATGTGTTCTTCAACTTCTTAAATACAATGTTATATGAATAATCAAACAAGAAATACAAACAGAATACTTTCATCAAATTAACACTGAGCCGAAGGATGGTAGGTGCGCAAAATCAAATGTACAATACCACATTTTTTAAATCGTGTGTGTGTGTGTGTGTGTTGGGGGTAAATGCACAATGCTGTATTTTTTATCTTTGGTGTGTGTGTGTGTATCCGACATTTTTACTACATGTGTACATGTTTTTTCTGTTTTCATATAATTGAAACATTTGCTGTGTAATTAATTACCTAATGTAATGGAAATTCATAAGTAAAAGTAAACAATATAAAGATTGAAAGTTGCCCACTAGAGTTCTGCTCCTGTGATTTTTATTCTTTAATTTAATACTCTATCAAAACATTATATTTTTATATTTGTTACCTTGGAGTTCAATATCGTAATCCTCTCCAGGGTAGCATTTATTGTCATCCATTTCCCATAATTTGGTAAGAATTTTAGAAAGCTCGGGATCTGGTGTATACCTAAAATAGAAAAAAAAAAAATTATCATTCAGTAGGACACTATAACTTTCTAGTTAACATTAAAGTTTGACTTATAAAATATTCACTATATTAAACATACATTATGCAAGAGCTAAATCTGCCTATTGCAGGTCTATCTTTAGGCCTGAAATGTTATCTAAATAATTAGTTAGACATTAACTAACTTATCCAGACCATAATCAACTCCCAATGCCATTGCTAGCCTGTGATATTTAATGGATTTGAATACATTTTGTGATGGATAATTAAACATAAAAATGGATAATCGCGACATTGTTTATTATCATAGGCTAAAATTGAATCTCTAATATCTTGGTTCAGAGGGAAGCAATTTGACTGAAATTTTCAGCATATTCTGTTTTCATTATCTATTTTTTAACTATTATAGCGAGAACTGTCAGATCTTTATCTAATCTCACCTAATGTGGCACTAATTCCCCTTTAAACTCCAAAGGGCAAAAATAAAACCAGGGTCCAGCAAATGATAAACAGACATGAACCTTTATGACTGGAATGTATCAAAAGTGACCTTATTTTACAGCAGCTCGCTAAAGTCAGGACATAAGCCTGCATTTATTAATACAGTATGCAAAATTACTATTCTTAACAAAGAAATAACAAGAAAAGTGAAAAACATAGTCTACATTTTATTTTGAATTGACCTGTAACTACATGTACATAATATTTTTTTCTATTTCATGAAGAATAGAAATACTGTATAAAAATATTAAATTGACCTGTTACCTGTCAGATACAAACGAACCCCACTTGACTTACTATCTGGGTACATGGTTCAAGTGTGACTGATATATCATATATTCAGTCATGCATTATATTCGCATACCTTTCAGTGTTTAATCTACTCTAGTGGATGTCTGTATATTTCAACAAAGTTATCAAGTACACGTCACATGTAGTGCAAACTAATTTTATTTGGACTTATCACATTGCGACAATGGATTAATTTTATGTAGCCAGTTTTTATTATGTATTAATTAATAATCTCTTAATTCCACTACAATTTATGCTTATGAATATTTAATCCATACGGCCATACGGTAATCGAATACGGTAACTTGAATAATCATATTAGATCTGCAAATGATCTATAATTACTTAGCAAAACTATTTATAACTTAATAATAATCATAATGCTTACGCTGCCATTTCTTTTTCGATTTCTGTTTCCAAACTAGTACTTCCAACTCTCAATAAATCAACCGTAAACACGACCTGATACGATAGACTTCCTGCGATATTTTCACTCAACCGTGTCAACTGACCTGCACCGAATTTTCGTTTCACGAACATCCAGCACAATGTCCTACAAATAGATCAAGATATCTATGAAATAAAATAATGTATTAAACGTCTGGATAATAGAAAACGCCAGCACCAATTACCACGTGGGTTAGGAATGTGTAATGTAACGGGACTTTGGATTGGCTCAATGATTGACAGGAGAGAATCTAGCAAATGAAAATATTTGTTTTACTTTAGTTTGGGTGTAAGCAGAATGGCAGCCCTGGTGTACTTGCCGCAAAATGTTCTTGTCGGCTTTGATCATTATAAAGTAAGCATGAATAAATGTCAAAATCCACTGTCGCTGGAGTAAAGTTAAAATGTTCAGATATCTGAGCGTGAGGTTAGATGGGCAGACTGACATTTGTTTTATTAAATTATCTAAAGTAAAACGAGTACTGACAGGTCTGAACTCCCTGCATTATACGGAAGCCAGGAGGGGCATGAACTGGGTAGGCCTAGTGACTAGTGAGAGAGGGGTATGGGGATCCCAGCAAGACTAAACTTGACCTTTGACTTTTTTTTGATGAGGTGGGGTTAGTTTTAGGTGAGTATAGGTTATAGTCAAATGTTAATCCAAGGAGGAACACTGTTGATTGTTCCAAATGTATCCATATCACTGAATGATTGATTTATAATTTGTATCAATCATTATTATAGGCCTATTCCAAAAAATAAAGGATGGTGGGCATTGACAATTGACAGTAGAGAGGTTCCGCAACCAGTACAAACTACAAACACAGCTTCATACTTCGCACTTGGTTTTTGACAGAATTCCGTTTCTGCCAGAATGTAAAGCCTGTAGTATGATCTTTAATTAGTTCCAAGGTTGTTCACCTAAAACAAGGAATAACACTGTTTAGTTTCGTTAAATAAAAAATATCAAATCAAATCAAATTTTGGTCCTGAAGAAACACATTGAAGTGTGTTTTTTTTTTTATCAAATTCGAGATGATTTGATCTTATCGAGTACTGTGGGAAAAAAAACATATTTCACAGCCCGAAAATTGGCCCCAAATCAGAACAATTGCCGACAACTTTGACGCCGATCAACCTTCTACAGAATTTTAATTGTTCAAGCTTTCTGTAAAAGCGCAAAAATGCGAATTTCATCCACAAATCAGCAAAAAAATCATGATTTTGTACTTCGATTTTTAACCACAGACTTTTCCCGATTTCTTCGCAGAAAATGGACGATCCGAACTGATGACGTCAGCACATAAACACTTCGTAGTTGTACTACTTGTAGTTGTTCGTACTGCCTGCGGAACCTCACTAGTAAAGAGCACACATTTGACATTGCTTTGCTAACACAACTGGGGCAACAATTTCTAGTTTATTATATTATAAATATAAGTAAGAATTATCCTCTAAGTTATTGTTTATCTAGAACAAAAAACATTTTGGTAACAACCTTTAGTACATTGTATATTAAGATGGCTGCTCAATGAATGAGGTAGACTCACAAATCAGGTTGTCCTGGATTCAATCTCATTTTTGGGCAACAAAGTTCTTCTGTGTTTTTCCAGTTTAATTTCCCCTTGTCCTCGATGCAAGACAAAAGTGGAATGGGATTTAATGTCCTATTTACCTCGTTGAAGGACAGAGTGCCTGGCAAAAACCATATCTGTTTGAATGATTACATGACATTTTGGACTTGGCTCAAAATATTTATTTAATAATGATTTAGGGATGAACACAAAAGTTAGTCCTAACTGTGGTCAAAATCAAAAGGTCGCCAGACAGAATGGGTTGAAAAACAAAAGTCATGTGTACACGTTGGAATTTGATGAGGACTAAAGAGTAGACAGAAACGCCACTGTCTGAGCAAAATTATCTCTTAGCACACTGTATAGCTCACATAATGCAGAACTATTATTACTACATACATTATTGTGAAGCAGTCATGGGATTTCAAAATTTTAGTTGTCGGACATTTTCTTCCCGAAAATAAAGGGACATAATAACTCTTATAGTTATTTAAGCAGGCGTTTTCAAACCACAATTAAGAATCATGTGTCAACAAAATATTCAAATTCATACGTAATAAAAAAAAATTAGAATCCCCCCGTAATTTTTCATATTTAATTCCCGTACCGTATTCAAATTTATGTCTATAATATTCCTAAAAAATTACATGACATCGTAATACCATAGAATGAAAGCGTGCCGACTACTGCCCATCCGTACCGGTTTCAAATTCCCCCAAAATTACCGTATTTTTCGGGTCATAAGTCGATACATTTTTCAGCAAAGTCTGGCATTCGTCTTATGCTCCGTTTCGATTTATATACGGAAGGTAAAAAAAATGACATCCCAAAATTTATTTGGCCGTAAACCATAGTAAACGTCGCTCTAACAGAACGAGCGAGTGACACCAACTGCTAAATAATCCCATTCGACTCTAAGCACGCGCTATCGTCTAAGAACAATTACTGTAACTACTTACGTTATTCCAATCGAAATATTCGTCAACATTTCTTAGCGTGTTTTTTTATTTATTTAAAAACATAAACCCAATTCCAAATATGATCATAAATCCGACAATATGCCATCAAAATAGAATCTTTTCTGCCGACATCAGACGTATTACATTCGGCACGTTTACACCTCTTAATTCCACGTGTCTCGCGAGATTTCTACTTTCATTTTGCGTGTGTGTGAAATAGCTTTATTTAACTTCGGCTTCCACTGAAGAAATATCACAGACAAGTTATCTGACGCAATGTATATTGATTTGGGGTGTTATATACTATTAGGATATGTGACATATATGACCAATGTCTACGGTCGACATCAAGGAGATTAAAACGTGAGACAATGGAGAAATCACGGGTTAATCACATAGATTAAGTTTATTGGATTGATATATAGTTTGACAAAGAGAAGCAATGACTTCTCTTCAGGATTGAATTGTGAATTGTCCGACAAAGAATTAAGTCAGCCAATCAAGGCAGATTAAGTAGTTAATCAAGGTAGGTGTATTGACGGCATAAAACGATAAATACGTTGATCACTTAATTACCTAATCAATCCAGCCTATTATCAACGATAATCGGGTTGAGTGGTAGTTATGCACTCAGTATACTATATTAATTTTGGAATTTTGAATATTATTTACCATGTCTTGATGTCCGATTGCGCATATTCCTGGTCGGACAATTTAGGACGTTTGGAAAATAGCGTCGGACATGTCCGGAATATACAGGCAAAATCCCATCACTGTTGTGAAGCCACTTTGAAAATGGGGATGACACTGTCTCCTGAGGTGCACATGATAACTACAAGGCTAATTAAGAAATTTATACTCCATTTTACCTCTGTGAACAATGCAGGGAGAATTCTGAATATAGTATTTTCGAAGATCTGTTAACGAATCTATGGCCCATGAGAAATCAACCATGTATATTTAGTAAGCCCACCAACCTCTCGTACATCAAAAAGTTGATTTCTCCATCGCATAGTTCAGTGTTTGTCAGACATAATAAACCATATTAATTTGTAGTTCTAGCACTCTTTGGATGTACATGTAGTACATGTTGACATTTGTATGCAGTTTTTTGGTTTTTGGTGATGTTACTCTGTGGACATCTTGACTTGTCATTCTAGGTTAGATCTAGATTTGCCCCATAGAAATAGACAAGTTATGATTATCACCAACAACCAGAATTGACAATTATACCTATTTACAAGTATTTTATGAGTAATAAATGTTGAATAAAACCATAAGTAGTGAAACATCTGTTTCTATTGTAATTATATATCTGCATATATATCGAATATTGTTTTGTAGTTGTCATATTTACATGTATATCATTTTTATTAGGACTAAAAACAGGAATTAATATACATACAAATGACTGTATTAACGGTAATAACTATGTATCTCCATTAGCCCATTGGCCTCTACATTAATTCCCATTCCACTTTACCTGTCCGTTTATTGAATGCCGATAATTTTTATTGTGCTATCATGCTTCCTTCCCTGCCTTGATATAGTTTAATGATGTTGTATGGTAGCCTATTCAATATTGCTGTAATGCAATGCTTTCCATTCCTGGAAACTTTGATTTATAATACATTTTGAACTAACTATTTTTATTTCTTATCCTTCATCCCAAATTCCTTTTTATACGCATATCTCATAAAATGTCTAAGATACATGTATCTTTATGAAAAGTCTTACACACATCAACCTTGATTTAATCAGTTTTGTTTCCCATGGAGACAGATTTAGCTTAGTGTCCTTTCAAACTTGCATCATTCATGTATCTGGCACTGAGCATATAACTTTTCAGTCTTGTGATACTTTGAGATTGAAATTCTAAAAGAAACAAACAGTGGTGGTATTTGGCAATTGAACTCATGTTATGTACAGTGTACAATATATTAATAATAGTATTTGGTTGTTGATCACGGCAATAACACAGAGATTGCCTATCCAATTACCTTTCTAAACATATCGAAGGGTGTAGAATTTTTAGGACTGAGTCTTCCTGTTTCAAATATATGCAGGTCTTTGTTTACTGATTGCCGGGTAATTTCAATTGTATACCCTTTGTACTTTGTGTTTACCAAAATATTGTTATGTGTAATTCATGCCATATACAAGTTATTAAAAGTTATTAATACAAGGTATTATTTAAGCTCTTCCTATTCAATTACCTAATATTAGATTTACATGTTTTACTATTTCAGTATAGTTCAGTAGATACCAGCCCAGTCAGTAATTACATCACACATCCATTCTGGAACTGGGTAGTTCAGGTGAGTTTAATTACAGGTATATAGGGGATTCCTGTTCTAAGAAATGTACCAATCAAATTGTGGAATATTTTCTTCTTACATGTACATAACCTACATTTGTATGTATGTAATATCATCACCGCCAGTTTATGTTAATTGACAATCACAGCATGGCTCTTTAAGCTCATACACCCAATCCCACTGTAGAATTTATTAGTTGATGTAGCACACTCTGTTAAATAACAATTAGCCTGATAAGTACCATTCAATATATTAATTTTACACAATACACCTAAAGACATCAATAATGACATGGGTTTGATATGAAGTCACTGATACATGTATGTACAGTGTAGACATAAAGCACCACAATGGCTCCTGGAGTGCAGCATTAATGGTAACCAGAAGGTCCCTGTATCAATCCGGGTGTTAGTCCTAACAAGTACCTTATGCTTTTCTGGATTGGTTTTCCCTAGTTCGTGGCATATAGCCCAGACCTTGCATGGAAAGGCCTTTAGATATTTGAATTGGACAATAAAAAAGGTCTATATATACCTTTGCCATTAGTAATACATTAAAGAAGCATAGCACCACTGTCAAGACAATATCCCACATGGCACACGGCATGACATACATGTATGTCTGTCTGAATTAGCCTGGTTGTAGCAGAAAAGACACTAAACCCTATTTCATTTTTATGACCAAAAATATTATTAAAAAGTTTATTAATATTCTTTTTTTTTCAGTTTGTTCCATTATGGGTAGCTCCAAATGTCCTGACTCTTACAGGTTTTTTATTTCTACTGGTGAATTTTGCTATCATGACATATTATGATGTCGATTTCTATAGTTCTAGTCTTGATCATCCAGTCCCTCCACCTGCACCAAGTTGGGTATGGTTAGTTGGAGCAATAAATAATTTTTTAGCTCATACTTTAGGTATGTATAATACTAACTATGAGACATTAGAAATGTATTGGTGAACTGTAAATGGTTGAAATATTTCTTTTATTTGCAAGTGTTTGTGTGGCAAATGTCAGACATTTTACAGGAAATTTTAGGTACAAGTATTTTAGGACTGTGTAGCCATATTCTCTTGACAACTTTAATCTCTTAAAATCTGTCGCCTGTTACTAGTATTCAATCTAAGTTATTTAGGCCTTAGATTAAAAGTACTGTCAGTATTTTCCTTTTGACTTACTACATAACCTAGTCCCAGAAATATCTTAGTACATGTATTTATGGGGGTTTGGATGGCCGAATTATTAGCATGTGCGTGCTGTATCATAAGGTCTACCAATGAGTCAACTGGCGTGGTTTCGATTCCCCGGTTGTACGTGACGAGGAGTAGGGTCGCCTGTCCAACCTCATGGGTTTTCTCTGGGTCCTCCGGTTTCCTCCCACTGCTAAAGACCCCTACGCGCAAGCGAATTATTAAAATAAAATTGAACCATGTGTTAGTCCCAAAATGACCTAGTTTGTGTCAAGTGGATGTTAAACCCCATTTCTCTCTCTCACATGTATTTACACCATGTAGGCTGAATTAAAAGAGTAATTCTTAAGTTAACCCTCTCTCTCACAATATTTTATGCTTCTCAGCATAAGTGCTACTTGACAATTCTATTATTAGATATTCTCTAAATATGATATATTTTACATACAAAACTCATAATGTACTAAAAAACACTGTATTGTCACCTTTATAAAGTCATGTTCGACTGAACACACTTTTTTTGTTAAACTTGTGATCTAGATTTTTATCACTACTTGAATCAGATTGTGACACCTGTGATACATGTACATCACATTAGGATACATTTCATAGTACTAATTCACTACTTAGTTTTAGTATTGTTTTGTACTTTTTAAAATTACAGTGTAAATTTGTAATTGGTACAGGTATATCATTGCACATGTTTGAGTTTTAATACCAATGCTTAAAGATACATTATTGGGGGATTAGATAAAGAGCTGGCAGTTCTCACTATGATAGTTTAAAAACTAGATAATGTAAAGGAAATATGCTGAAAATTTCAGTCAAATTGATCCACTCTGAACCAAGATTTTAGTGATTGAATTTTGGGTGCAGCCTCGATCATCATTACTAACGTTGGTACGATAAAAAACGATAAGCAGCAGATAAGATTCTAATCCAGAAAATATCGCAGGCTAGCAATGACATCGAGAGTTGATTATGATCTGGATAAGTTAATTATATGTCTAATTAATAATTTAGATAACATTTCAGGCCTAAAGAAAGAAGTGCAATTGGCAGATTTAGCTCTTGCATAATGTATGTTTAACAAATGGTTACTATATTTTTCAGATGGTATAGATGGGAAGCAAGCTAGAAGAACTCGGTCCAGTAGTCCACTCGGCGAACTCTTCGATCATGGTCTGGACAGTTGGGCTACAGTTATGTTACCGGTTGCTTTGTATTCCATATTTGGTCGTGGAGAATTTGGAGCAAGTGTGCTCCGAGTTTATTTTATAATCCTTGGTGTTCAGTTCTGTTTTCTGTTATCTCACTGGGAAAAGTACAACACAGGAGTTCTTTTTCTTCCATGGGGTTACGATGTTAGTCAGCTGGTAAGTTTAGTTTGCCGTATTACTCATAATGAGAATAAATGCCCACTTAAGGCTATGTAAGGCAAATCTTCTGGGGTTTGATAATTATATAGGTGTTGAAGTGAACAGATTTTGAATATTTTAGTTAACAGATGATGAATATAAACCTAATCCCTTCAGCTTAGATGTCTGTGACTTGTCATATTTTGACATTTAACCACTACTACAACCAAGCAGGCCATATGACATATAATCACTACTACATTCAAACAGACCATATGACATTTAATCACCACTACAACCAAACAGGCCATGGGTAGTGATCTTTTGACAAAATAAAAACCTTCATTCCAGGACACTTTAGTGAGAACCAGATTTTTTAATTATAATGTTGTTTAGATGCTGTAGGGTACCATTTTAGCCGGGGGTTGGATAGTCTGGGTACCCCACCTTTTGGACTTATATTTTTTGTTTTTGTTGTAAAGGGAAAAGGCTATTGAATGATGTGGCTGAATAGTATAAAGTGTGCACTTTAGGTCATAAAGTCTGTTATTGAGTCAAGCTTCATTGTTTCCTTTCCCAACTTGTACGTGACAAGGAGTATGGTCGTCTGTCCAACCTTGTGGGTTTTCTCGGGGTCCTCCGGTTACCTCACACTGCTAAAGATCCCAATGCACAGATGAATTATTAAAGTAAAATTGAACCATAGATGTATGTTAGTCCCCCAATGACCTAGTTTGTGTCGTGCAGACATTAAGCCCCATTTCTGTCTCTCTCGCTATTTATGATTTTTATTAGTTTATAATCCTACTGTTTTCAGGGAATGACAGCTTTGTATCTTATAACATATGTCTATGGCATAGAGTTTTGGAAATTTAATGTTCCATATATAGATTTAACAGCTGGAGATTTATTTGAAATTATAGTCCATTGTAAGTATTATTTACTATATTGTCTAGTTACCACAAACCGTAATGAGTATTTTAATATACAGTGGACTCTGTCAAATCCGACATCGTACGGGATCGTAACAAGATGTCGGATTACGCAGAGTGTCGGAATACCCAGTTTTCTCAAAACCGGAAATATTGTAACTTCGAAAACCAGAAGTATTATTATAATGTAGCTTCGAATCACCTGAATGTTATTCCCTTTAAAAATGATAAACCTTTCTGTACATGCATAGGCATTTTGAATCTGTCGTTAATTTATCTTCTTCGCCGTCTTCAGTTGATCGCACTCTTGTCTTTGCTATCACGTGTTCATTGATAATGGGCGTACTCGATTGAACATTCCGGAACTGAATTCTCTCAATCCCAAAAATAGTGACAATCGACTGACAGAACTGTGACAGGACTGAATTCCGCGTCACTTGATTGCAATTCTGTCAATTCGGGACGTTCCAACTGTGAATCGAGCATCCCCAGGTCGCCGTCACACAGTTCGAAGAGATCCGTAGGGTGACAAAACTTATAGGTTATTCAGGTTCAATCGGCATGCGCAATGAATGTTTCCAACAGGTGCTAGGAATATATTTAAAACTGTGAATTCAGGGGGAAAATTCGTGGATATTCTTGAGTATTTGTCACAACTGTCGTACAAGAAATTAAAGTTATCAAAATTAATTGGGACATGAAAATGGTGTCGGTTTTCACAGAGTGCCGGAGTGATCAGAGGTTGGATGTGACAGAGTGCACTGTATATATATCTTTGATATTTGTCATAAATAATGAATGAATTAAATGCTTATTCTTAGGTTATTTCTATTAAAGATCGAGGAACATACGGTTTACAATTAGATTTCTGATTTAAAATGTTTACCAATTTTAGATTCAATTTTTATTATTGTGTCAATGTAGTTACACACAGTCATTTGTATCTGAACTACATGTATGGCTTTTTCTTGGAATGGAAAAATTTTGAATCCCACAAAGCAATTCAACCCACAAAAAAATCAATGATTTTTGACTAGGATTATAGGGTTCTGGTCATTCCTACTCGAAGCAAAACAGTAGGACGTTAAATTTCATTTCATTTTAGAACTGTATTTACTTTGGTTGTTAACTTATTTTATGCCTTCCTTTTATTTCAGTGGGATTTTTTGTGTTAACATTCCCCATTACATTTTGGAATATATACAAGTAAGAATTTATTTTACTATATTTAACGTCTGATTTGGAGAAAGGTGTGGGATTGTAATCCTGAAACTTCACTCTTATCATTTTCAGACAAATATCTTTAATAAAGAAAAAAAAGAAAGTATTTATGTACTGATTAGATTTCGAAACATAATGATGATGTATGATGTATTTTTAAATTAATTCTGTTGAAGTGAGCAAATTTGATCTAATTTAACTTTTAAGGTGCTGAGCTCTAAGACAAATCTAATTTACTGTTATAGAAAAATTGAGTTTAAAAAAACAGCAATCCATGAATGTATCATTCAAATTTTATTTCAGAGCATATAAAGATAAAACTGGCAAGATGCGGTCATTTACAGAAGCATTGCGACCATTAGTTTCAACAGCTATATTATTTATATTACTTTTATTGTGGATCAGATTTTCCAGTTATGATATTTTAGAGAAACACCCCAGATTATATTACTGGACAACTGGGACAGCTTTTTCAAATATAGCAGTAAGTTTTTATTTTGTATATTGTTGTCATTGGTGTTGTCTTTATTTGTCTAGCCACACTTTGAATTTCTGTGTTGGTTGGGATTTTTGAGAATTATATTTCCAAACTGTTTCGGATTGTTCATCTAGTCATTATAGTTGAATTAGCAGCTGATGTGTCAATTTTAATTTCCTGTCAATCTATATTGGTGAGAAATTACCATGTGCATGTTACCTGAATCTTGTTACACAGGAACATTGATAGTATGTGACTTTAGAGGAACTGTTGAAGATATATAATAGATCACAATACTGGTTTATTTTGTGTAAAAGCTCTTAATTTTATGCCAGTCTTTTGTATCTAAAAATAGCTCTGTGTTATTTATGCTAACATTTTGTTTTCTCGTGTTCAGATGGATACTTGATAGCAAATTTAACTAGACTCAACAACTGCAAAACTGGGACAAATTAAATAACTGCTCAATATTTTGAGCCTAAATGAAATGAAATGGGGTTTAACATCCTACTGGTTTTGAGCTTAAACTTTTTCATAAGATGCATGTGTTTACTATGAGTGTATACTGCAAAACTGCGACAAATTAAGTAACTTTTGAGAACTGCTCAATATTTTGAGTTTGAACTTTCGACGAGATGCATGTGTATACTATCAGTGTATACTTTGTGAGATCTAGTATTATTGGGGTTATAGGGTTAACTTATTGTGATTTTGTTTATATTTCAGTGTCGTTTGATCGTAGCCCAAATGAGTAATACTAGATGTGAATTAATCAACAATAGAGTGATTATATTAGCTGTTATTGTTTGTGTAGTTTATTTATATCCATTAGGAACTAAAGAATTATATTTGCTATGGTTCTATTGTTTATATACTACAATATCACATGTTATATATGGCATTTTTGTGGTGAGTATTATCACTTGTTTCAAAGTTTTGTGGACGTACATTGTGGTCGCCCCTGTCCGGATGGACGTCCATCCGTCCGTCCGTCTGTCTGTTTGTCCGTCCACAATTTGTTTGTGGGCACTCTACAGGTCACAATTTTTATCCAATTTTGACGAAACTTGAAATATAAGTCTATCTCCCAAAGATCTTGGTTCCTTTCGATATTGCCATGTATCGGACCATAACTTCATGGATTATGGCCCCTGATTGTACGAAAAATTGCTTTTGTTTTTAGCTTGTTCTCTATCCATCTCTTGCAAAATGTGGGCATTAAGCTGACTGACTTGAGCTTCTTTACCAAAATGAACATTCAAGTCTAATTTAACACTTTAACAAAGGCGTAATTTCACTAATACTTGAATTTGTTTTAACTAAATGATGACTCATAACTGAACACTCTTAAACTTTTATGTCCAAGGTATGGCAAAATCAAATCATTGACTTTGATTCTCGAATGATTTCTCAGTAGTTCATTATTACAGTGCATGCATTACACATTCGTTATCTGATAATGCCATTGTTCATTAAAATATGTGAACATTAAAATATGTAAATTGGCCTCTCTCAACGTGCCACGAAAGATATAATCCCTTAATAACAGATAATCCGTCCCTGTAATTTGCATGTTTTTTTAACGTCCTACTGTTTTGCTCCGAACTGGGCTAATGAAGACGCACATACACCATACAGTGTGCTATGAGGGAAATTTTGCCCGGACAGTGGCACTACGGCCTACTCTTATATTGAATTACAACTGTCAAGGGGTCTTTTACGTGCATGCCAATGTGTACACGGGACAGCTTTCCTTGTCAGCCCCTCCATCCTGCATCACTGACAAGGGAGAACCACACCGGAAAATCTGGATGAACTTTCTCGGCCAATGCAGGGATCGAACACCTGACCTCCAGGCTTGCAAGCCAGCGTCTTATCCACTTAGCCACGTGATCCCCCTATCTACTTAGTAAAATGGCTGTAAAGGAAATACATCTATTGCAACTGTTACATGTCTATTCAGGTGAATTTGTATCAAATTCAGATAACCTGAACTACATGTAACCTAAACATTTTCTGCCTCAATTTTATCAACATATTTATTTTCATTATAGGTAAAAGAAATGTGTGATCATTTTAGGATAAATGCATTTACCATTCCAAAGAGAAAGCAGTGATACAAATGAATGTTTTAGGATTTTTTTCAAGTGTATTAAACAAATATGAAAGAACTGATATTATAAGATAATATACTCCTACAAGGTCAATATCCATGAAGCATGACTAACACAGTTTTATCAAGCTAATGCATTATTAACATTGGAGCAATGTCGGCATGATATGATGTCATCCATGATGCCAGAGTGACAGATGTATAATACTGTAGATTTCATGTCATCATATCAGGCCAGCAAAACTAATTAATGTTGAGGGTTTTTTTGGGTTTTTTTTGTTTATCCAATGTAATAACTGCCTGAGCGCTATAAAATGTGTCCTAATATATCAACAATTCTAACAATACTCTCGAGGTTGGCATTCAGTTATAAAAAAGAAATTAACACTTTCACTGCTGAGCTTTAAGCATAACTGGATTATCTCCCCTACTATACAAAACAAGATTTGATAAAGATGCTTATTTTATATTTTAATATGTGTACATTTCATTATTATGATCAATGATCCTTTTGAATCCATCTATTATTGGTATTTTATATTTTCCCGTTTCAACAATTATTGATTGTTTATTGCCTGTTTGGTCCGGAATCCGAATGGTTGATATCGGCAAGATTACCAGAAGTTGACACTGGAAAATTAGTGCAAATAACTTGATTACTGAAGTTTTCCTTAATTACAGTACTTTCATTGCTAATTATATCCGAATCTAATTCATTACCGATAAATATTTACACCAAAATGTGGTCCGTTGTACCACGAATATTTCTTTTCGCAGGATTTCCAGTTTGGTATCGAAAGTAAACAATATTTTTAGCTGTGAGCTTTGACCCAGATACTAAATTTAGAAAGTATGAAAATATGATGATGTGTGCAAAGACATAATACCTGGCTCTATATATAGTAACTTTGCCTCAAGAAAAAGTGACGTAAAAAAATAGAGATCTTCGTATTTAGCAGTGGAAGTGTTAATGATATTTTCGAAAGTATAATAAATCACTCTAAATAATAAAAGTACAGCTTGTCAAATGGAAATAGTACAATGTAGGTCTAGTTATTAGCTCTCGACAAGACAAGGTATCGGAGGGTGATTGGAATTACATGAAACTAAAGTAGGGTGACCCATGCACTCTACAGAAATACAGTCCACCGCTGATAATTCGAGACTACCACTGAAGCGTGTACATTCGCCGTGTCGAGACCAACTTTCTGACAGTATGATACTATAAATAGCCATGGCACGTGCAATTCTCTACAAATCTATCAACTATTACAGCCGTAAAAAATTTATTGTTGACGATTTTGAATAGCAGTAAAATTAAGCTTCTTGGTTATTACAGCAGATTTAGAAATTACATTCGTTTCATTTTTTAAATCGCTTTATTATTAACTGTACCGTTAAGAGCGGCATCTTTTGGTTTAGTACAAATAATATCTCTGAAACACTTGGGTTAGACAGGAACATGATACTAGCAGTAGTTTCATTTTACTTTTACAAGCTTCTTAAAACAATTGTTGAGCTAGCTAACGTGCTTATTTCTAAATTCAATTTCTTGTTCTAGCTTTCTGTTATGTTTCGTAAAAAAGTAGTCTTGATTATCCCGACCTGTCAATCAGACGTAGAATGGTCGATAGACTGGTTAAGCGAGACTAATTTCAAAACAAGAGCATGTAACCTATCTTTTACTCAAAAGTGTCTGGATGTTATGGACGACACTTGGAACCAGTTTTCAGTCTATTATTTATAGATGATTGATGGCCATAGCTTATTAAGTACAACATGATCGTTTATTTAGTGACTATAATTGTGTGAAACTGATTTGAGGCTTGGCATATATATAAATATTGTGGCGTAATTGTCGAGATATTTGGAGATATTTATTTATGGTGGGTCACCCTAACTAAAGCCAGGCTGTTATTACGTTAAATAGACGTTGTAAACATTGTTGTAATGTTTGATGGACATTTATCTTGAAGTTAGTCATTTGTTGTGTTTTGTGAACAATGACCTATGCATATCATTTTTAACTGCTGTCACAAAATCTTAGATTTAGAAAATATCAAACAACTTTTGTGATATATTATTTTATGCAGAAGCTGAGAGAAAACTTATGTGAACATTATTTGTGCCAAATATGAACATTATCAAATAGTTAAATTATTTTGACTTTTCAAGTTATATAGGAAATGTATGCTGACATTTTTAATTTATCTTCAATTCAAAATAACCTGACATTGCTTTGATTTGTATTTAGTGGAACATTATTTCCTGTGTAAAGCAGGATAGATGCTTTTGACTAACTTAAATTTAATATGTTTTAAAATGATATCTATCCTGTAATTGAACTTTACAATCTATACATGCATGTAAAATTAGTGTAATGTACAACTCTAAATGCTGCCAACTATATTAGATCATTTACTGTAAATAAACTACAAAAAGTAATTCACCAGATACAATAATATTAAATTGATTAGATCCATAAAGTCATCAGATCGTTTGCATTACTGTGTGACTGGAAATTATAATGGATAGCTCCACTTGATGGAGACTTTTTTTTACGGATTATTATTGACTGAACCGCTGATAAACCACAGAAGGTCTATTATAATTAAAGGACCACAAGCAGATGTAATACATTGTAAAATATTATTTGGGTGGAAACCATTTTGTCAGGTTGTATTCTGACCCATGAAGTGACAAACTTTGATAATTTCAGTTATTAAAGGGACAGTCCCAGATGTAATTTAGTGACTATACCTGGTTAATTCAAGATAATACAAACCTTTATCCTAGTCATCTTTAAGAAGCTTGTTTTGAAAGAAATTCAAAATTCGGTTTACGTTAGGAATTGGAAAATATATATTTGCCAGGGGGTAATCATATCTAGTCGAAGTTATTGTGGTTAGTGATCATCGCAATTATCGTATCATATTCATCACCATGGTCAACATAATTACATAAAAGTGATTGGAGACATGCTGCCCTTGAACTTCATCTAGTGGTTGTTCTTATTTCATATCTGGTTTAATATTTGTGACCTGTACTGGCAAATTGAGTCGCAATGAGGAAATTTTGAAAAATGAGTTATTGTTATTTGCACATTCTCCACCCTAATACCTTCAAAATGATGTATGGTTGGTATGAATCCAGTGAAAATTGACTGGGCTATATCCATTTGAAGTTGTACAAGTCAGAAAGGTAGTTGTAAGAAAAAGCGAGTTAAACATGTCGGTATATTCTAACACAAAATCACATAGCAACCACGCCATATACTTGTTAATTTTCGTTTGATATTTCTCTCAGTGTTATAATTTAGAATAAAAGAGAACAGTCCATACATTAGCAATATAGGTTTTGTATATTATAAGTTTTATGTGAATAAATTCTGTTAATCTCTCCACTTAATTAGCTGCGTGCGTTGAAAAATAGCTAATTTCGATGAGAATTTTAAGAAAAAAAGATTTAAGAATACGGTACTCTTACAAAATGTCCAAATAAAGGTGTTTTACAATTTTTTATTGCTATTTTGATTTTTTTGTGAAAATCTCAATTTCGATCAAAATCAATATTTTCACTTGTTTTGTCCGTAGCTCATTATTAGACTTTACGCATTCCGACTCATTTTGCCAGCACTGGTCACATTTTAGTATTATGCTGTATTTTTTAAGCTTTTGTTATTGATTTAGGATAAAAAATTATAATGAAATTGTGTGTTTGTTTTTCAATCATTACATTTCTGTTTTTGTCATCTTTGTTTTCACAGTGTTTTGTTACTCGTATGTTAATAATGGGGCTATAGCTGTTGCATTGAGAATTCAGGCCAACTTGATATCTCATGGAACAACAGAAAATTGTCATCGATCTGTGTTAAGTCTCCTATTTTTAGTATATGAAAGTAATAATAGCACCAAACTATTTGATGATATGACATTTAGTCTTATCTTCATCATTTATTAATGCAACAAAAACAGCTCCATTCTTACCAGGGGTGAGTAACATTTTATAATAGAAGACAGGATGTATTTATATAGTTTGTTATATTAATAAACCTAATGATCATTATAATATAACTAGCAATATGTATAATTGCATTTATAAGTGGCCAAATAATTCATAAAACAAAATAGCTTTAAAATACTTAATTATATTGTGATAACAATTTGTTTAAATGAAATGTTAGAAATTAATTTAGTCAGATTTGTACAATATTATAATTGTGTACTCCTATCCATTCATTAATTATGGTTTCTTGAGTAAGATTGTATTGTTCTTTTATAAATGTAATCTGTTTCCATTATTAAGTCAAATCAGATGGTTAACTGTTCACAATAAAATTTTCAAGAACTTAATCAAAACTGTAAGAATCAAAGACAAAATCAAACCGGCCCCTAGTTCACAAAGCATTCTGAGACTGAAGTTAGGAATTTACTTAACTTTCAATCACTGTTTATGAGAAATATCATTGATTCAGAAACACAAAACTAACACAAGTTTTATAAAGGGCTAAATTTTAGTTAAAATAAGGCAAACAATTTTGAATAAATTCCTAACTTAAGTCTGAAAATGCTTTCTTTGTGAACTCAGGGCCTAAAGTATTAACAATTAGTGAATGGATATCAATGAGTTGGAGATAATCAAAATGCAGAGTTTAAAGTGACACAAATGATATGAACTATTTTCTGAACTAATATTATCTTGCTTTGTTACCAAAAATAAGCACAGAATTTGTGATGTATGTTCTTGAAAATAGGGAAAAATCATTGTTGGTCCTTTTGGCATCTTATTGTGGGTATAATGTTGAAAATGTAAACATATTTAAAGGAAACTGACATTTTATTAGCTGAGATTTAAAATCCTAATGTTTGCTCTTAAAGACCAGTAAGAACAGGTTACTTCACATATTTATCAGAATCCGTTTCTGCCAGTTTATTATGGAGGTAAATACGCTTTACATCGATCAGTATATTCAAAGGGTATTGCACAGATTTATGTTGCTTTAAAATCACTAACACTTTACTTTAGTTTATCAACTAAACAATATCATTCTTCACCAGTTAGAAATCCTGTTTTTGTTTTAGTGTGACCACTGAATAATAACTTGTGGTTGGTGATGGCTTTGGTAGAGTGCTTTATCAACATCTGGATAGACTATCTTGTATTTTACTTATGCCATTCACTGTATTCTAGCTGTTGTTTAATATCTGTCATATGATCATTTAGATAATTATTGTCGAAAGAAGCAAGTTTGTGTGAAATTTTAAATGTTGCTGTTGTATATATGTTTTATTATTATAAATTATTTCATTGTGTTGATGAACTTTTTTGTATCAAAATATTGTGTTGCTCAGTATTTTATTGTTATCTTGTCAAATTACTTCAAAATACAAAACAAAATGTTTTAGACTGAATAAATGTTGTTGGTCTTTAAAAAATTAAGAGTGAAATTAGAATCGGTCCATTTATTCTTTTTTTTAACATTTACAAAAGCTAAACCAGGATGTTGACTTTACATGCAATACAGTTAAAGGACAATATTGGTGCCAGTCATTATCACATATGTGTTAGAGCTGGTTAAACACATTCCAAATATATTTTTAACACAGAGATCATTGCTACGATAGTTGAGTAATACAGGTTTCCCGTATCGGAAGTGACGAACGCTGAAGGAAAACATGAGTCGCCGCTCTATATAACTGACTGAAGCGACGAGTGATAACAGATACGCGGCCAAATTTCTACTCACTAATAATTCCTTCGAAGACCAAAAGTTGTTATATGGGACTGTAAGAGGATATCTGACAATTCAATAAAGTAATTGAATGTCATTAGATAAGAGAACACGAGAAAAATAGAAATAGTTCTTACATTCCCTTGTTTATATTCATTCTATACCTTATAAAAACACGGTAATGCACGGACTTTTTCTGTTTTTCTTTCGTGTTCTCTTATCTAGTGGCAGTCAATACTTTTTTATGAATTGTCAGATATTATCCTCTCACAGTCTCACACAACAACTGTTGGTCTTCAAAGGAATTATTAGTGAGCAGAAATTCGGCCGTATATCTGTTATCACTCGTCGCTTCAGTCAGTTATATTGAGCGGTGACTCGTGTTTTCCTTTGGCGTTCGTCACTTCCGATACGGGAAACCTGTATTACTCAGCTATCGTAGCAATGATTTCTGTGTTAAAAATATATTTTGAATGTGTTTAACCAGCTCTAACACATATGTGATAATGACTGGCACCAATATTGTCCTTTAAAAATGAAATGGGGTTTGACGTCCTATTTTTCTGCTCCAACCATACTAATGAAGACAGCATACGCCATGCAGTGTGCTATGAAGGAAATTTTGCATGGACAGCGGTGCTACAGCAATCACTTATATCAAATTCCAACTTTCAAGGGTGTCTTTTACATGCATGCCTGTGTGCACGTGGGACCTTGGTTTTTGGTCCTATGCAAATGACTATATATTGTCCCTGGCCAAGCCCTCTGTCTTCCACTGCTGACAAGAGGGAACCACACCAGAAAATCTGGATGAACTTTCTCGGCACACAGAACCTCCAGGTTAGCAAGCCGCTGTGGCTTCGATTCACAATAAGCCTAGCATCAAAACGTACTCAGGGACATGACTGATCTACAGCCAAAAGTGATCCATCTTGCCAGTTCTGCATTTAAGCATTATTGTCACCGGGTGACAACGTATCAGGAGTAATTTAAAATATCCACATCCAAATGCTCTCTTCAGAGTAACTAATTTTCATGGATACTATATTTGAAAAGTTGGGTTGCCAACCAGGCACTGAAACATATACCCCCATGAATCAAAACTATACATATCAATTTCAAGCAGATCGAATGATTACTTTTCATAACTTTTCTACAAATTGATCAAGGGGCAATAACTCGGGAAGTGTTCAGAAGTAGCTGAACATGCTCTGGATGCTATGTTTATTGGAAGTTAAACAATTTAGTAAATACATGTATGCCAGGAAAATACAATAGTGACACACAGTGTTGAATAAGTTAATTCACAGATATTTGTTGGCCATGGGAGAAACCCCATCAAAATTCATAGTGGTGACACAATTTTATTGTGGGCACTTCCTGTGTTACCAAAACATTGTAATTATAATATATGAATAAACTATAAACCCTACTGAAATAGGGTGGGTGGGTGCACATCACATCATGAGATCTGTCATTGAGTCAATTTGATGACAAGGAGGAGTAGGGCCGCCTGTCCACCCTCATGGGTTTTATCCGGGTCCTCCCAATGCTAAAGACCCTACGTGTAAGCGAATTAATGAAATAAAATTGAACCATATGTTAGTCCCGAAATGACCTAGTTTATGTTGAGTGGATGTCAAACCCCATTGATTTAAGGCAGAATTATTACTCCCCACCAAAACCTGAGAAGGAAGCTGTCTCTTCACATCCGTTTTTAAGGGGAACTTATTGCTCCTGAGATATCTTTTCTTCCCTTCACAAAACAGCTGGTTGGGATATTTCCACTATAACAAGAATGACAGGTTTGAAATAAATTGATATTTAATTTGCATCTAATAACAAATAAGTTATAAGTCTACAAGTAAGCCAAATTTATAAAGACAACATATTTTAAAAATTTAAATCAATAGATAATCAAAAGTCAGTCATTTCTAGCAGAAAATTAATTAAATTACGTATAACAAGCCATAAACACATGGAATTGCATTAAATCAGACCTGGCTTAATATATGAGATGATGTCAATGAATGATTTGGCACATCATTTGCTCCCAAAACTGGGTGTTAAGTTTTTAAATAAGATGCATTATTCCAGTCTACCCAGCTATATTCTTGTAGCATGGTGTGCATATTTCCACAAATACCAACAGGACATGTTAGAGCTTTACATCAATGATCAATCTGATTAAAACACAGATCCTATTTCTTTTCGTTTTTTATAGTTCAAAATTTTGTTTTACTTGTCTTTACTACACTAGGATCTGGAAGAGTTGTTATATTACCAGCGTTTTGGTTGAAGTCGGGGAATAAGCCAATGAAACAGTCTGTTACGGCGACTTCTTGGCGTGCCATGCACGAAATTGTGGGTAAATCACTAGAAATGCCAATGCTTATTGATTAATCAATGTCTGACGTCATTGGGTCAAAAGCCGCTCATACGACACCTGACACGACCTTCGAGTACAACTTGTCAGATCATATAATGTAGGCCATCGAAAGTACAAAAATAACGAAACGAAATATTGATCTCTATTTTAATCAGATTGATCAATGATTAAACCAGGATGATAATGTGCCCTAAGTCCAACTACTTTGTCACAATATGAATGGAATGATTATTAAATACAACTAATAGCTTGGTCTTTAAGGGTCAACCTTGTTTTGCATTTCACCTTAAAAAAAATCTCGAAAGCAAGATATTAAAAACCAAATACTAATAAAACAAGTCTTCTCATCTATCATACTTATCAATTTCCCCGAAACCCAATGAAACCCAATCATATTCGGCACTTACACAAGTAAATAATGCCGAAATGGAGAATATTTGGTTAAAGCAGAAATTAAATGGACCATTCATTCCATCATTGATGGAAATATCACCCTAAATCTTATAGTCAAATCAACCTCAAAATGGCCAATGACATAATGGCATATACCAATTTGATAAAAAAAAAAACAACAGCCATAGCATTAACTATACATTTTCTACCAATGAGGAAAATTAGTGAAGTTGAATGGAGTATATCGGTTCCACCAATCCCCATCTACCTTTCCTTATAATGTGATAAAACAACCAATGACAAAGAATCTTGTTCCTGTATAAGTTTTCCCACCATTTTGTGATTTTTATTGATAACCTTTTCTCCGTTTACTGAATATATATACTGACGAACCTGAAATAGACACAATTTTTAAGTTAGTTACCATTCTTGGGCATTTCATATACTTGTTCCCAAATTACTGAATCAAAATATACCAACATAATATTAACAAAATAAATACTCATCATTAAGGCTACACAAAATAAATGTCTTGTTTCTCGGGCAACTGACAGCTGAAACTGTAGGGGGGGAGGGCGGTTTATTTTTTTTTTTATCTCATTTATGGCTAGAGGATGGTGCAAAATAAAATTTGCCTATTGTTGAAAATTGTTTGGGCGGGAGGGCGGCCTTGTATTTTTTTTTTTTTTTTAATGAGAAAGTCATTACTTGTCTACGGTTTTGCTTTTAATTATATATTATACATACTTAGAACATAAACCCAAAAATCAAGTCTACTCAAACACTGAACACTGACTGAAAGGAAAATAATTTTCCATATTTAATTCACGTAATGTAGCTTACTAATGGTAATGGTGACAACCATAATTGAAATTGGTTTAAAATAAAATTCCGTACGACTATTAATAGCCGTCCATAATAACGACAATATTTTAAAGAGTAAACCTCTGTCAGCATGTGTATCAAAAATAATCATCACGGTAAACGACACTGCGATCTAAATCTAGTATCGCTGGTTTATAATGATTGACCTAATTCCAACCAATGTCACGTGTCATCGGGATATGACTGTTTCTCAGATTATTCGGTGTGTTTCTCAGGATATTCGGTGTTCTATCTGGGGTTTATATCGAATGACTATTTAAATTTAACTAACAACTCGTCAGTAAAACCATCAAATGTGTAATCCAATTATTATTTTCCGGATTATCAAAACTGCCGTTAAATGTGCTAATGACCCAGATTCTGACTAAGGTATGGTGACTATCATCGTATCGTATTCGTAGCCACAAGTTATAATAATTAACCTGTTCTACGATTCATTGTTTTATAAGTAGGATTTTTTCAAACATGGACCGACTGAAGCCGGCAATAATGAGCCGATTAAGATCGAATGATTGAAATACATTGCATTGTTGTCAATGACTTTCGATGTTTAACACGAATCAAATTCTAGTTCACAAGGGGAGGTAATTAAAATCACGTGATACAAAAATGGAGGTTCTTTCGATATCAATAAAAAAAAGACCCGTAAATGAGCGTTTACATCTGAATCAGTTTAATACATTTGAATGGATATTCACGCATGGGGCATGTAGATACATGCAGCATATTTTTTTTATGACTTGCTTATCGATGTTCGGGCGGGCGTTACATATTTTTTATTTTTCATCAAGACTAGTAAATAGGCCGCACGCGCAACCAATTTTGCGTGCGGGCGGTGCCCGAGAAACAACTTATTTTATTTGTGTTGCCTAAAATAGTGCATTAGCTCGGTCTACAATAATTTTCAGACATTTACAATGATGTTTGGTTACGTAAGATCCTTAGACTCGTAACCAAATATATCCGCAGTCAAAGGATAGGTTTTTTACATAGGCTAAGCATGTTCCCCAATCCCACTCAGATATAATGAATAAAAATTTTGTTTAAAATTTCCCATCCTATATGCCTGTGACTTATTACTAACCTTTATTCCTGCAGCAGCTGCTGGGCCATTAGGATCAAGTGTTTGAACATAGGTAGGTCCATCTCCTCTAATGACAAAACCATAACCAATTCCATCACTTAATATCTAAAAATATATAATACATACATGTTCTATTAATCAGCGATTGTCGTTGATATTTAAAAGTAATTTTTGTATAACAATGTCATATGAAGTCTGCTTTTTGTATGTGGTTATTTAACCATATGTTATATTTATAGCACCGCTTTCATGAGTTAACAGGTTTAACCACAGAGATAGTAGGCCGAGGTGTTAAACCTGTTAACAAATGAAGATTGCTATAAATGACTTGTAAAATGGAATGAAAATGAAATGAAATGGAGTTTAACGTCCTACTGTTCTGCTCCTAACCTGGGCTAATGAAGACGGGCATACGCCATACGGCCTACTCTTATATCGAATTCCAACTGCCAAGGGATCTTTTACGTGCACGCCAATGTGTACACGGGACCTCGGTTTTTCGTACCATCCGAACGACTAGACAGCTTTCCTTGTCAGCCCCTCCGTCCTGCATCACTGACAAGGGAGAACCACGCCGGAAAATCTGGATGAACTTTCTCGGCCAATGCAGGGATCGAACACCCGACCTCCAGGCTAGCGAGCTAGCGTCTTACCCACTTAGCTGCGTGATCCCCAAATGACTTGTAACATTGACACCTGCCCAACATGCTCTTGTTATTGCACAGAAAACCCACCCCACTTCTCTATAACATTAACAATATCTAGTCATTGCATAGTTAAGCTCTACTCAATCTACTAGAGATAAACAATCTGCTTATTCATCAAAAAGAACAAAGGAAGATTCTCCGTCCAAGTTACAAATAAACATGTTACATGGTAATTAAACAATATATAAACATGTTACATGGTTATTAAACAATATATAAACCTGTTACATGGTTTTTGTTATTATATCAAATTATAAAGTGGTATGAGGTTGTTATACCCCACATAATACTGGTAAAGGTTATAATGTAACATATAGACTGGGTACAGGTTGATGCATCACATACTTCTGTACTAATTTGATATATGCCACACATAAGCCTATAATGTCACAAATACCAGTAGAGTCGGTACAAGTTGATTCATATATACTCTGTACTAGGTTGTTATATGCCACATATAAACCTGGTAAAGGTTATAATCATTCTGCACACGAAGATCCATCTACTTCATACTTCGAGAATAAATCTCTGTCCTAAATGGCTGCCATATCCATGCCATGTTTTGAAATGTAATTCGACTCTGTTTCACATCTGGCATACACACAAAGACTAAAAAAACCTATTCAATTCCATGATATGGAAGCAGAATAAATACTTCTCAAAATTCTTGAGGTATATTTAGTGTTTTCGCCTAAAGTTCTTAATTTAGGATTCAGGACTTAAAATGTAGGTCAACTGACTAGCTTAGTGTCTGTTCTCAAGCGGAGCTAACTGTAGACTAGACAGGCAGCCTAAGTTTAGTATGGTTTATAATGTCACATATACTCATTTAGCATTTGTTACCTTAATTTTTTGTCGTATATATGGAGCATTGGGATCCTCTAGTTCACTCACAGATACTTGACGCACTAACACTAGGGAAAAAAAAATTAATAAACAATTGCAGACTTGATTATATCTGGGTAAATATACATATATTGCAATAGTACAGCAATTAAATTAAATGACAGAGTTACCCCAAATGGACTTAATGGACAGAATTTACCTGGTTTTGAGCCAAGACTTAAAATTCTAGACTTATTAACAGATTTTGAATCAAGCATGTTCTAATTTGCAAGTTTTCACCATATTCTTTGGTTATTTAAAGTTTTATATTTATTTCATAAAAATTATAACTTCATGTTGTCTAGATATATATTAATCTGTTACCTGATTTTGGTTCAAGTATTCCATTACTATCTGGTTCGGAACAAGTTTCACTAGATTCTGATGATTGGCTGAATTGTAAGGAGTCATGTTGATCTGGACTACCACTGGATGATTGCGTGATAGATTCTTGCCGTGGTCTCACAAGAGTTACTAAAATTAATAATTGATTTAAAAATAAATCAACTTTTGTGATTAAGAGGATTTCCAGAACCAGTCTTACTTTCAATCTCTATTGACTAAAATCAAAGTACATGCCAGACTTCTTGCATCCTTGAAATATGTAAATAACTCTTTAAAATATGATGAAGATAATACAAACTGTGTAAAGTTCTTTCTTATACCTTATAAAACAATGGCACTAAAATTATAAAAAATCCCATTGAGGGCTATCCTATAATGTTTTCAAACAAGCCAACAGTGAGGCTGATGTCCCCCGCCGAAATAGGAAAATAATTAGAGGACACATATAAATTTATCACAAATTATCTTTTACAAAGTATTGAACAATCAAACAGTATATCTTTACTTATAGTCTAAGCATACAATGTTTTTGATGGAATAATTATAGCATATTAAGGGGAAAACATGCTCTATGCCTACAGATCTAGAGTTTAGTTGTATCAACGGGTCTATTTTCCATCTTGCTGCAAGTTGTGCAAAGTTCACTGTTTTCTTTCTGTCATTAAATGTCAATCGAAAGGCGGGGGACAATAAGCATGAACATTTACTCAATTCGAAGATCAACCAATCAAATTGTTTATCTCTGCTTACCATAAGCGGAACGGACAGACAGACAAACAGACAGACGGATGAACCCATTTTAATAGTTCCCTGCTTTCTTCGAAAGGCGGGGGACAATCAAAGTAGGAGAGTTATTGTTTTCCAAAGTCTCGACCAATCAAATTGCGTATCGCTCTGCTTACCCTGAGCAGAAAATGCTCATTATCAAACTTAGTCAAGGTATTACTGTAATGAAACTATACACCAAGTTTCATCAATCTCACTTAATTAGAACTAAAGTTATCGTGTCCCAAAGCATCAACCAATCAAATTGCTTATCTCTGCTTACCCTAAGCGGAAAATGCTCATCTTCGAACTCCATCAAGGCATTGACCTAATCAACACATACACCAAGTTTGAACATTCTAGCTCAATTAGGAAGAGAGTTATCGTGCCCCAAAGTATCAACCAATCAAATTGCTTATCTCTGCTTAACCTAAGCGGAAAATGCTCATCTTCGAACTCCATCAAGGCATTGACCTAATAAACACATACACCAAGTTTGAACATTCTAGCTCAATTAAAAGTTATCGTGTCCCAAAGCATCAACCAATCAAATTGCTTATCTCTGCTTACCCTAAGCGGAAAATGCTCATCTTCGAACTCCATCAAGGCATTGACCTAATCAACACATACACCAAGTTTGAACATTCTAGCCCAGTTAGGAAGAGAGTTATCATGTCCCAAAGCATCAACCAATCAAATTGCTTATCTCTGCTTACCCTAAGCGGAAAATGCTCATCTTCGAACTCCATCAAGGCATTGACCTAATAAACACATACACCAAGTTTGAACATTCTAGCTCAATTAGGAAGAGAGTTATTGTGTCCCAAAAAGTGTGACGGACAGACAGACGGACAGACAGACAGACAGACAGACGGACGAACCCATTTTAATAGTCCCCTGCTTTCTTCGAAAGGCGGGGGACAAAAAAAGATTGTACAAAGTTTAAAGTAAATGGGGGGTAAACTGTGGAGCTACAACGGCAGGTGATAAAGATTGCCCCACATTCAATGTAAAGGTCACTTACTATCACTGTATGCTGAGATTTTATTGGAGCTGCTACTACTACTGTAAGATCGATTATTGTTTCTCTTTAAACGGAAGATATCAGACAGAAGGTATGCCTGATTAAAATCTAGACAGAACTGATATCTATACTGACCATCACGGAAATGGTAATCATCAGTAACTGAAAATATACAGATACATTTAATTAAATGCTGGGGTATCATGTCACTTTACTAATAAGTGACGATGACCTCAGTTCTTTGTGTTTTTCGAAATAAAATATTCACAAATTCTTATCAACCCTTCACACACTAGGTATGAACTGTGATTGATAGAATTCATTCGAAAATTCTGTTAGTCCCTCATCATTTACATCAACCACTATTATCCTGATAATTACATTTACAATGTAAGAAAGAAATATTCCTCATACAAATACATCCTGGTTCCCTTACTACAGACTCCCATACCACAGGTGTATGGGCCGATTTACCAGATAGAGACCAATTAAAAATCTGTTATAACGGTGTAACAGTGATATATTCGAACATCTTTTTTAAATCGGATAATAATTGTGACCTCTAGAGGTGTCCACATGCTAAAAAAAGTGATTTTTTGTACAATCAGGGGCCATAATCCATGAAGCTATGGTCCGATACATGCCAATATCGAAAGGAAGAGAGAGAGAGAGAGTTTAACATCCACTCAACACAAACTAGATCATTTCGGGACTTACATACGGCACAATTTTATTTCAATAATTATATTGCTAGTAGGGGCCTTTTGCACAACCCACAAGGTTAGGAAGGCGACCCTACTCCTTGTCACATACAAGCTTGGGATCAGAGATAAAGAAAGTGTTAGGCCAAAGAGCACATAAGATTACAATAGTTAAATATACATTTCAATGAGGTTTCTCTGGTGAATCTAGTAAAATGAAGTCTTTTTGTGTAAGGAGATAAACTAGCTAGAAAAAAATTAGCTTTGACTACATTAAAGGACTTCCTTTTCCTGCTAAACAGGATGAATTTGTTTACCATGTTTGATTATCTCACTCTCTAATAACTCTCTTCCCTCTTTTACTGATTGATCTCGACTATATGTCTCTTCATTCTCCATCATCCAGTTGACAAAATTATAACCAGTGAAAGCATCTCGATATAATCGTCCAGAATCGTTAAAATCTTTCATTATATCACTTCTTTTTCTTATTCTACAAAATATTCAAAATAAAGGTCTTATTTACAAAATAATATGTCCTTCTGAAATAATAAAAACAAATTTGCAGTCAAAATAAATATACAACTATGTATATACATTTTATTTGTATAAAATTACATTTTATTTGTATAAAATTAACATTTTATTTGTATAAAATTAACATTTTATTTGTATAAAATTTAATTTATATTTGTATAAAATTTACTTTTTTTTGTATAAAATTTGCTTTTTATCTGTATAAAATTTGCTTTTTATCTGTACAAAATTAACTTTTTTTTGCATAAAGTTAACTTGTTATCTGTATTAAATTAAATTTGTATTTGTATAAAATTTACCTTTTAACCATAGAAATATATACTGTATATATTTCTATGTTTTAACCTACTAACATCTTAAAATTCATCTGCATAAAATGTACTTATTAGCATAAAATATTATCTTATCCTAATAAAACTTACTTCTGATAGACACGAAGACCTGTATAAAAAGATCGTAAATCCCTGTCTATGGAGTAAGTATTGTCATCTCGACGAAATCTGTAGAATAATTTCTCATCTTTAAATAGGTGATCATCACAAACTACAATCAAATATTCAAAATAAAAACAGGATGTTTTCACTACCGGTAGTCAGTTTTGCAAGTCTGGATTAAGACGGGTAACCCATTTATATAGACTAATAATACTTATACAACATGCTCAAAAGCTGAAAAGAGGTGATTTTTATTGCCAATGTGAACCATATACACACAAATGCTTTCAATACCACACTGAGGTCTTTAACAGGTACCCCATATCCCATTGTATGTGCTAAATTTAAAATCATTGTTAACAAATGCCACAGAGCAATTTTGGACCAGGAACTGGACCCCAACTGCTACTCATCTCGTTCTTCTTCTTGGAGGCAACACTTCCTGGTCCGTATAGTATGAACCCTGTACTAAGCTCTAAAAGTAATAAAGTGAACAAATAATTTTATTCTGCTCAATGCATAATATTTAAAAAAATGATATTCAGAAATTTGTGCTGTATAATGTTCACATGGTTTCACAAGTCTGAACAAGTAACTCTAAAATTTGCAATCAAAACATGTCAAATGAACAAACTATGTGAATTTGAAAACAATTGACAAGTAGGCCTACTGAAAAAAGTTTCATGAACCAATTGAGGCAGATGACAACATTAAATGTGGATGTATAAGAATGATAATTTCTGATTTTTAAAAGCAAATGCACATTAATTTTAGTAGAAAACTTCCCAATTTAAGGACTATAAATTGGCAGAAATATAAGATTTGAGCAAAAATTATTTTTTGATATTGAAAGAAAAACTAACCATGGTGGATTATGTGATTTTCTTGTAATGTTCTCATGGCTGTAACAGCAGCCTCCCTTGAATGTATATGCCTTGATTTCAGCAACCAATCCACAACTTCTTGTCCAACAAAACATGATTTATATGTACGTAAATGGTACTTTCTATTGCCAATCAAACCTTGAGCCCCCATTTCAAATCTAGATTATAAAAATTTACAGTTGAAGTTGTTAATACTCAAATTCAAACCATAAAAGTATATTATTTGGTTTATTTTTGAAATCCTCGCTAGTAGTAAATGGGTTGGCAACTTTAAAACTAACCAGCAATACCATTAATCCCCAAGTACACCTACTGGAGAGAGAGAGAGAGAGAGAGAGAGAGTTTAACATCCACTCAACACAAACTAGGTCATCTCGGGAGTAACATATGGTTAAATTTTATTTCATTAAATTGCTTGTGTATAGGGGTCTTTAGCAGTGGGGGGCACCAGAGGACCTGGAGAAAACTCACGAGTTGGACAGGCGACCCTACACCTTGTCAGGTAGAAGTGGGGAATCGAAATCATGCCAATGACAGACCTTATGATCCAATGCGCACACGTTAACAATTCGGCCACCCAACCATTCAATACCGTACCACAAAAAACATGAAAAATGAAATTAATTTGCATGCAAACTTTTCAAATTTTGAAGAGAAAGCCCTGGTCAATGCTATTTATATATGGCCTTAAACTTAGTATATAAAAGTACAAAATAACCATAATTACCTGAGTTGTTCTCCTATCAGGAAAATTTCTGGTTTTGTTGACGATGTGGATTTTGTTCTAATTCTCTGCATTTTAAATACTCATGTACATGTAGTACAGTAATTGGGTAAAAATTTCCTTCCAAGTTCATTCAACTATCACCAATGTAATCCAAATGTGTGTCAATATCACAGGAAACATTTATATGACAATCACTGCAGATAAAATAAATACAAATGATAATGTCTTAAGCATATTGTCAAATATTGCACATACAATTTTTGCCGGATTTAAACGCCCGCCAACAATAAAACTGGTTGATATAATAAATATCACAAAAAAATATTACAAAAAAACTCTGAATAAAACATTTTTCTTTCAGTAAAAATCCACACAATTCTATATCCACTTGATAAAGATGTTTTTAAATGAAAAGGCCAATGTATAATTTCCAACTTATAATGTCTGCATTTTAAAACCACTGATAAGATATTTCATTGTTTTTAAACTTCCAGTTATCAATTGCGATTTTGTTTGACATAGATGACCTTATCAGTTATATTCAATATATCATGAACTGTGACCTATTGATATTTGATATTAAAGCCCCTCACCCAATCCCCCTTGTCTTATAAAGAATCCAGACCACTGCACCAATAAAAAGGATCTATTTTTAAACTTAAAGTGATAACAAGTGCATTTATATGTTAAATATCAGAAATTACTTCCTTATCCCATTATTGAATCATTTCCTAATCTTCAATACATCAATTCTTACACAAAATACATATACTGGTAATAATTTTGTGTTAATTTCAGTTTAAACATAAATTTGTCATAATATATGAACCCAAATGTCAATGTAGATCTAAAATCATTATCAACAATATCTGTAGAAATGTTTTTTAAAAAATCCACTATGAACTATGTTGCAAGCTTTACACATAAAAGTACAATTGGAAAGATAATTTACAATATAAAATTTTGAAATTCAAATGAACAATGAACAATTTCAACAAGTTTTAAAAAATTGATGTTGAGGAACGTCTGTCCTATATCGAGTTCACAAGATATTAAATAATGTGTGAATATCTGTAATCAAAAAAGTTGGGATTACGATTAAGGCCCCTATGAACAATCCTACCAGGTTTTGTCCGATATTGTGTTCATGAAGTCAACTCTGAAGTCAGACACATCTGTTGAAAATGAATTCGAACTTCTTAATCCAAAATAGTTAATTTAGTAGCCTAGTTATCAGAAATAATTAATATTTGATAGGCTTCTTTTTAGCACTAACATGTAGAGGCAATCAAATGATAAGTTTGGAGGAGCCACGGTAGCTAAGTGAGTAAGACACTGGTTCGCTAGCCTGGAGGTCGCGGGTTGGCTCCCAGTGTTGTCCGAGAAAGTTCATCAGGATTTTCCGGCAGCTGTCTAGTTGTTTGGATGAGACGAAAAAGCGAGGCATGCACATAAAACATCCCTTGGCAGTTTGATTTTGATATAAGAGAAGGCCGTAGTGCTGCTGGCCAGGCAAAATTTCCCTCATAGCACACTGCATGGTGAATGCCCGTCTCCATTAGCCCAGTCGGAGCAGAATAGTAGGACGATAAACCCCATTTCATTTCATGATAAGTTTGGCTGTTCTGCGAAAATGACCAAGGGCAGTAACTGTCAGAGTAGTTATCATTCACTTATAAATACACATAATGTACATACAAATGTCTAAAGTGTCCAGAAAAGAATCTATATAATCAAAGGCAATAACACTAAACATTAATCATCAAAAAGTGTTAAATTCTAAAAGTATCTTTCTCTCTCTCATTAACATATAAACACTGTGTATTAATTTCATGTCAATAAATGATAACTTCAGCTTATAGAGCATCCACAAGATACTTTGAAATGATCAGGGGCAATAATCCTGACAATAATTATTGAGAATTGCTGAAAATCTACAGAATATAAAATTCAAAAAGATTTTAATTTAAGCCTCTACAGTGTCCATAATCAATTAAGACTGACGGGTGGACACACAGGGGTGTACTGGTACAACCGCAATACAAATCACACTTTGCCTTGAATAATGTGTAGGTCAGATACGGTATTAATACTTATATAGCCAAGACTATTGGGATTCAAATGATTTGATGAATTTTCCTCTTTAAATATCTATATAAGATATCAATATTATAATTAGGTTGGGTACGATATCAATATAGGTCACTAATTCAATATATTAATCTACATTAAAATATCTAAAGTAAACAACAGACAACAATATGTCATCATAGACGTATATTTCACAACATCATACTCACCTAACCATCCCTTTCACAACATCATCCTCATCTACCAGATTAATATCTTAACTATCCCTTTTAGAGTTAGATGAAAATTTCTCTCACCCAATTTACAGCTAGGGAGACAATTGTACAATATGTTTTAGCCATGTTATCCATCGAACTAAAATTCAGTTCTAACAAAGGCTACATAAAAGGTCAAAGTCCATATCTTCTAAACTTAGACACATCTTAGACAAATTCTCTCCAAAATACTTTTTCAAAACGGAGGTAGACATTGACCAGAAGATTTAAATATAAGAGGCAGTTTAATGGAGTCAGGGTTTTGTTATTATTAACATCCTACGTTTCAGTGATGTGCTATGAAGGATACAGGAAATTTGGCCTGGACAATGGCGCTTAACGTAGATGCCAATGATGGCATTTTATGGCAAGCTCCCCTCCCTGCACCACTCACATTATAGGGGTAGAGCTCAACGGAAAATCCTAAAGAACTTTCTCAGCGAACACCCAGACACCTGAGACCTTCTGGTTAGTGACCGAGCACCTTACACCACAACTTGCGTAATGTTGACTTGTGCTTTTTTAGCAGGAGCTTCTGTATTCAATGTTTGGTGTCAAACTATTTTTGACAAGTTGTTCAAATCGGTTGAGAATCATCAAAATATATTGGGTTTCTACTGTTGTGTAGTTTAAAATGGTCCATTTAGTTCAGATAAAGAGTGTTGGGTTTAAAACTGATTACTTTCACTAGTTAAGTAATTATTAAATTATGCCATAATAGGAACCAGAAACATTAAATTCAGAAACTCCCACTAAAACAGCACAATTAAATGATACCTAAGTTGTAGTGTTACCAACTAAGCTACCATACATGTAGCTTGCGCTGAACAGATTTTTTGGGAAGCTAAATAATACCAAAATGCCATTATTTATAGATGGTAATCATCAGTCCAAAGGGCCCCTCCTAAATGCCAACATGGGTAAAGACTGAATTTGGCTGTATTTTGGCCTTGGATTGATTCATGGGCCCAAAATTTTGCAATCAAGCAAATAGAACAGGTTCCTCAATGTTGTGTTATGCTCATTTCAAAAATAATCAATTAAATTAAAGTAACATATTTCAGATGATTTATTACCTGACAAATCAATGAGTTAAAACACATGATAATAAAATTAGGTTTATACTGCCTATCATCTCAAAACAAAACAATTATTATCTAGAAGTTATTCATACTTAAATCATATAATACTTATCACTAATCAAATTTTCTCAAAGCAGTATGAAATAATCTTAACCTCATCCACTCATTCTTTTCAGAAAGCATGCATACATCATGTAGTGTTTTGAATACAGTGCTTGAAACAAAATATTGCTCACTTAAATCAGTTTGTATTTTTTAATCAGCAAACAACATTAAAACTGATCATCTGTCATAAAAAGTATGGATTGTTATTCCTTGCTGGGCTTTCATATAAGCAATAAAGAAATAAAAAAGAAAGTTTTAGGACAGCAATTGACTTATTCTTTTCAAATTAAGTGGAGCTGTCTTTTATTAGCTCTTTTCCCTTTTTTTTAACACTGTAATTTTAATATTTCTCAATTAGAATACACCAATGAAAACAATAACAAAACAACTGATTACTTCTGTGAAAACCAAATAGTACTTAAGAATATTTGTAAACACAGATCAAGCAATGACTTACAATTAAATGTTACATAATTCTCATACACAACAGTTAAATTATTCTTTGTAACTTTACATAACTTCAAATTCGGGGGATGAAGGGGGACTTTTTAGAGTAGTTAAAGGGGCCAGATTACTGTTTGATTGTTCACTTTCTCTTTGTTCTGAACTAGCGCGATCTTTGGACATTTTTTCTTCATCTCGTGATTTATCATGTCTATGTTTATGCTTGTGTTTGTGTTTATTCTTTTTCTTCTTCTTTTTTGATTTATGCGACTTGCTGGAACTCTCTCCACTCATCAAAGGAACAGAGCCAACTGGTGTCCGAGACAAGTCCAACGGAAGGGGTGTACTAGGTCCAGACAAATTACACAGAATATCAACAGACTGGCTGCTTTGTGCTGCCGGTGTTGCCACTGACTGTGAAGACTGACTATGTGTTGGAGAACTGGAATCTTCGCTGAGATGGCTTCTATCATCTTGAGCTTCACTTGGCTGTTTCTGAATGACCTTCGACTTTTGACCCTCTTCATCTAATTTAATCTGCTTAGATGGATTTGATTCAGAAGCTTGAGAATTATCCATACTTCCTGCACGAACAAATTCAACAAATGAAGACTCAAACTTGGACTTTACCTCTAGAAGGGGTGAATCTGCTTTCCTTTTCTGACCAGATTTCTCAACATCTGTTCCAAATGCAGCTCGCTTGACATTTTCTTCTACTTCTAGTTCGTCCTCAAACATCTGGTCCTGAAGTTTCTCTGGAACCACTGACGGATTCAACATAGTTGTTCTTTGCTTGAGATTAAGAACCATCATATTTTCTGGAATGGGTAAACAAAAGGGTCGAGTACGGCCATACAGTGTGTGGTATAGGTCTGTGACGCCACATCTGAGACGACTGTCCGAACACAAGAGAGAGTTCATCAAATTCCACAACCTGTCCACTAATTCTGTAGTATTCATGGGGCTGTACTCACCTTTTTTGAAAGGTGGGTTGTCTACGAACATCATCAAGACAGTATGACGAATAAACGGATCGGGATCATACTCTACCAAATCCAATAACCAATCAAACATAATCTGATTTGATTCAGATCGAACAAAATCAACCAAACATGATAAAGCAGCAACACGAACATCACGGAAAACACCATATGTTGCGTAACACTGGAATATTTCAGAATCATTGGGTAGATGGCCATATTTCTGCATTGTTCTAATTAATTTGATACAACTGACTGTTACAGTGTGTCGATAACAAGGGAGAAGTTTCTCCAGATTCAGACATCGGGTACATTCTTCTAAGATCAATTTCATGTCTGCGCTAAGATATTCTGTACTAATACCCTGACTTGAGACAGTTACCGTAGCAACTGCTGGTGTGATGGTCAGACTCAGCGCCTCAATTAATGCAGCCCTGTAATAATTATCTGAATACTTATTCTTACTGTTGTCATTGTACTTGAACAAATCCATCAGAAATTTCATTACTTCCATTGGACATATATTGTGAATATTTCTCAGTCTTGCCATTGCTTTTGGCATCGTTTTCAGCAAATAATAATGCTGAAAGTTGTTGAAATTGTTTTGACGAATGATGGATGGACAAGAATGAGATCCAAATGTTTTCCTAAATATGGTCATCATTGCTGGAGGCCCTGCCCAATTACTAACCATAGAGTTCGCTACACTAGCCAAACATTCACATGCATCAAGTCTAATTCTGTAGTAACAAGAGTCGTTTTCAATAGTGTCAGTTAAAGCAAGCCGTGTTGCTGGTGTTCCATACTTGTATAGAGCATCAATTGCCTCTTTCTGTGCAACAACATCGCGTTCATAACGTAACTGATACTGCCACATGTAATCTGGCTGCTCCCAAGCACACTGACGTAAAGTATTCAATTCAGGGTCGACTCTGAGCCATAAAACTGGAGAATCAGCATCCATGGCACTAAGATCCATATCAACCTCTTCTCCGGTCATCAATGGAATCTTTTTCTTCTTATTTCTACGACTTTTGGAATGACATGTAATTTCAAATTTAGTTTTATTTTCCTCAATTTTAAACGTGTGATTAAACGATCCATCTAATTCTTGAATAGTTACTGTAAGCGGCCCAACATATTTCAACGCACCTTTCACACTGTTATCTTGCTTGATCTCAAGTTCAACAACATTCCGTTTACGATTGAAAACAAAGTTACCATAAAATCGCGCACATCCACTTTGGTAAACCCATTGTTCTAGAAACGGCAAGATGTCCTTCCCAGTTACGGTGGAGATGATCTTTGAGAAGGAACTTGTTGATAAAAGCATATTCACCCAGGTGTTACTAACATATTTTTGTTGCGATGCATTGTAAGCTAAGGACAGTAGCTTATTTAAGGCCTGAAGCAATAACTCTGTTCCAATTCGAAATTCTAAAATTCTCATAACTAACATTGCCTTTTGGCTGAACATGGTTGCATGCCGTGGAGAAACTGTGTGGGAATTTTTAGCAGAGAAATGTAGGTTTGATTCTTTTTTTGTTGGATCAAGGACAATTCCACCAACTTTATTTTCATGCTCAGAGACTTCCTTAAGCTTTCGTGCAATAACATATCGGAACTCATTGTTACCAAACGTTTTTTTGATGAACAGCATAGAAAGATACCCAGCGATACCTTTGGGTAACCATGCATCTGACCAAGTATGCATAGATATAAATGTACCAAAAAACTGCTGTGCTACTGCTTTTGCCATAAGTGTTCTTGTCATAAAAGTCTGATCAATGATGCGAGAGGAGTGCAGAAGATTTGTGCTGAATATTGTCATGGTGGCATATGACATTGCATCTGCATAACTTTCATCAACAAAAACTTGTTTGTAGTAAGAATATGGATAACGACTTGATAATAATTCTTCATAGAATTCAAAAGCTTCATGGATATAACTTGTCGTATGTTTAAGGATTCCACTCAAATGTGGAAGACAAAAATGAGTAACTTCATGCATGTTTGGATCTACGAAAATCTCAAAAGGACCAATAGCAATAGCGATGTTTGGAGCACTGACAGGTGTAGACATGTAATAATGAAAAGTTTTCTTCATAAGACATGGACTATAGACAGCCTCAATCAAGTCCCCACACGATACAGCTGTCATATCACGATCCACTGTTATTTCAATTTTCCAGGTACACGGTTCACAATAAGAATCAATGCAAGGAAACCAGAGTCTGGAGGAGTTTTCATGGCCATAGGTGAACATGTGTGCTCCAATATCTGCCATGTCACCAGACATTTCAGGTACAACGAAATGAATTCCGCCTTTTGGATCTTCCAAAGAATATTCAATACACAATCGAAATGGACGCAGTTCAGCAATCAGTGGGTGTGTCTCTGGAGGTAATTTAATTGTAACTTCCCCATTTACACTGTCTGCATCTACAGCACTCATTGCAGACAAGTGACAATTTTGGAAAAAGTCCAGATTCCTTTGCTTGGCTTCACCCTGGCAAATTTCTTGTGTTGGGTCATTGTAGAGGAAAGCTGCTTCCCATTGGTCATTTATGCAGATGCGATAAATACGACCTTGTTTAAAATTGATTTTTAAACGTTTCAAATCTGCACGAAGTGGATGAATGGTCAGATCAACATAACCAATAATAGATTTCTTCTCAAAGTTCACTCCTGTTAGACAGATTTTCTGATGAGATAGTTTATAGGGTCTTTGATTATCAGTTTTGTTGTCCTTCTTCATGATGGGAGTGAAAATAAAAACCCTTTAGTATTAGTAGACACGTTAAATTATCCCTCGATGGGCAGCATGATTTTGACTGCAGCCCAGACAGTCAGTCAGCACTGCAGGGACCAGACAGGCTAATGAATATACTGGAACTGGACCTTCATATATGATATATGTACATCATGCGTAGGTTCATTTCAACGTTTAGATATTATATTATTGTCCTTTGTTGATAATTTCTGAATGTTGTACAACCTATATTATTGTTTAAATGTTTATTTTTTTCTGTCTCAAGTGTGGTGTTTACATTTTGCCGGTAAAACTCACACGCTTCGTGGCGCTACAAACGGTCAATCCGGAAGTCAAAACATTAACACGGGCCTACGAATCTTCGCATCAACTTATAAGTATCTGGATGTATCTTTGTAATTAACATATAAACGATAAACAGACATACAAATTTGGTCTGTAGCTCTATCAATAATATGAGATTTTACAGATTATTGAAAATTAATTCAACTTCATTCGGACAACATATATTGTCAATTTCTTAACTCGAAGTGCCGAGTATTTAGACTCAGTTACCCAGACCAAAAGTAATCTGGGCAACAGAGACTACTGCTTATTACAAAAATACGGCGGGAAAATGGATGATGTGGAAAGTGAAAGTTGTGTTGTCAGGTATTATAAAATGTATTATGTTGCAGTTTTCTGCATATTCTGATACAACTAGAATATATATCCGAAGCTCATTATCAAATTCAAATAATCGATACGGAAAATAATGGTACCACTACCAACCAGAGCACATCAGTCTGAGAATGAGATTATGATTTTGTTAATTAATGTTATCAAAGAACTGCAGTACTAGTTATTACACGATCTATGATGTTTTGTAGGTCCCCCGGTTTAGAAAGTTTAGGAACAATCTCTGATCGGAGTCAGACGCAACCGGGCACAAGCGGACACAGTGATCTGACCGTTTCTATTTGGCCCTGCAATAAGCTGCAATATGAAAATACCACTGTCCACTCTACTCTAGATCTGTTTTGGAATCCTTTATACCTTCGGGTTATAGACATAACGGCCCAACTCATAACGGCCAAAAATTATGGTTATAACGGCCACAAATTTTGGTCATAAAGGCCAAAGAAATTGGTCGTAACGTCCATACAAACTGGTCATAACGGCCCCAAAAAACCCCAACTTTTACTACATGTATGAAATGATATTTATTGACATAAATATTGCATAATAGATAATAGCATAATAAAAATACATACATTACATAAACATTAATTTAATACGTATATTTACATAGACATTTAACATAATACAAACTATAATATTTCACATACGTAATACATTTATACTAAATCATACTTTACAGTGTATAGATACAAGTTGATAAAAGTCCCACCAATAACTCAATGGCTGGATTTAGCAAGCAAAGCCAACTGTCTTGTTTTTGAAAACGTCAAATGTCTTTCTCCTTGAACTTTTATATCGGCACGTAAAAAATCAGGTATTGCATCTTCATTTACCTATAAACTGAATTTATAAATATAGCTTAACCTAAAATAACTAAGTAAATATAGCTTAACGCAGCTGCTCTGATTAGGTTCTCTGGATTTTCTCTGAATGGATTGGAGATGTCCATTTCTTTTATTTTCAACTGATAAAAAATAAATGATTAATGTTTATCTCATATATTACCTAATCAGATCAGAGGGTGTGAAGTACTTAATTAGGGATTATCCAATTAGTTGATTAATTAGTACTGACCTCTTTTCTTTGAATTACAATTACACTTTACAGCATGTAATCTTCCGGGTTGGCTTGGGTATTATTGGCAATTTTTCCACTGACAAATTCTTCAGGACACATGGTTTGTATAACTGTAGCATCACATCAATGGTTTGTTCAAATAAATTGTTTTTCATTAAAGGGACAATAACACTCTTGCTGGCTAGAAAGCTCCAGAAAATAAATAATTTCTCTATCTAAGTACTAGATGTGTTAGTGTCCTACCTGTTGTGTTAATTATCCATTAAATCCTATTTTACTTGTCCAGAAGGTTCGAAAATATTTTTAAATCGAACTTTCATTTGAAAAGGTTTACGTTAGACGTTTCAAACCATTATGTTGAATTTTTCATAATTTTTAAATAAGGTGTGTTAAGATGAAATTTGTATCATCAATTAATTGAAATATTGTAAAATAGTACAATTTGTTGACCAGAATAAAGATTGGGACATATTATTCAGTAACAACAAGAGTGGTATTGAGCCTTTAAATTAAAAATGTTTGGCTGTTACGAGTATATTTTTTTACCATTATTATGACCAAATGATTTGGCCGTTATAAACATACTGTTTGGCCGTTATGACTAAAGTAGGGGCGTTTTGACCAAACATATTTCTGGCTGTGATGACATAGGGCCATTATGACCACATCCCATACCTTGTATATTGTTCACCATGATTCTTCATCAAGTAGAATTTTGCGATCTGCACATTTTTGGTTGAGTCTCGTAATGCCAGATCAGTTCAAATGTTTTTTACTTATGTTTTTTAATCACAAAATAGCGATAGAGTAGTATTTTCATATTTCAGCTTTTTCAAATAAGGACGAATAGCAGTAAGGACAGTGTCCGATCAGAGACTGTTCCTAAAAGAACTAGTTCTGTTGTTAATATTTTTACATTGTATATCTATCAATTAGTTCCTTTAGGACTGGTGTCTGATCAGACACTGTTCTAACTTCCTAACGGATCTAGTCTATCAATATGTTTATTGTTTATGTCCTTTGAGAGAGCCATATATGGTGGATCCCTGAGGAAGATGTTGGATCAATGTGGAAGAGGCTGGCTCACTGACTAATGAAGTGATCTGGGGTACCATCCCTGTGTTGCCAAGAAAGTACATGTACTGGTACTTCACGATTTTGCAGTGTGGTTTCCCTTTACCAGTCAGTGGTGCAGGAAACAGTGTCTAGTTGATTGTACCTAAAATCAAGGTCCCATACTTTGGCATGCACGTAAAAGAACCCTTGACATTTGGAATTTTAAATAAGAGCATAGTGCCGCTGTCTGGGCAAAATTTCACCTTGTATCACATTGTATATCCATCCTCATTATACAGCGGGATTGGTGCTGAACATTTTAAACGGTTTAAAACCCCATTTCAGTTTAATACACCCATGCATAGTTTGGGCTTATATATAGTCATCGCCCGGTCTGTCAACAAATGACTAGTGAACATGATAGAATTAGTTACTTAGTAGAATCTACTGTTTTTGACAGATCTCTTTCAAATTTGTTGTGAGTGATTAAACCCTATCGATATCAAGTGTTCCACAGCCTTCTGTACCACAGTTATGCCTTTGTAAATGCAATAGAAGCTATAGTTTGGCTGGAAGCGTTGAGACCGATTACCCCTATTGATAGTCAGCATTCAACGACTGTACATAGAAGGATTGTGTGACATGATATTGTACTTATAATTTAATGATTCTTTTTACTTTTTTGCAGAAATTTAGAAGATGTTGAGTCTGTATTAAGTTTTGCCAAGTTAGAGAGAAGGGATATAAAACCTACAGTGCAATGTGTTATATTCTCACAGGAACTAGACAATGATAGTATTAAATTACTAGAACTAGATTCTACAGTTCTTAAATGTTTAACAGTTGGTGATAGGTACATTATTATTATTATTATTAAATAGAGAATCTCCTACCAGTCTTTTTTGATATCAAAAAATATCAACACAAGTTGATAAAGTAACAAAAAACGAGACTCTGCCGTTTTACTTTATCAACGAGTGTTGATATTTTTTGATATCAAAAAAGACAAGTAGGAGATTTTATTTTTCACCCAATCCCTTCTTACATGCACAAATAGATAAATATAATTCTTTGCTGTAGATTTCCCTTTTACTGAACATTACGACGTAGTGATACATCATTTTTATACGCCCACATTTTCATGTGGACGTATATTGTTGTCGCCCTCGTCCGTCCGTCCACAATTGTTTGTGAGCAGTCTACAGGTCACAATTTTTATCCGATTTCAATGAAACTTGAAATATAGGTTTATCACCCTAAGATCTCGGCTCCTTTCGATATTGGCATCTATCGGATCGTAACTTCATGGATTATGGCCCCTGATTGTACGAAAAATCACGTTTTTGGCTTTTGAACACTGTAGAGGTCACAATTTTTATCCGATTTTGTTGAAACTTGAATTGTTAGTTTATAACCCAAAGATCTCGGGTCCTTTCGACAATATTCGCTCATATCAGATCGTAACTTCTTGAATTATGGCCCCTGATTGTACGTAAAAAGGCGTTTTTTGGCTTGTGGACCCTATAGAGGTCATAATTTTTATCCGATTTAAAAAAACGTTTTATTATATCACCGTTAAACCCCAAGGACGGTTGAGTTTGAATTTCGTGAAAATCGGCCCAAAACTTACAGACAAAATGGCCGCCGTTCGTTCTCAAATAGCATAAAAATATGGTATATCAAGGTTGTGGACCCAATAGAGGTCACAATTTTCATCCGATTTTGTTGAAACTTGAAATGTAAGTTTATAACACAAAGTTCTCGGTTCCTTTTGATATTCGCGCATAACGGATCGTAACTTCATGAATTATGGCCCCTGATTGTACGCAAAAACACGTTTTTTGGCGTGTGGACCATATAGAGGTCATACATTTTTATCCGATTTAAAAAAACGTGTTGATATATCACCATTACACCCTAAGGCAGCTGAGTTCGAATTTCGTGAAAATCGGCCCAAAACTGACCGCCCTTTGTTCTCAAATAGCGTAAAAATATGGTATATCAAGGTTGTGGACCCTATAGAGGTCACAATTTTTATCCGATTTTGTTGAAACTTGAAATGTAAGTTTATAACCCAAAGATCTTGGTTCCTTTCGATATTCGCACATATCGGACCGTAACTTCATGAATTATGGCCCCTTATTGTATGACAAATCGCGTTTTTAGCTTGTGGACCCTATAGAGGTCATAATTTTTATCCGATTTAAAAAAACATTTTATTATATCACCGTTAAACCCAAAGGACGGTTGAGTTCGAATTTCGTGAAAATTGGCCCAAAACTGACAGACAAAAAGGCCGCCATTCGTTCTCAAATAGCTTAAAAATATGGTATATCAAGGTTGTGGACCCTATAGAGGTCACAATTTTTATCTGATTTTGTTGAAACTTGAAATGTAAGTTTATAACCAAAAGATGTTGGTTCCTTTCGATATTTGTGCATATCGGACCGTAACTTACTGAATTATGGCCCCTGATTGTACGAAAAATCGGGTTTTTAGCTTGTGGACCCTATAGAGGTCAGGGGGGTTGGATGGCTGAATGGTGAGCGTGTGCGCGCTGTATCATAAAGTCTGTCATTGAGTCGACTGGCGTGGTTTCGAATCCCCGGTTGTACGTGGCAAGGAGTAGGGTCGCCTGTCCAACCTCGTGTGTTTTCTCTGGGTCCTCCAGTTTCCTCCCACTGCTAAAGACCCCTACGCGCAAGCGAATTATGTAAATAAAATTAAACCATATGTTAGTCCCGAAATGACCTAGTTTGTGTCGAGTGGACGTTAAACCCCATTTCTCTCTCTCTCTATAGAGGTCATAATTTTTATCCGATTTAAAAAAACGTATTATTATATCATCGTTACACCCTAAGGACGACTGAGTTCAAATTTCGAAGAAAATCGGCCAAAAACTGACAGATAAAATGGCCGCCCTTCGTTCTCAAATAGCGTAAAAATATGGTATATCAAGGTTGTGGACCCTATAGAGGTCACAATTTTTATCCGATTTTGTTGAAACTTGAAATGTAAGTTTATAACTCAAAGATCTTGGTTCCTTTCGATATTTGCGCATATCAAATTGTAATTTCCTGAATTATAGCCCTTGATTGTAGGAAAAATCACTTTCATTTTAGCTTGTTTTCTATCCATCTCTCGAAAATGTGGGCGTATCCTGCCTGGCAGCCGCTGGTTTGATACCAATTCAACCATTGCAAGGTCCTTTATATTGGCCCAGTGTTTCCATCAAGGTCAATTGAATAACAATAGTTCATTTTTAATTAAAAAAAAGTTATTTTTAATAAGAAATGATCTGTTCTTTGAAAATAAAAAAATGTAGTTCCTTTTCAACTGACCAATCAAATTCATGTAAAGCGATATTTCCTAAGGAGATATTGCAGTAGATTATGAAATATATCACACAAGCGATATCTACTGTAGAATGTATTATTGGGTGATAAACAGTTATATTATGCTAGTAGAGGGGTATGGGTAACCAATTAAATTAAGTGATCTGTCATTGAGTCAAATGAGATGGTTTCGATGCGAATATGGTATAGTCGCTTGTCTAACTTTATTCCTGTTTCCTACAACATGATGGTGCATGCAAATTACTGAAATACAAATCTCCCATGTGTGTTAGTCCGTAAATGACTTACGAAAGCTCTAATGACAAACTACCCAGATGTCATTGTATAGTACAGTAGGTTTGTTAACCTATGTTATTTTTACTTGATCGGCAATGGGGACATGAAATATATTTTTATACTGGTCACAGTGGCATGCAGAGATGAGGAGACGACCCCGGACATCAATTTCAAGGCAGCATTCAATCAAAGTATTATGTTAATTTTTTGTAATTTTAGAATTATCACTGTTAATGGTATCATGCAAGCAGCCCTACTTAATTTGAATAAAAAGTTTGATTCATATGGTTTCACATATTTAAAAAGTTTTCCTTTCTCACATTTTTTAGTACTAGAAGGGGGGGGGGGGAGGTTTTGATTTTGCATGCCACTGCCTTGACATTTCATTGTATCTCTACATTTCAGGGTCTTGTTTCACAAAATTTTAACTAAAGATAAAATCCAAATTTTAGTAGATACTTAAATTTTGATTGGCTAAGCACTACAATCAGTCTAATATTATCCAATCAAATTACTAAAATTTGGATTTTATCTTAGTTAAAATTTCGTGAAACAGGCCCCAGGATTGTAATACCAGAGTAACTTGATGTTATATTATTTCAGGGTTGTAATACGAGGAGATAAAGATGATGGTGCTGTTCTTTGTACTAAAGATAAAACATACGAAATGAAAGAAGCAGAAACATCAAATTCTTTACTTATAATTCCTGATTTAAAGTTTGGTGCCGATTTATCAAATGATGGGGAAGTTCACATCACATATAACCAGGTGGGTAGTGAATCCTTAATCATGCTAAATTGTCCAGTTTTCAGTAGGACTGCCATCAAACAATGCAGGAACAATTAAAAAGAAGCCATTTAACAAAACTTTGTAACCATAATGTTGCAATAAAATAACTAGAAAAAGCAAGATTATTGATAATATGACAACCCTGCCATTTTCAGTTAGGACCCTGACAGTGTTTCCACAATCAGCATTATCATGTTTATTACTCAACGACAGCTTTGGTCTATTATGAATATTTTAACTATTATCATGTTCATTAGGCTACTTAGCCATGGCATTGGTATGTTATGAAAATTAACATACATTTCACCATACAAAATTAACATGTAATTGAAGAGTCCAGGGGAAGAACGGTCCAAGTCACATTTTTGTCTTTTCGCACAAAAGGCAAAACTGACTTTTGGACAAGAATGCTTGACGAAACAGAACAACGAGTGGGTTTAATTACAACTTCAAAATGATGTTTAATACGAATCATAATTACCAGTACAACAACTAACTTCCACTTTTCAGCCAAATTAAGATCAAATAAAGAGTACGATGGACATATTTGTCCGGGAGGCCATTTCAGAAGGGCCTTGGTTCGATGTGACTCTGATCATTTTTACCTGAAATTGATTGTTCCAGACAGCTTATGCAATTTGCTACCGGATGGTGCTATTAACGGGGGTTCGTTGAAAAAGTGACTTAGATTGTTCTTCCCCGGAGCTCTTCAATTACTTAGCAAGAGCATTGGTATGTTATGAATATTAATATCCATTATAATGTATTAAATGTCCCATACATAATTTAAACTATTATCATGTTAATTACTTGGTCACAGCATTAGTATGTTATGAAAATATATAATAATGTAGTTATATGTCACCATACAAAATACCAACTATCATTTCAGGTTACATCTGTCTTAAATAATTATTATGAATTACGACCATGTAAACCTAAGGTTAAGAAAATGAAAGAGTTATTAGAGAAGAATCTTTATAGTGGTAAAGAATGTGAACAAGATGAACAGCACCAGGGGAAAAAAGTAAGAAATATTGAATCTGTTAAAGGTTACGTAACCTCCCCTAAGAACAAAAATGACCATTAATACCCATTACTTCCTTTGGTCAACATTCTTTTTCATATGGTCTAGCACATTTATTGAATGAAATTTTCCTGTTCTTAAAGATACATTATGGGAGATAAGATAAAGAGATGGCAGTTCTCTCTATAATAGTTAAAAACTAGATAGTGTAAAGGTAATTTGCTGAAAATTTCAGTCAAATTGATCCACTATGAGCCGAGAAAGAAGCGGGTGAAATTTTTGCATAGTCTCGGTCATCATTACTAAAATCATTAATATAAACAGCATAGTCTCGATTATCCACTTTTTTTTTATTTAATTATCAATGGCCGTTAGCGGCATATAGGAATCGAAGGCTAGCCTTGACATCGAGAGTTTATTATGGTCTGGATAAGTTAATTAATGTCTAATTGATAATTTAGATAACATTTCAGGCCTAAAGAAAGACTTGTAATAAGCAGATTTTGCTCTTGCATAATGCATGTTTAATGAATTGATCCAGTTTTTCTAACTATAAAAGTCAACTTGAGAAATACTTTTGTTTTATTATGTGTAGATCTGTGTTTTATTGATATCTATAATCATGTTACTATAATATGATGATGAGTGACTTTAAATCAAATAAACTTCATTTCATTTAGTTGATAAATTGTTATATAATTTATATATGTTTCAGTATACCTATAGTGATTTGTTAGATGTTATACAAGCAAGTGATACAGAAATAACACAAGCTCTACATCATATTAAAGCCTGTTTAATTGATGGTAGGCTAATATCTATATAATTAAAACCAAGTGTGTGTTCACCCATGACTCTTTGTCGCCTTCCTCCACCCCCACATTTGTGGTATCAAATTAACCAGCATGATTAATACAGTTTAATGTATTAGGCCATCGCATTTGAGCTCGGGGCAAATTGGGCCTGGACCCCGAGTGAATCATCATGCTTTGTTGTTTTGTTCAACCCCCAAATGTTGTATTGACCCTGTGAATCTTCCCAATGTGAACATGATACAGTACATAGATCTTTATAGAAATTGTTGACAACATTGTGTGGGCTTGTACACAGGGGGGCACGGCTCGACAATATACATTTTAAAATAACTCATTTCTATAGTGCTATCAGCATGAAATTTTCCAGAAGAACCCTACCAAGACTTTAATGTTTCACTTTCAGTTTAGTTTTCACTGTTTTGAATTGAATCATTCAAAACTTGACTTACTTCTTAGCTAGCTTGAATGACTCTGTCATTGTTGGGAGAGTACATGACATTGAATTCTAATAATTCTAATATAAAAAATGATATTTGTGTAAGGTTTTATGATTTTCTGTAGGTTATTGGCGATTGTTAGATTTTGATTTTCAAACTCAAATTATTAACCATATAATGCAACTGTGTGATGAAAATGATTGGTTAAATTCTGGGATACCAATGGAGGAATGTTGTCAGACATTAGAGGAACTGTTCCAAAGGTAATGAAAATTTTATTTTCTTCAAATGTTTTAGAATAATGAAGACAATGTTGGTAAAAATGTAGGAGAACTCAGTGAAGAAATTAGAAAAGACTACTATATTTTAAAGGACCAACTGACAAAAAATCGTCCATGGGGTAGTTTTCTTTAGATAAAAATATTATGAGAGCCATTTTGAAGAAGTGTTTTAATAGATAAAAATAGTTTGAATATGTTTTTAGTCCTAATATATTATCAAATCACACAGTTTTTATGTAGGAAGGTATCTTTAAGAACATGTTTGATTTGTACAAGCATCAAAGGAGGAGTCACAGATCTAACTGGATCTTTGAAAGAAAAGTTTATTAGAAAATGGCCAATTAATATTGTCTAGAAGTTTCAGATTAACTATTCAATACAATTCGCAAACTTTGCCAAGAAGTAATTAGAATACCGCAAAAACCTGCAATATTTATATTGCTCACTGGAAATCAACAAAAAAACATGTATGCCCATATTCATTATCCCTGTTGGTGTTGAAATGTAGAACATTAAGCCTCATTTCAATTCATGAATAAAAACTCGAACTTTTTTTGTAGATCTGTGATAGAGCATATGATTGATTGTTACTGTGATAAAAGAATAGAAGAAACAAATGGTAAGTAAAATGTTTATTTCTATTTTGTCAAGTTTGTCAAAGTTACATTAATTTATTTTATTTTGTCAAGCCCCTCCAGCTCAAGACTTAAAGGAGCTAACTCGCTAATATTTGGGACCTAGAAATTGACACAAATGGGTCGCAACGCATATAATAATTAAATAGGAGTATATAAACTGATTTACATTCAATCGTTTCTGTTTTTACTCTAATTTCTAATCAGCTATGTTCGGCGCAATACGCCAGAACTCTCAGTCGAATGGCATTCTCTAGCGTCTGGTTATTCCAGTCTGCACCGATAGTATTTATTGCGCATGTTTTCCAGATAAGAATATGACGTCACCGTTTGACATATTTCTAGCCTCGTTCTTCGGGTCCCCTGTTACAAATGGAGCTGAAACGCTTTATGGTACACGATTTGTGTACCAATGGTAAAATGTTTATTTTGTCTTAAATATTGGATATCAGAAGCCCATCTTTTCCCGGTAAGATCACAACATGAATGTTGATTTAAATTGACAAATAATTTGTGTTTTCAATGTCGAAGACTTTGGACGATATTGAGTTAGAAGCTTAGCTACTTTAAGTTGTGCCGGAGTACAAGAGAGAATATTAACAACTGGCTGTAATTCTATTTGTCACATATTAAATTTTTTGGGAATATCTAATTACCAAATAACTGAACTATCAGGTTGAACTCCATGTCATTCCTTTATTTTGTAATATGGGAGCCACCGTGGCTCAGTAAGTAGGATGTAGGCCCACTAACCAGGATGTCTGATGTTCGATCCCAAGGAAATTTCATCAAGCTTTTCCAGCATGGTGCCTCTTTGCAAGGGGCAATGTACAGTCGTTTGGATGGAACAAAAAAAAAAAACAGGTCCTGTGTACACATTTGCGTGCACGTTAAAGAACCGTTGACAGTTGAAATTAGAGTAGGCCGTCATATTTTCCCAGTAGGTACAGATAAGTAGGACGTTAAACGCCATTTCATTTATTTTTTTATAGAAAGTAATAAATGAGGGTCAACTTTAATTCTGTTATTTTGGGATTGAGTTGGGGGTCGACAGCCTCACTGATTGCTTGTTTTAAATGGGGATGATGACCTTTTTTTCTTGATAATATTTATTGATTGCAGAAAATGTATTTAAGATAAATGAGGATAAAGTTTGTCGTTTTTTTGCTGAGTTGCTATTAAGAGGGTCAGGACAGGTGACTATATTATAATTATTTACTTATCAGAAGTTGCTTCTGAAAATGTTCTGGAATCTAAAGACATGCAACTGAAGCTTAGCTTAGTAATTTGAAATTTAGATTATCTTCGCCTGACCTTTTTGCACTATAGGGAATATTTGTATTAAGTTGAAAAACAGAGATAAATTATAAAAACAAATTTTACCATGAGCATGTGACTGGCCAAACACCATTCAACAATTTATATTCCTTCAAATATAATTTTGTGTGTGCATCAACAGATTGTAATATTTTAGTAAGAAGAACAGTAGATTATATCCATAATTTCCCAATTATAACCATAATTTCCCAATTATAACCATAATTTGCCCTTTAGGCAAAATTATTGAAATTTAATTTAGTGAAATTATTGGTTTCCTGTTGATACCTTTTAGATATTAATCTAAATATTAATCTACTCCATTATTTAGTTCAACTACAAAGAATTTTTACAAGTATGGCAGCAAAGTGTTCCAGATGGTATGAAAACCAATATGTGTCAACTAGAGGTATACAAATTATCTCCCTTATTGTGCTTCCTTTCTTTTTTTTTTTAAATTACCTCACTTGAGTCTGTTTTGTTAATCTGTCAAATTTAAAATTTGGTAGCAATATTTACACATTATTCTGTTTAACGTTAAATTTCAAAACAAGCTCAGTAAATTTTGAAGAGAAAATAAACTGTAATTACTATAAAATGAGAGCATCTTTTTTGATGTGTGTGATTTAATTTGGGGGGTTGGATGGCTGAATGGTTAGCATGTGCGCGCTGTATCATAAAGTCTGTCATTGAGTCAACTGGCATGGTTTCGAATCCCTGGTTGTACGTGACAAGGAGTAGGGTCGCCCATCCAACCTCGTGGGTTTTCTCTTGGTCCTCCGGTTTCCTCCCACTGCTAAAGACCCCTACGCACAAGCAAATTATGAAAATAAAATTGAACCATATGTTAGTCCCGAAATGACCTAGTTTGTGTTGAGTGGACGTTAAACCCCATTTCTCTCTCTGATTTAATTTTAATGAGATATACATGTATCCGAGACGAGGACCAAATGTCGGGGAGTTGTAGACTATAATATAGACGTGACTGGTGGAATTTGTTGTCACTCCCTATCATCTTTTGGAGTAATGATATATGGAAAATGTCATGCCATGGAGGTTTTGTTAAAAAGGAATTAATATTTGCCCATTAGTCACAATGTAACAATAATTAAGGGCTTTATTTCTTCAGGACATTGTCATACTTTTCAGGACCTGCATGCTTAACGGTATGTTCACCATAAAATCGGAAATCTATAAGTGGCAGGTAGCTGTCCCAGATTTCTCTCGCGATGCTACTAGTTTTATTCTATGCAAACTCTTTAGGCTTAAGTGAGATTGTGTGGCTGTTCCTTTTATATTGCCCAGTAGAAGTCTCTGGTAGACCGGAGCAATTCTGTTTCACTGAAGTGGCTGCTTCCATAATTATATGTGAGCAGAAATGTCAACTAGAGAATTGCTGTTATATAAATGCTTATTTGCATGAGGCTCTTAAGCTCCAAACCCTATATTTACCACCCAAAAAGTATTGTAACTATGTCAACTTCTGTCTTCTATACTATGTCAAGAATTTCTGCCTTTCTTTTCAAAATTGTCTGTACCTGGGTCTTACCAATTCCAAATTCTTCGGCCAATTGTCTTTGGCTTCTACCCTCACTCTTTTTGATAAGTTCTACTTTTGCTTTTAGGGTTAATTCTACACGAGTACGCTTACTACGGGGTTTTTCCATTACGCAGGTGAAGGTCGAATAAGAAATAATACACTTGACAAAATTTACTCGTACATACAGATGAAGGCCGAATAAGAAATGATAATCTACAAAATTTACTTGTATAAATAGTAAATAAATGATTAGTTTTAATCACCTAATCATTATTAATTTCTTTGTTTAAATTAAACACCCAATGAGAAATTTCATTGTTTAAAAAACGAAACCAACAAAGAAAGATTAGCGGCTCGTTAAATGGCTGCGATGAAATCAATCTACCACAAATGTTTGATTGCTTTGATCTTGGTCGTTAGATTGACTAATCCCTGTCAGTGGTCGTTATTGCTTTGATCTCGGTCAGTGGTCGTTATTACTTTGATCTCGGTCGCCGGCTTACTAATCCCAATCAGTGGTCGTTATCGCGAGTCACAAAAACAATGAATTTGACTGATTGGGACTGGCTTCGGTAGTCGTAATCCGTAATAGTGAGTTGCCCGTATTACTGAGTTCAATTTATAAGGAATATAGAAGAAATAAATTGGTTCTTTTAATATGTGGTCGTATACGTGAGTTGCCCGTAATACTGAGTTGGTCGTTAAGCGGGATTTCACTGTAATAACATCATCAGATGAATAACAGATGTAATGTTTGATAATTCCTTTTATGATTTTATTCAGGGCTTGGCATTAACTAATTTAGATTGTAATATACCAGTTATATGGCATTTTCCTGTGGATGATCTACCAGAAGACATCAACGAAAGATTTGATTTCTTGTTTCGAACTCGAGAGAAATGGACAAGAGATGATATAACACCATATATAAAGTTAGTTTACAAAGTTTTGAGAATAATAAGATATGTTTTTTTCTACAATTCATTTTATCTAAAATACAAATGATTTATTTGTATCCATTTGACAAATATTCCTTGTTAAAAATATTAATACCGGTACTGTTCTTAATTATTAACTTGACAGGTTTTTATCTAAAATTGATGACAACTATAGATGACCTTTTAAACGTTTTTTTAGTTTTTACCATCATCCTATCCATGCCTTCTATTTTATGTATCTTCAAACAAATTCAACCTCTATTCATTGCAAATTTTTCTGCAGTTACAAATGTTGTAATTTTATGTAACAAATTGTATATACTTGTAGGGACATTTCTGGCATAAGACTTTTTTTTTGTTACAGGGACTTGGTAACAGATAAATTAGATGTTGGTGCTCTATTAACCAGACATGCAAGAGCTTCTCTACAGAACGGAATTAAAGTTTTTAACTCCAGAAAGCCATTAAATAAATAAAATTATTTCATACTAAATAAATTGTTTATATATGTATGCTTCATTTTTATATGGGCTACATTGAAAGGGGATCGAATATTTCCCTTGTCAGTGATGCAGGACGGAGGGCCTGACAAGGACAGCTGTCTAGTCATTCGGATGGGACGAAAAACCAAGACCCTGTGTACATATTGACGTGCACGTAAAAGATCCCTTGGCAGTTGGAATTTGATATAAGAGAAGGCCGCAGCGCCGCTGCCCGGGCAAAATTTCCCTCACAGCACACTGTATGCGTTTGCCCATCTTCAGTTTAGGAGCAGAACAATAGGACGTTAAACCCCATTTCATTTCGGATCGAATATTGTTGTTATCCCTATCCTTGTGGGCTGTCTAAGAGGCCTCAGTTGTATGAATATGTATTAATAAACAAGTGTACAAATTGCAAGTCAATCTGATGATAACCTTAGCCTCTTGGGCCTCCACAAGACTTTTCAGGTTGATTAAGGGAGATAACTCCAAAAGTAAGTATGAGAAATTGTTGAAAATCAATAGAATCTTCGCCTCATTTGGAGGATGACAAGCAATTGTGAATCTGGGACAGTCAGGGCTGACAAAAATAATAACCAATAATAAAACTGGTTTCATTTTAATAATAAACCATTTAATTAATCAAATGAAATTCACAAGCTCACATTTGATCAAACTGGATACGAGATGTAAACAAAATTACATTTTACTTAGGAGTGTAATATAATTATCTAAAGATGTGTTTGCTTAATTCAAATCCTAATATCATCTAATTTAATGGATGATGCAGGAAAGCTTCACAAATAAACACTGACAGGGCCTGGGAGTATATACCTCTAAACATACAAAAACAACAATCACAAAGTTTATTTTGATTTGATCTGATCTTAATGAAATTTAAAATTTAAGTGTCTCAAACTAAATTAAGTTAGAATGTCCTCTCACTATTGTTCACTATGTGGAAGCTTGACGTTTTCACCTCACTGTTGAACATTATCGTAAAGTGGAGAATCCTTAATTTATGGCGGTGGTTGTTGAGGTATCATTTTGTTTGTGTGATTTTATATGGTCGCTACATAAACCACTATACATGAAAGTTTTATCACAAATATCACACTTATACGGCTTCTCTCCACTGTGTATGCGGAAATGTGTTATTAAATTACCCTTCTGATTAAACGCTTTATAACAAATATCACACTTATAGGGTTTTTCTCCCGTATGGATTCTCATATGTCGGGTAAGCGAGTCACGAAGATGAAACAGCTTACTACAAATTTCGCACTGATATGGACGCACATTTGAATGACTCTTTTTATGAGTCCACAGTGCCCCCTGTTGAGTAAAAAGTTTTCCACATTCCATGCACTGATACGGTTTTTCACCAGTGTGTACCCTTAGGTGGATACGAAGAAGTTTAGGTATGCGAAACCGACGACCACAGGTATCACATTGGAATTTCAGTTCTGCTGCGTGTATGGTCCTGTGTTGCTTTAGCTCATCATGGGATTTAAACTTCTCGGAACAGTCTCTACATTCAAATACTTTTACTTTCGTGTGACTTGTAATGTGAGCTGTCAAAAGATAATTTTGCGCAAAATATTCGCTGCAAAAGTGGCATTGATAAGGTGACCAATCAGCAAGCTCATGACTCTGTCTCATGTGACGATTTAATTCAGATTGTAATCGGAAAGTTTCCTCACATTTTGAACAATTAAACAGTTTTTCAGCACTATGTGTTTTTAAATGATTAAGCATACTTGATCTAAATCGGAACCTTTTTCCACACTCTGGACAATCAAAAACTTCATCCTTATTAGATTTTTTGCAGTGTTTTCGTTTCCTATGATTTTTTAAACTCGACTCTTTTAAGTATTTTTTGCCGCAAATTTCACATTTGAAACTGAAATCACTGTCCTCGGATTGAGACACCACATCTGCATTAATGTCTTCTTCCCTTCCATTTTCATTTGATTGATGTCCAATTTTACTGTTCACGTTATGATTGGATTCTAAATGCCTCTGCAAATTTTGAGTGTCAGTAAACAGTTGATCACATTCGTAACATTTTGGATTTTGATTAGTTTGTTCGAAACCATTATCGATATTTGAGTGTTTTATGTTTTTATGCTTTTTCAAATCTTTTTTATGGTAATAATTTTTATCACATATATCACACTGGTATGGCTTCAGACCACTGTGGGTTCTGGTGTGACAAACCAATTTTTCTTCTGTATCAAAAATTAAACAACATATGCTGCATTCATAAGAAGTTGAATCAGTGTCATTTTCTGAAATATTGCTGCTTTCTTGATCTTGTTCTGAAGACTGTGTGGAGAAAGAAGAACTTGTATTCATTGTATCTTCATGATCATCATCTTCATTCATTTCATTGTAAGATGTTTCTGGATTGTATTTTCTTGCATGTCCCGATTTCCGGTCTGGTTTTTTATCTGGAAAAAAAAAACGTAAATAAATATGATAATGTTTTCAAAAATACAGGTATTGAGAATTTATGTATAAAATACTAAATATTGAAAGACAGGCAACAAATATACACCTACCAATAGCTATATGTTTCAACCTCTATATACAAATAGTTACTAATGCATGTAGGGTATTTTGATGAGATATATTTTACAAGACTTCATATCTATGAAGAAGATTAGAATTATCTTTCTCAGTAGAATAACCAAAGGCTTTCAAAACATCTATGCAATACAGATTGACTATTCTGAAGTTGGCTGATACAACTAGTCATAATAAGTAACTATGTTTTAAAGCGGAAATTACAAATTTTCTAAGAAAGTCAAAACGTAATTATTTCTGTCTTTTGCTCAATAGGTTGTCAACTCACAATTATACAATCATAGGTGTCATTCTCACACTTAAAACTCATTTACACAGGAAATAATAACACAATTACCTCCCTTTTTTTCTATTCTCCACCATGGAGTAGCTTTTTTCAAACGTTTGAAAATGAAGAGGAAAATGATATTTTTGCCAATTTCTCAGCTGGCAATAGTGAATTATAGGATTATTCTTTAACAAGGTAGGACTGTTTATGGATACCATCTATTTTCAGGCTTTATTTTAATAAATTTTAAAAATATAACTTAAAAAGTTGCAATTTCCGCTTTAACACACACTGAGTAATTAGACAATGTTTTCCTTGTCACTTCTGAAATATGTAATATACCTGTATCAGTGTATAAGAATCTATCAGTTAGATAAACAGTACTCATTCAGTATAGTCAAAACATTGTTAGCACATAAATTAGATGTACTTTCTGTACCAGCCATGTTCATTGACACCAAAGCTAACACGACAAAATGTGTTTGAAACTCCTTATGCAGATCGATCAATGTTTTAATATTTCAACAACTCTGTTCTGTATTGCATTTCATAAATATTAATATACATGTAGACAGGGAGATAACTACAAAATGTATGATCAATTGTTGTAAAAGATTGCGTTTCAAAGGCACTCACTCACTAAACAGGGTGTACAGGTTTCAATTGTGGGGTTGTTCGAGAAAGTTCCCCATGATATTTCCCAGCATCGCTACCCTCGTCAGTGATACAGGATGGAGGCCTGACAAGCAAAAGCATCGAGACCTTTGGATGGATTGGAAAACTCAGGTCCCATGCTCCCATGCATATCCACCTTTTGAGTGCATGAAAAAGACCCCTTGACAGTTGGATCCAATTTCCCTCATAGTATGGTGTATGTCCATATTCATTAGCCCAGTTAGTGTAGAAAAGTAAAACTTTAAACCATATCATTCAATATATTCTAAATTTAAAGCACACATTGCTGGACCACTCAAAAAGATTTACCAACCTGTTAATTCATTTAATTTATTTTTTTCACTGTTAATCAATTCTGTTAATCTCTTTATACGATCTGATTTTTTACACTTTTTATTAACAGCATTTCGGAGTCTATTTAATTGTTCTAATAAAGATGCTTCCTCTTGGTCAAGTATTTCATGCTTTCCATCCTCCTTATCACTTTGTTCTCCATCTCCATTTATTTCTTCATCTGGGTCCATCATCTACCCTTGAGAAATTTATCTGTATAAAGTTAAATGTAAGGTCATCAAAAAGTAGTATTTTTGATCACGAACAGTTGAGTTTGTTATCTTTAGAGACATGCATCAGTTTCTGATAACCAGTATGGTTTATTAATCAAGGGCAAACTTTTTACTGCAGTATACTATTAATACCAATATACAGGAGGGTGGATTGACAAGAGTCCAGAATATCATGAGAATCCTGAAGATAGAACAGACAGCTGATTCTGTAGCTAGGCCTATTGAGACTTGGCTGTTTTATACAGTTAAATACCATCTAGAGCTATGTTTTGCTAGTTATCAAAAGATAAAAGTGGTATAGAGTACTGATATTTTAAAGGATAAAAATTTAAAGGAGATAAACCTCATTGATTTGGGTAAAAAAAAATACTGACAAACTTTATTGTGAAATAAGCCTTGTAACACTATCACTGGGTTACTAACAGTATAATAGAATATAACAACCTTGATAGGTTTATAGTTATAAGTCTATTACATATATATTACACATTTTTCTTAGTTCTGAAATGAAATGAAATGAAATGGAGTTTAACGTCCTACTGTTCTGCTCCTAACCTGGGCTAATGAAGACGGGCATACGCCATACAGTGTGCTATGAGGGAAATTTTGCCCGGACAGCAGCACTACGGCCTACTCTTATATCGAATTCCAACTGCCAAGGGTATCTTTTACGTGCACGCCAATGTGTACACGGGACCTCGGTTTTTCGTCCCATCCGAACGACTAGACAGCTTTCCTTGTCAGCCCCTCCATCCTGCATCACTGACAAGGGAGAACCACGCTGGAAAATCTGGATGAACTTTCTCGGCCAATGCAGGGATCGAACACCCGACCTCCAGGCTAGCGAGCTAGCGTCTTACCCACTTAGCCACGTGATCCCCTTCTTAGTTCTGGGTACAAAAGTAATTAGTAAGTATTGAAAATGCCTGCATGTTGAACATCTACTAGTTATTTTGGTTTATATACCCAAACACCTTTTTTATACCAGTAATCAATCAAATCCCACACCCTATCCATTTCTTGTTGGGGGGGGGGGGCATTTTTGTCATTGTAATAATAATCCATGGTTGTGAGTAGGCAGTAGGCCTACATGTGTTTTACCCAACTTGGTTGCAATTAAGCGATAGCATATAATGTTATATTATGACATTCACTTTCCAAATAAGGAATCTATCATGACCATAATGATCTTGAAATTAGTTAAACTAAGTCCCTAACTCAGTATCATCCATAGTCTTTGACACTGAAAACACAAATTATTTGTCAATTTAAATCAACATTGATGTTGTGATTATACCGGGAAAAGATAGACTTCTGATATCCAATATTTAAGACAAAATAAACATTTTACCATTGGTACGCAAATCGTACCTTACCAATTTGTAACAAGGGACTCAAAGAAAGAGGCCAGACATATTCCACAAACAGTGACGACATATTCTTATCCAGAGAGCATGTGCAATAAATAGCCTACTATTGGTGTGATCTGGAATAACCAGACACTAGAGACATATTTTGCCGAACATAACTGATTTGAAATTAGAGTAAAAACGGAAACAATTGAATGTAAATCAGTTTATATACATTCACATTACATTACATTATATGCATTTTGACTCATTTGTTTCAATTTCTACTTCTAGGTCCCATATTACGTCGGTGGGGAGTCAAAAGGTCGTATGTGGCAAATTTTTCGAAATGCACTTTTTTGTTTTTTCAGAATCTGCGTTGCATGGCGCATCTTTTGATCTAAGAGTCGTATATCTAGCCCAATAAAAACTATTCATATGTTGATATCTCGTAACCCGATTCGATAAAAAAAATGACATGTCAAAAAGTCGTATTTCGATGAAGCACTGCCATGTGACAAACAAGTTGCTTCCAGCAAAACAAAAAACAACCAGCGGCTGCCAGGCAGTATACGCCCACATTTTCGAGAGATGGATAAAAAACCAGCTAAACAAAAGTGATTTTTCCTACAATCAAGGGCCATAATTCAGGAAATTACAATTCAATATGCGCAAATATCGAAAGGAACCAAGATCTTTGAGTTATAAACTTTCATTTCAAGTTTCAACAAAATTGGATAAAAACTGTGACCTCTAGGGTCCACAACCTTGACAAAGGGACGGCCATTTTGTCAGTCAGTTTTGGGCCAATTTTCACGAAATTCGAACTCAGTCGTCCTTAGGGTGTAGCAGTGATATAATAATACGTTTTTTTAAATCGGATAAAAATTATGACCTCTATAGGGTCCACAAGCTAAAAACATGATTTTTCGTACAATCAGGGGCCATAATTCAGTAAGTTACGGTCCGATATGCGCGAATATCGACAGGAACCGAGATCTTTGGGTTATAAACTTATATTTCAAGTTTCAACAAAATCGGATAAAAATTGTGACCTCTATAGGGTCCACAACCTTGATATACCATATTTTTACGCTATTTGAGACCGAAGGGCGGCCATTTTGTCTGTCAGTTTTGGGCCGATTTTTCACGAAATTCGAACTCAGCCATCCTTAGGGTGTAATGGTGATATATTAACACGTTTTTTTAAATCGGATAAAAATTATGACCTCTATAAGGTCCATAAGCCAAAAAACGCGTTTTTGCATACAATCTGGGGCCATAATTCATGAAGTTACGGTCCGATATGCGCGAATATCGAAAGGAACCAAGATCTTTGTGTTATAAACTTACATTTCAAGTTTCAAGTTTCGGATAAAAATTGTGACCTCCATAGGGTCCACAACCTTGATATACCATATTTTTACGCTATTTGAGAACGAACGACGGCCATTTTGTCTGTCAGTTTTGGGCAGATTTTCACGAAATTCGAACTCGACCATCCTTAGGGTTTAACGGTGATATAATAATACGTTTTTTTAAATCGGATAAAAATTATGACCTCTATAGGGTCCACAAGCCAAAAAACACGTTTTTACGTACAATCAGGGGCCATAATTCAGGAAGTTATGGACTGATATGCGCGAATATCGAAATGAACCGAGATCTTTGGGTTATAAACTTACACTTCAAGTTTCAACAAAATCGGATAAAAATTGTGACCTCTACAGTGTTTAAAAGCCAAAAACGTGATTTTTCGTGCAATCAGGGGCCATAATCCATAAAGTTACGGTCCGATAGATGCCAATATCGAAAGGAACCGAGATCTTAGGGTGATAAACCTATATTTCAAGTTTTATTGAAATCGGATAAAAATTGTGACCTGTAGACTGTTCACAAACAATTACGGACGAACAGGGGCAATGACAATATACGTCCACTTGAAAATGTGGGCGTATAAAAACTACAGGTAATTATTGGTATTTACGCGGGTTTATACGGTGCATCATCGTCACCTTTCATCACAGATAAGTATGTTAGCGGTTAAATCGAAAAATATTCAATATGTCACCCGATATGCATTACAATATCCAACCTAACTCTATTTTATAACTCTCGATGAAGTAATCTGGTATTAAAACGATTTTATCAACCTATAAGCACAGTCCTAAAACAATTTTTTTTTAGAAATACGACATTTTGCAGTTTATTTGTTCTATTCTAAATACGTTTTATACCGAAATACGATTTTTTGTATTGACCATATAATACTTTTTTTGTAGCCTCTTGGGTCATCTGCATGGTATTTAACTACAATTTGTTTTGTTTCTGAATACAGAATAACAATGCGTTCTTGGTGGATGATCTGAAGATCGAAATATGTCAACAGACAACATCCTTTCACGAGGAAAACGCCTGGTCCAACTATCAGAGATGAGTAAATTGAACTTCAGAGTATCCGGTACAACATTAATTTTTTCGTTAAAATTTTCTCTATTGGTCTACGGGTTTTATATAGCTCGGCTCTCGGAGAAGAGAGCGGATTCGGTTGATGACCCTAAAAGCTCCTGACGTCCATTCTGTTTTACCTAATATTGTAAATACAATCCGTAGGATTGGTCATACTCATGATATTCCTAGATCTCCCAGACGAAGTGATATTTTCATTAAGGACTCCACTAATGTGCCAAGAGAAAAAGACTTGATTTCAGACTTCTTGAAACCCGTATTCGACAACTTTCTACACCACTGGATACACCACTACAAGTTCATACCAGTATTCCGTTGATCAAGCATTGCCGCAATGCCTGGAATCCACATATTTCACATGAGAAAAAACGATTATGGACAGATCCAAGGCTTACCGATGGGAAGTCCTTAACCCCGCTGATATTCAAAATTTACATGATGTTACAAGAAGAAGGCACTCGAACCGTTCCTTTTCAAGCTGTTTTCTGGTTCAGAAAGATGGATAACACCTTTGTCATGTTACAAAAAGAAGATGATAACTGTCATCCTCCCTGAATCATTTAAACAACCAACATCCAAGAATGAAGTTTACAGTGGAGATGAAACCAACAGCAGCCTCCCATTTCTTAATGTAATGGTAAAAAGAGAACACTCCAATGTCACCACATCAGTGAACATAAAACCAACACACATTGACCGATATATCTACAACAAATCTAATAACCCAAATACATAAAAAAGCAGGCATTATCACCACCTTTACTAAAAGAGAAAAAGCTCCTGGTCTTGGCCGAAAATGTCCCTCAGGTATTTCCGGTGTTATTTCCTTGGTACAGGCCGGGGGCCCAACAAGGACAGTGTATAATCATTCGAAGGGGACAAAAAAATTAGCGTACACGTAAAATCAGCCTTGACTTTTGGAATTCGATATAAGTGTAGGTCGTAGGACAGCTTCTAGGGCTAAATTTTCTCATAGCACAATGAATGGCGTATGTTCGTCTTCATTAGCATGGTCGCTACAGAAAGGTAGGTCGCTAAACCCCAAACCAATTGGTGAGGTTTTTTTGTGACGTCAAAAGCTCTTAAGTCGGCGGATGCAACTCGCAAAACGATGTTCTTTATGGTGACAATATCAGACGATGCGCTGTGTTAACATGCAATTTATATTAAAAGATGACCTTTCTACTGTCTTTAGTCGCAATTTTATGAAGTTTTTTGTCTCTCCTGAACAATTTTGAAAAACCCACATACGACCTTTTCACTCCCCACCGACGATTAGCTATTTAGCTCCTTTAGCTAATAATAATAATAGGCCTACTAGTACTACTAATAATATAATAATGAATGCAACAAACTATGCCATTTTAAAACACTTCCTTATTTTTGCGACCATGGGGCAGGGCTATCTTGGCAAGACTTTTCCATAATCTGGTAATTACCTGTCATAGCTGCATGGTGATGGTGGCAAGCATACTGTGAAAAATGCACTTGTAACTTCAGCTGGCTTAGACTAGGGCCTACTTAAAAATTAATTACAATAGTCAGAAAAAAAAAACATCAACTATGATCAAGTGCAAGAAAACGAGGGTAGGCTTTTTGGCAAGTTTAATAATGTGGTTTGTTGCCTGGAAACAGTAATTATAAACAAACCTTAAGCCTCACCGATTCTACACATTTATGATAAATGTAAATGTGGTTATAACAATGTTGCTTCGTTCCCAACCATAAAATCAAATCTGATCGACAAACCCTTTGCAAAACAGCCAAGAGAGGATATGAGATTTGTTGCAAGGGAGATAATTGAAACTCTGGCATACTTGATGCACGTCAAGATTTGTTCAGAATGCATGTCAGTTTTATCATGGACCGTATGAGACCGTAGGCCCACTAGTTGTACCATGGGGCTTTTAATACATGTATTATATTATAAGGTCCATGGTTGTATCAATTGATGATTGCATCCAGATCTATATTGGATCAACGTCGTTTGTCATACAAAGGGGCGTTTTCTCGGAGAGACAATAATAAAGAAATCATGAGCGTGCAACACTGTCCTTTGTCGTACTTCCGTCTCCATCAGCCCAGTCGGAGCTGAAAAATAGGAAATTCAACTCTATTTCATTTGTTAGATTTGTGGAGTTACGTCGTTACTAGTAGTTTTCTAATTGTAATAATTCACGAATAAAGACAACTAACCAGTAGGCCTAGATTCAAGCACTAAAAAAAATGACATGACATCTAAAGATAATGAGTACCCATAGGGCATTGCGAGGTTGAGTCGTTTTTCGTAATACATTAATTGCTATTCACGAATAAATATACCCGTGTTACCTGTTAGGTTTGAATATTAAGGCCATAACTGCTAGATGTAAACAGAGCTAGGCCTACCCCTACCCCAAGACCTAGCATTAACACTTATGCTAACCCTAACCCACAATCTCGTCAACAATCATGTTTCGATTCCCGGTTGTGCGTGACAAGGAGTAGGGTCGCCTGTCGAATCTTGTGGGTTTTCTCCGGGTTCTCCAGCCCCCCCCCCACTGCTAAAGACCCCTACGCGCAAGCGAATTATTCAAATAAAAAAAAAATGAACCATATGTTAGTCCCGAAATTACCTAGTTTTTATCGAGTAGACGTTAAACCCCATTTCTCTATCTCTCTCCTAACCCTATTTACATTTAGACCTAACCGGGGTATCATTGTTGAATCCCCGTCTTCATTAGCCCAGTCGGAGCAGAACAGTATAGGATGTTAACCCCATTTATTTTCATTTCATTTCATTGTTGAATCATTATAATAATATAATGAATTTATAAAGCGCCTCATTCCAGTAAAAATTACTGCTCCGCGGCGCTATTACATTATGTTAAATAAAAAAAAATGAATTATACATATAATCACGGAAATTTAAGAAATATGAAGTTATTAAAATGAAAGCGCAAGCATTATATAAAACTTAGCTAAAAAGTTCAGTTATTAAAAGTCACTACAATCGGCACATAAAACTTTGTTAACAAGTTCAATTTTTTAAAAGTCATCACAGACACTCCATAAAATTTTGCTTAAAAGTTCAATTTTTAAAAATCATCACCATCACTACATGAAACTTTGCTTAAAAAGTTCTGTTTTTAACAATTTTTTAAAAGTTACGAGGGATTGCGAGTTTTTTATGTGTTCGGGTAGAGAATTCCATAACATTAGTGCAGCGTAAGTAAAAGATCTCTTACCGTAGGACGATTTGGTTTTTGGTAGTACCAGTAAATTGTTATTCTGGGATCTTAGAGTTCTAGTTGGAGTGTATCGATGGAGTAGGGATTAAGATAGTGCGGAGAGTCAGGTATGTTAAGGAGAAGATTTTAAAGTTAATACGTGATTCAATAGGTAACCAATGTATATTCTTTAATACTGGAGTAATATGATCACGTTGTTTTGTTCTTGTTACAATACGGGCTGCCTTATTTTGGATCTTCTGTAGCTGATTTATTTGATATGAGGGGAGATTAAACATAATGGATGTGCAGTAATCAAGATGAGATGTTACAAGTGAATTAACTAACAATTTTGCTGTTTTTAGAACAATAAAGTTTCTAATACGACCAATGTTATAAAGATGGTAGTGGATTTGCATATCATTGAAACATGGTGTTTAAAATCAAAGTTACAATCTAACTGTACACCAAGATCACGGACATCATTTCTCCCCCATAAAGCAATATCACCGATGTTGATTGGAAATTCGTCTATTTGCGATCTTCTAAACTTACTTCCGATCGTTAATACCTCTGTTTTTTCGTCGTTTAGTTTAAGAAAGTTGGTGGAAATCCACTTTTTTATTGACTGAATGCATTGTTGTAAATTATAAATTTCATCTTTTTGAGTACCTTGTTTAAATGCAATATTGAGTTGTGAATCATAGGCATATAGATGATAATCAATACCGAATTCTTTGATCAAGTCTCCAAGATATTATACGATATCAATTTAAAATGGCAGTCAGTCACAGACTCGCCAATCCGAATGTTTGAATGTGTGAGACACTGAGATCCTAAAGTAACAAAGAACTTTCCAGCCCATCTTCATTAAAATTATAATTTAATAAAAAATACTGTTCATATTTTAGCGTAAATATTTATTTATACACATCTGAAAATAGTTTCATATATCATTTTGAAAATACCAGAATCTGAATCTGAAACAAAAAAAAACGAAAGTCGATTGGTACAATTAGAGTCATTTCTATATACGTGATTAGAAACTGTTATGCTTCCTCTAAAAGTATATCATTCTTGTTTGCAACGCTATTAAATGGTGACGGCGACACAGATATGGCGTTCATATTCTTGAAAGGTTCGAGCACTGATATAGTACGCAACTTTGGACCCCGTTTTGGTCTGATACGCTGTGATTTCTTCTGGAGGTCTTGAACTCTCTGAAACAATAAGTTAGAAAACATGCAATTAATGATGATCATTGTAATGCAAATGTATTACACCCCGACGAAATGGATATATTTTAAGATTAAATTATTTTATATATTATTTTACATATTTTAGTACCGAGCACGGATCCCTCCAACCCTCCTCGCAAAAAATTAAATAATAAAAGCTGTATATTAGAAACTTAATTTTTTTAAAAAAATTAGTCTTTTAAGGTCAAATATTCAGATGTTATATCTTCAAACGGTCTTACATCTTTAGTGTGTTTGCAGAAGATAAGTCCGACTGATAATCCGACAACCCCTAGCACCACAATAACTCCAATGGCTGCTAATATTACAGTTAACATGTCTGATGAAACATCCGATGTCTTTTCACCTAAATAAATAAATGAATTATGATCATTATGAATGAATAAATATATAAACGAATAAATAAATAAAATAAGCTGACCCACAGGAAATTGCATATATAAATATATTATTAAGTACGGGAGGACCGCACCACACACAAACAATTAAACAAGACAATCCTACGGATATGACAAAATATACACAGACATCTAAAACAACAAAAAGTAAAATATCAGATCAAGTGAATGGATCCGGAGTCAGCAATTACGTATATTGTTTCAGTGTATTCGTATGAAATATTACTCTTAACTAAATGATTTCCTGTCAAAAATACAAATATATATTTTACAGATGTTCAATTTGTCTTAACTTATTATTGTATCCATTTACCTAATTGGCTGGCTGGTGCGGTAGTGGATGTAACTTCTGTTTAAATAGAAAATGAAAAGGTGGATATAAAAACAACAGCACTAATACGTTGCAAAAACGAACCGTACTTACTCGCTCAGGGGAGCCACGGTGGCTAAGTGGGTAGACACTAGCTCGCTAGCCTGGAGGTCGCCAATTCGCTCCCGGTGATGGCCAAGAAAGTTCATCGAGATTTTCTGGCGTGCTTTCACCTTATCAGTGGTGCAGGACGGAGGGCCTGACAAGGACATCTGTCTAGTTGTTCGGGTGGGACGAAAACCCGAGGTCTCGTGCACGTAAAATATCCCTTGGTAGTTGGAATTCGATATGAGTAGACCGTAGCGCCGCTGTCCGGGCAAAATTTCACTAATAACACACTGAAAGGCGTATCTGTCTTCATTGGTCCAGTCGGAGCAGAATAGTAGGATATTAAACCCCATTTCATTTATATTGTCCACCAATTATAGCTTTGTCAATAAATACTGTTTCACGATGTGCGTGTTTTTACTCACTAATAAATAACTAAACATAAATGGCGAAGGTCTACAGAAGTCTAAATCTTTTACGAACGAGTATATTACGAAAGGTAACATCATAAGTAAATTACTATAAGGCGAACGAAACGTAAAGTGTTGTCCGTCACACCAATGGGGCTAATTTTTTTTTTTGATGGAGCATGAAAGGTAACATGATAAGTAAATTACTATAAGGCGAACGAAGCGCAAAGTGTTGTCCGTCACATCAATGGGGCTAGTTTTATTTGATGGAACATGAATTGGACCCAAAGTGCTACTCTTCGAAATAAGCACAAGGCCCCGATAATTCAAGTACGATCGACATGAAACGTGGCATGCGTGTTCCTTGGACAATTACACATCGATGGCGCCATGATTGGTTCCTGGTTTAAAGTAGGTTTGTACATGTTAATGTTGCAAGAGAAACTTTTTGAAAATGGAACATCTCGAAACCAGAAGATAAAATCCTTTGGCTTTCGTTGGAAAACGTTTTTTAGTTTTTGTACGCACACACTGGACGATTTATACCGAAAGACCGTGCTATCCACTAGGTGTATAAGTGATCGGTAGAAAATGCGACATACTTACCTAAAGGTTCGGCGATAAAACTAGCAATAAATCCATTAGCGGGTTCAAGAGTGTCCGAGTGAAATCTAATATTTAACATATTGCCATTACTAGTTATAGGATTTGGTATTAGAGAACCACATAAAACATCCAGTAAAGTATTGCCCTCGCTTACCATTACATAGTCATAACTACACGTAGGGTGTGGTTCCACCTGCAATAGTAAGTGAATTACATGTATTATGGTATATTCGCAGAAGCGAATAGTTTCATTATGAGTCTATAGCTACTAAACATAAAAAGATCGCACCAGGGGTAAATTGACCGTGTCTCTACATCAGTCCTATTGTTTATTACACAGTGTACTTAAAGATACATTAGTTAAGAGTTTTATAAAGTGTTAGCCATTCTTTCTATAATAATTCAAAAATAGATGATAAAAAAAGAAAATGTTGAAAATTTCAGTCAAATTACTTTGTTCTGAACGGAATTGTA